AAAAAAAAGTTAAGCAAAGAATTACTGTATAACCCAGCAGTTCCCCTTCTAGGCATATACCCCAAGAACAGGGAACAGGTGTTCAAATAAGCACCTGTATACACATGTTCATAGCAGCATTGGGATGGTTGTAATTTTTTAAAAATATGTAATAAGAGGAACCTGGCTGGCTCACATCTGTAGAGCATCTGATTTCTCTGCATTGTTGCCAACCGTTGTCTTTTATTATATATATATATATATATATATATACATAACATTTAAAAAAGTAATCTCTATACACAATGTGGGGCTCAAACTCACTGAGATTAAGAGTTAGATGGGGACATTAGTAATCCTTATCTTAGAAGATTTTTTTTTAACCTTGAAAGATTTTGAGGAAGATTAAATGAGACAATTGTAGAGGTTTAACATGTAGGAGTCACTCAGTAAATGTACCCTTGCTTTTTCCTGGCTGCACAGTGTTTTGTTGCATGGTTGCACATAATATGTAGTGGACATATAGGTGGACTTCAGTTGTTCCATTTCATACAGGGTGCAAAGGACATCAATGTGCATGGTATGTAGCATTGCATAGTGGTGATCAATGTGGCATAGTATCAGCCCTACTGGGTTTGAATCCAGTGCTTGTGACTTTTTTTGATCTCCTTTCCTCTTGGAATGATCGAGATGAGAGGATGGGTGGGTTCAGGTATTCTTTGAAGACATCTCTTAATTTTGTCCTCAGGACTGGAAGATCACAGGTGGGTGCAGGGGAAGATGCAAGAGTCTTGAGGCCCCTTCTGCAGATGTGAAAGCTGGGGCAGCCTATCTCAGGATCTCCCCACCCTAGGGTGTGAAGCCAAAACGAACTCTCTGTATCTGGCAGACTGTCCAGGGAGATGAGATAAGTGAGTGTCAGGCAGGAGGAAGGAGGTGTCAACCACAGAGCAGAGTGAGGTGAAAGCACGGAGCTCCCCACCCTTAGCCTTGTCCAGAGTCACTTCCATACAGCTGCTTAACCCTCTGAACCTATGACAGTCCCAGATCCCCTCCTGACTTAGATTCCTTACCTGGTGTCCTTATAAGTATCCTTGTGACAGAGCTTCAGGACCCATGCACTGAGCCAACCTCAAGAGCTCAGCTGGCTGGCCTCAGGGTTGGAGGTAGCCATAGCTGTGGATTGGAGAAGCTTTTGAGGTTTTCAAAGAGGAAGTAGGGCTTTTGCCCGTGGTTCCATTGTTTCTTCCTCTTACTGCACAAGCCAGCCAGACACCCCTGGGTCTACTTTGCCCCCCAAAGTAGAGTATGCCTATTCTAATAATAAGTCCTGAGAGTTGCATCCCAATTTCTATTTTAGCTGCATCTAGCAAGGCTTCTGGTAACCAAAATGTGAATTTCCAGGGTCTGGGTCATATTTCCATGGGCTATATTCCCAGCAACTAGTCCAACACTGAGACATAGTTCTCATAGTCCTAAAGGGAATCGAGACTCCACTGTACCACACCTGTGGCTCTTTTTACTTCTTCAAGGTACCCCTCAAACAAGTCTTCCTTGAGCTTTCCTTCCTCTCCAGGACATTGCAGCCCTAACTTGGGTCATGTGGTCTTGAGCCAGTCACTTTCTTTTTCTGAGTTTCAATTTTCCTGTCTGTAAAATAGGAATAAAACTATTCATCTTGAAGTGTCATTGTGCTGATTGGGTTAAGCAAAACATGTCAAAATGCTTTGCAGGGTTCCTGGCACATATTAAGTACCCAAATGCCAAAAGCTGTAATTATTGTAATGTGCGGACTGACGTAAGGGCAGGATAGCATTGGGTGAGCACAATGGTCTCCAACTAGGGGCTAAAGAATAAAATGGAATGTAGTTAATCTTTCCAAGTGTGATGTTCAAATGCTGGTCCTCCACACTGAGCCAGGAACATTCATTACAACTTTAACATTATTAGGAAGCCGACTTGCAGATACTTGCCTAACCAGGGCAAGGGTTGATGTACAATAGTAACGTTAACCCACGATTGTCAAGTGCTTGCTTTGGGCCAGGCACTGTTCTAAGAGCTTTACATAAATTAACTTGAGGAATTCTCAAAAGAACTCCATGAAGCAAGTACTAGTATTATCCTCATTTGATAGATAAGGAAGAGGCACAGAGAGGTTAAGTGACTTGCATAAGGTCCCTGAGGTGGGATTAAGTCCAGCAGAGCTGATATTCTTAATCACTCTGCATATACTTCCATACAGAGGTCTTCTCCAGTCTTGTGTAGAACAGGGAAAAATTGGAAATACACAATGCAGGAATGCCATATAGTTTGTCCATCTCTGTAGGGGAACCCTATACAGTCAGGAAAAAGTAAGAGGAAACTGTGTATGCTCTGCTTGAAATGATGGTCACAGTAGATTGCTGGATACAGAGAGCTGCATGCACAGTAGATGTATTGTTATAATCCATGTTATATAAAAATAAAATTTGAAAGTTAATTTATAGGGTGCTTGGGTGGCTCAGTGGTTGAGCATCTGCCTTTGGCTCAGGCCATGATCCTGATGTCCTGGGATCTAGTCCCACATCAGGCTTTCCACAGGGAGTCTGCTTCTCCCTCTGCCTATGTCTCTGTATCTCTCTCTGTGTCTCTTATGAATAAATAAAATCTTTTAGGGACTCCTGGATGGCTCAGCAGTTGAGCATCTGCCTTTGGCTTAGGGCCTGATCCCGGATTTCCAGAATCAAGTCCCTCATTGGGCTCCTTGCATGGAGCCTGCTTCTCCTCCCTCTGCCTATGTCTCTGCCTCTCTTTCTGTGTCTCTCATGAATGAATAAATAAAATAAAATATTTTAAAAAGTTCACTTACTTGTTTGTAGGTTCATACATAAATGTCTGGAAGGATAATTACCAAACAATTCACATTGACCACTGGGAAATTGTGAAAGAGGGGAACTTCCATTTTTGTCCTTTTGTTCTCTGATGTTTGAAATGTTTACCACTAGTATGTTTTAATTTGTAATTGACAGAAAGAGAAAGAAAGTAAAAGTGCATGAGCCAGGAGCCTGCTGACCTCTGTCCAGTCCTCCAGCTCGTCAGTCCTCACTGGCATCTCTCACTGACCCTGGAAGGCCCCGAATCCTATTTCCCCTCCACGTCCCAATCTCCTTCTTCTTCCTGAAGACTTGGCATGGTCTGGGTCTCTCATCTGGGTCCAGGCACTGTGCAGGTTCCCTGGCTAAGAGGCTGTGGTCCCATGCCTGTGCTACCCACCCCGGCTATGTCCAACATGGTGTCATCCATCACAGTTGGGCCAATGACGTCACAGTGGACCTGGAGGCTGACAACACAGAAGACCTGACAGGGCCCAGGAGATGGGAGCAAGGAAGGGATTGGCAGGTAGAGGCTATTTTGGGTGGGAACTTGAGGGACCACCTCCCAGGACATTCCTAGCCAGGCCTTTCAGGGATTGGAGACCCAGAAATCTCCAAGGCCACTCCCCTTTTTGTTTCTAATCAAGAGGTTGTCTAGACTTTTTTGAGAGTTGGGAGCAGAGTATGATGCCAGGAAGGGGTGGAGTTGGTCAGTGGTAGGTAGAAGCCAACAGTGTGTGCAACTCCTCCTTGGAGACGAGTCTGTGGCCTTCTGTGGATGCCCCTCTGGGATTCCAGCAAGGCTGTAGGGGAGGCAAACTTGTGGCCTTGGAGGCTTGGAGGACTCTAGCTTTTGGGGCATGGAGTTTGGGTGGATCAAGCCTGCAAGTGGTGCTATGGGAGGAACTCCTCCATTAATCTGGAAAAGGCAGGAAGCTGTTTATACAGGTAGCTAGCCATTCACATCCTTGACTATTCCCGGCTAAACCCTGTTGCTTCATCTTCTGTTCTGGGCATACATTATGCAGGATTCTTTTTTTTTTTTTTAAATGCAGGATTCTTTATTTAAGCTATAGAAACCATTTCAGGGGGATTTAAGAAAAGCAATTCATTTAAAAGATGTTGGGGAAACTCACAGAATGTCTGGAAAGGCTGCAGAGCCGGGCTTGGAGAACAGGCTGGAAGCCCCAGGACCACATGTGCCAGGACCAGCTCAGAGAGGATTCTACAACCTCCTCTGAACCCCTTTGTTTCCCCTGCTGCCATGGAAGACAACATGGCATCATGTGCAAAGTGGAATCTCCACTGATCTCCACAGAAGCCAGTGGCCCCACTTCAGGACCACTGGCTTCTGATCCAGCCTGGATAAGGGTATCTAATTGGGCTAGTCCACGTCACGTGTCTGTTTCATGTGCTGGGACGAGGAGTCAGAATTAAATGCAAGCCAGCCATTTTGGCTTTTATTTATTTATTTTTAAAAGTTTTCCTTTATTATTTTGGCTTTTATAGTGGGAGGTGCCTTCTTCCTCCCTCCAGACTCATGTGGGGGGCGGGGGGAAGATCCAAAGAACTGGGCATCCAGAAAACCCAGCAAATGTCTACAAGGGAAGCAAAAATGAGTAGACAGTGGTCCCTGTCCTTGAGATGCTCCCAGACATGCAGGAGTCAGTTATATGGGAAGATAATTATGATAGGAAGTGATGGAGGCCATAGGGAAGGTGATCAGCAGCCAGGGGCTGGGCTGGCAGAAAAAGAGTGATAATATGCCCCTGGCTCATGGCAGAGAGTCCAAAATGTCTTTGTGTGTTCCAGGCCACCTAGATGCAATGGCTGGGTGGAGTCTGATGACGGGTTGGGGCTGTGTCACGCTGGGCTAGACACTGTGTGACACAGACACATGGACCGGGCAGGGTTTGCGTCTCCGGAAATGATGCACCTTTTTTGCTCATAAAAATAATGAAATTGCTTGGCCTAAAAAGCTGCTCCCTGGCTAATGGAGCCTCCCTTTTGATAGCTAGCCATGCCTCATCAGCATTTTGCTATGTTCTTGAGTTAACCTCTTGCCCCCACTGGGGCCTCAGTGCAGCATCTAGATAAGAGAGTTTCTCAGAAGAGGCAGATCAGAGTTGGGCCAAGAAAGAGCAAGGTGTTTTTGCTGCCTCCTCGGCTTCTGCTCTGTGAGATCAGGTTCCTACTGTCTTCTCTGCTTCACCCCGTATCCTTCTCTGTTGCCTGCTCTTGTCTGTCTGCACCCATTTCTGTCCCTGCATCACGTCTTTGCCATCATCATCACCACTTGCCTCTATCTCGGCTGGGCTGCTATCTCCAGAGGGACCCCAGCTCCAGCTTTTCATCCCTGCTCTGTCCCTCTTGGGCTCAGCCATCTGGGTTCTCTTGCAGCCAGACATAGCAACCCCCACCCCACCCCACCCCACCTCCACACACTGACATTCCAGTAAGCCCAGTTCGTGGTGGTCCAAAATCAGCACTTTGTCTTGTAGAGTTGCCACAGGTAGGTAAAGGCTGGTGGGCGGCTCCCTCTCATTGGGTCTCGCAGGGCCCCCTGCCTGCCCGCCTACCCTCTTCTTCCTATTTGTGGCTGCTTCAAATGTAGTGCCTTCCTGTCATCTCTCACACTCACCAGGGCCCCAACCAGAGCAGCTGGCTGCCTGCCCCACCTCCTTGCATCTTCCTGAGGGAACTTATGCAGAGCCAGGTGAAGAGCCTCATGCCAGCAGGTGAAGAGCCTCTGCTGGGTAGGGTTGGGAGGAGTCGGGGAAGAGAAAAGGGAGACTGGGGTTTGGAAGGCTGAGATACTCAAGTGAATGGACCAGGGGCACTTGAGAAGGAGGGATGTGTGGCTACTGAGGAGAATGGGAAGGAACCTTGGGACACTCGTTGAGCTGAGGTGGTCCTGTCCTATGTGGCCCTCAGTGAAATAAGGCAGAGAAGCAGAGTGCCAAGTGAGCAACAGCCGAGGAATCAGGGCATCTTCCCATCAGGCCAGTCAGGAGACCCAGAGGGTTCTTGGCCTACTCTCTCAGGCTGTCCCCAGGGAGGGAGCTAAGTCTGGCCCGGCTCCTTCAGCTGCCCAGAAAAGCTGTGTGGATGATCGAGGATGCAGGGGCACCCCTTGGTGGGAAGGCTGTGGTTGGCAGTCATGGAGGCAGAAGTCCCTCTCAGCACGGAAGGAAGCAGCTTCTCAATTCCTGGTGTCCTCCAGAAAATCTGGAATGTTCCTTCAGCTCTCTGAGTACACTTGGAAGTAACATCCATGAGAAACTTCCTCTCTCTCTTCTCCCCTGGGGATGAGGATAAGGTCAACTCTGCTTCTCACCTCTGATTATCTCCATTCAGTCTTCTGACACCTAGCAAGAGAGCATCACTGGCCTCTAAATGTCAGTACTGCCTCCTTCACACATCAGCCTGTCCAATCCTCATGTTTTGCAGATAGAGAAACTGAGGTCAAGAGGGGCAGTGACTGGCTCAAAGTCACATGGTGATTTAGTGGAGGGGTCGGCTCTAGGAGCCAGGCTCCTATTCAGAGGTCCTTCACTGCTCACTTATGACCGACCTGTCTTCCCAGGTAGTAAGGGCATGAAGTGGGAATCTGCTCCAGAACGACATTGCTGCCACAAGGCTAAGCGTCTGGGGAGTATAGGGAGCTCTCTGTCCTCCAGCTTGGATTCACAGCTCTGCCAAGGCGACCAGGTAAGGAAGGATCCCAGACTACTTATGGAAGGGAGAGGATGTCAGGATGAAGTGGGGGAAAAGCGGAAGGGACCAGATTCCCATCATTCCCTGGTCCTCAGCATCCCTACCACACCCAGGACATTGAGGGGATGTGCCCTTGAGGTGCCAGAGACCCTCTCCCATGTCCCAGGGGCCAGACTCTTCCTCCAGGGCATCAGAAGGGATAAAGCCTGCCTGCTGGATACTTGGCTGTCTGGCCACGGCCTGGGCCTTAGGGGGAGGGGAACTCAGGGTCATCTTTGGGGGTTTACAGTCTTTGATGAGGATTTTCTCTAAGTTCATCTTGGCTCCATTCAAAACACAGTTGATGGTCTGAGACACAGTGGGCCCAGGGCGGTCAGGAAGGGAAGGTGGAAGAGGGAACAGGGCTCGGGAGAGAGAACAAGGCCAGAACCCCTGGAGAGTAGGAGGGCATACTGGGGTGGGCATCAAAGTGCCCCAGGAAAGAAATTTTCAGATGAGGGATGGGAAGCCCTTTGAGCAGCAGACGTGGTGGAAGGCAGCTCTTAGCTTCTCCTCTCGTTTTATTATTTTGTTTTGTTTTGTTTTTTAAAAGATGTTATTTATTTATTTATTTATTTATTTATTTATTTATTTATTTATTTAACACAGAGGTAGAGCCAGAGAGCACAAGCAGGGGGCAGGGGCAGAGAGAGAAGGAGAAGCAGGCTCCCCACTGAGCAGGGAGCCTGACACGGGGCTCGATCCCAGGACCCTGGGATCATGTCCTGAGCCAAAGGCAGATGCCTAACTGACTGAGCCACCCAGGCACCCTTCTCTTCTCCTTTGGGAAACCAAACAAAAGCTGGGACCATCCCAGGGACACAGATGTCCCAGCTCCCCACCTCAAGCCCCTTGCCTCCTGCCCTCCAGGTCTTCTCAGCTTGCAGGCCACTCTCTGACACAGTGGATGCCCGTGGCTCATCCTATGCCAGCTGGCTGTGCCCCTCACCCCTGGCACCAGCCAGGTCTGCCTTGCTGACCTGTTGCCAAGGCCTGGACCTATACCTGTGCACCCTGCAGCCCACACCATTGGGCACAGCCGGGCAGAGTCTCAGAAGTGAAGTCTTGAGCACAAGTAAGCCCAGGGCAGAGGGCTGTACCTTGATGGAGGTGGGAAGTGGGAGGCGGGAGAGGACTCTTAGGTTTCAGGAAAAGATAGTGAGGGGACCCAGTGTCACTGGTGAGGACAGTGTCTCAGGCACACTTTACTTCCATGTTTAGGCCTAGAGTCTTGGTTTTGGCAGTGCGGTGGGGGGAGGTTTCAGGGTGACACCTGAGCCAGAGGAGATGGAGAGTGGCTTTCTCAGGCAGGGAGATCTGGAGTAGGTACAGCCAAAGTCCTGGGGATTGAGGATGGGGCTTTGTCTCCTAGAATGTTTGAGCTAGAGGGTTTTTTTTTTTTTGAAGATTTTATTTATTTATTCATGAGAGACACACAGAGAGAGGCAGAGACGTAGGCATAGGGAGAAGCAGGCTCCATGCAAGGATCCTGATGTGGGACTCGATCCTGGGACTCCGGGATCACACGCTGAGCCAAAGACAGACACTCAACCGCTGAGCCACCTAGGCGTCCCTAGGTGACTCTGACTGGGAGCCAGAGAGCTGAGGGTGGAGTCCTGGTTCTGCTCCTTCTGGATCTGTGATTTCAGGCACATTACTGAGGCCAGTTTCTTCTTCCATGAGAGTAGGATCCCGCTATACCTATATTCTAGGTCTGTTTTGTAGTAATGCACTATCTCATTACATACCTGTGACCTCCTGGAGGGCAGGAGCTTTGCTGCTACGTCCCTCATTTACCCAGCATTGAGCACAGAGTGAAGCAGTTCAGTGAGGTTGGCTCAGTGAATAAATGAGAATCCAAGCAGACAATCTACTTCATGGCATTTTTTTTTCTTTTTAGTATTTCACTTTACAACCCTCCTAGCTTATCTCTAGCCTCCCTGGCTGTTACATCTCAGTCTCCCTTGCTAGTTCTTCTCTACTTACCTCCAAAATATCTCTATGCTCTGGACCTCCTTCTCCAGAGCCTTCTTCCCTCCCCTCCCCCACTTTAGTCTCCTCTCTCCTCTTCTTGCCCTCCTCTTTTCTCTGCTTCATGGAGAGTAGCACTTTTTTTGTTTTTGTTTTTGTTTTGTTTTTTAGATTTTATTTATTTATTCATGAGAGACACACACACAGAGAGAGAGAGAGAGAGAGAGAGAGAGAGAGGCAGAGACACAGGCAGAGGGAGAAGCTCCATGCAGGGAGCCCAATGTGGGACTCGATCCTGGGTCTCCAGGATCACGCCCTGGGCCGAAGGCAGGTGCCAAACCGCTGAGCCACCCAGGGATCCCCTGTTTTTGCTTTTTAAGATTTTATTTATTATTCATGATAGTCACACACAGAGAGGCAGAGACACAGGCAGCAGGAGAAGCAGGCTCCTCACAGAGAGCCCAATGTGGGACTCAATCTCAGGACCCCAGGATCACTCCCTGAGCCAAAGGTAGACGCTCGACCGCTGAGCCACCCAGGCATCCCAAGTAGCACAATTTGATAGAACTTCCTGCAATTAGGGATACCATCTATGCTTGTGCTGTTTGCTACCTTGCCTACTGAGCCTTTTAAATGTGGCTGGTACGATGAATACCCACCATTTGCTTTGACGTGGATGGACCTGGAGGGTGTTATGCTGAGTGAAGTCAGTCCATCAGAGAAGGACAATCATCACATGGTTTCACTCATACGGAATATAAGAAATAGTGAAAGGGATTAAAGGGGAAAGGAGAGAAAATGAGTGGGAAAAATTAGAGAGGGAGACAAATCATGAGAGACTCCTAACTCTGGGAAACGAACAAGGGGTTGTGGAAGGGGAGGTGGGTGGGGGCGGGGTGTGACTGGGTGACGGGCACTGATGGGGGCACTTGACGGGATGAGCACTGGGTGTTATACCATATGTTGGCAAATTGAATTTAAAGAAAATATTTTAAAAATTAAGTGTCATGGGATCCCTGGGTGGCGCAGCGGTTTGGCGCCTGCCTTTGGCCCAGGGCACGATCCTGGAGACCGGGGATCGAATGCCACATCGGGCTCCCGGTGCATGGAGCCTGCTTCTCCCTCTGCCTGTGTCTCTGCCATTCTCTCTCTCTCTCTCTGTGTGTGTGACTATCATAAATAAATAAAAATTAAAAAAAATAAAAGTGTCATAAAAAAGAATAAACTACAAGTGCTAGAAAAAAATGTGGCTGGTATGAGTTGAGGAACTGAATTTTTTATTGTACTTATTTTAATTAGTTGAAATGTGATCACATGTCAAGTGACTATCTTGGACACTGCCGATCTGGCTCAGGTGGTCTCATTAGGCAGGGCCCCTGGCACCCAAAGTTATATCTTCAGCTTGGATCTCTCCTTTAAACTCCAAACCAAATCACCAAACAAACAAACTCCAAACCAATTCATCCACCTGCCCACTTGACTTCACTTAGATGTCTAATAAGCTTCTTGAATAGTTTTCTTTTTTTTTTAAATATTTTATTTATTTAAGAGAGAGAGAGACAGAGATGTCGAGAGAGAGCTCGAACAGGGCAGGAGAGGGAGAAGTAGGCTCCCTGCCACTGTGGGGCTCCATCCCAGGACCCTGGGATCATGACCTGAGCAAAAGGCAGACTGACTGAGCCACCAAGGCGCCCTTGAATGGTTTTCTCGTCTAAAATTTTTGAGCGCTGCATAAACACTAGCAGCTTTTGTCGGCAAGCACAGACCAGGAAGGCTCAGAGAGGGGAAACACCTGTCCAGTCATCCAGCAGGCTTGCAGGCTAGAGGGCTCCCCAACCCCGGGCGGGCCAGGTTGGATGGGGAGCAGAACCTTCCCCCAGGCTGCAGCACCCTGACCACCCTGACCATCTTTCTTTTCCTGCTCAGAGCACCAGCCACCAGGGCCGAAGGCCGGCTCCATTGATGATGAGAAACTCAAGGCCAAGTACCCTGCAAGCAGGGACAAGAGGGAAAGTGGGCAGATAAGAGCTGGAGAGGGGGCCCTCTGCCCATCCTTCTCTCCTCCCAGCGGCTCTTCCCCGACCCCCTGCTGGAACAGAAAGAGCCCCAGCCCTTTAGCGGTCTTCCCCTGCCCTCTGCCCAGGCCCATCTCCAAAGACCTCCCATTCTGCCTCCACCCCATCTCTCCTGCATATCCACTTCTGCTTCCTCCTTACCCGTGCACCTATGGGGCCCTACCTTCTGTCCAATGTCCCCCCCTCCTCATGCTGCCCTCAGGCTCCTCCTACCCCACCATGGCTGTGCCCAGTTTGCTGATGAAAGTCAATGAGCCCAGGCACCCCACTGCCCAGAGGGACATCCCGTATCCTTACCCAGGGGCCTCCCCGGCCTCTGGCCAAATCCCGCCTTTCCAGGCCAGGAATCGAGATCCTGGAGCTGCCAGGACTTACTCCCCAGGGCCAAAGAGCACTGGCAGGGTGGCTGCAGCCAGGCGGGCCCCAGCAGGCTCCCGGCCGGGCACCACAGCGCTGCCTTACCTGCTGAAGAAGGAGAACGGAAAAACCCTGTACGAGTGCAACGTGTGCAGCAAGAACTTTGGGCAGCTTTCCAACCTCAAGGTATCTGTCTCCCAGGCCCCTGCTGCTCCCCTCAGTGTCCTTCCATGACCCCCCCTAAGCTGAGTTCAGAATCAAGGACCTTAAAGCCACAGCAACTCCTGGGCGACCTCTAGGCTGTGATCTGGGATGGTTCCTTTGGCCCCTCACTGTCATGTTTGCAGAGAGGAGACACAGGATAGGATGGCCTCTGAACTCCTCCCCACTCTAAGAGACTGTCTAGGAGAGCTCTCATTTCAGTCAAAAATGGGGCAGCCAAGGGAAGGGTTTCCCCAAGCTCACTTTGGCTTAATGGTGAAGTTAGGCCTGGATATTAGCCTCTCGAGGTCTTTCCTGAACAACTACCTTTCTGGATTCCCAGTCAAGCCTCCTCTGATTTGTTTGTTTGAAGGTCCAGTGTGGGGGGCACCTGGGTGGCTGAGTGGTTGAGCGTTTGCCTTTGGCTCAGGTCATGATCCCGGGATCTCTGGGATCGAGTCCTGCATCAGGTGCCTCGTGGGGAGCCTGCTTCTCCCTCTGCCTGTGTCTCTGCCTCTCTCTGTGTGTCTATCATGAATAAGTAAATGGAATCTTTAAAAGGAGGAGGAGGAGGAGGAGGAGGAGGAGGTCCAGTCGGGGAACGGGTAGATTTTAGTGAGTTTGGGTCACAGACCTGACAATTAGCCTTTTTCACATGGGATCCCACAAAGCAGCATGGCGCTGTTAGTGTTATCATCCACATGGTCCAGCGGGGGCATCCTGGGCACCTCTCCGTGTGGCAGCAGAGAGGGGTTCTAGGCCCATGCTGGCAACTCTGAAGTTGAGTAAAAATTATGATTGTTGAGGAACGATTCTTCTAGGTTCTCCAGGGTGTGAGTTCTTAAGCTTTAATGAGATTCAAACCTGGAGCCCTAGGAAACATGCAGATTATGAGGTCCCAGCCCCAGAGATTTTGATGCAGCTGGTCTGGGGGCAGGGCCTGAGCATCTGCATTTTCCACGTTTCCAGGTGATGCTAATGCTGCTGGTCAGTGGATCAGACTTTTTTTTTTTTTAAGATTATTTATTTGAGAGAGAGAGAGAGACCAGGGAGGAGGGGCAGAGGTAGAGGGAGAGAGAGTCCCAGCTGACTCTGAGCTAAGCATGGAGCCCAATACAGGGCTCGATCCCATGACCCTGAAATCACGACCTGAGCTGAAACTAAGAGTAGATCACTTAACCAACTGTACCACCCAGGCGCCCCTGTGGACCACACTTTGAGCAGCACTGCTCAGGATATATATACATGGACTATACCTTACCTAGTCTTCTGACACTGTCACACCCCCGCCCCCGCTACTGGGCACCAGAAAGAGTGAGGGTATCTTAGGGAATGGAAGAGAGGCCCTGAGGGGAGTGATAGAGTACCCAGGAGATTGAGAAGCCTTGGTGCTCAATAGAGGTCCTGTGGGAGTGTGGGGAGAGATCTGGACAGAATCCCAGGCTCTGCTGGAGGGTTCTGGGCAAGTTGGCAGCATTTCTCCCACATCTTGCTCAGGTCCATCTGCGTGTGCACAGTGGGGAGCGCCCATTCCAATGTGCCCTGTGCCAGAAGAGCTTCACTCAGCTCGCCCACCTGCAGAAGCACCACTTGGTGCATACTGGGGAGCGGCCCTATGAGTGCCTGGTGAGACCCTCCTTCCCCTCCCCTGTACTCCTGCAGGCTGGTGAGTAGCTCCAGGCCCCTGGAGGGATGGCACCTATAGCCTCCAATCTCCAATCTTCCTGAGCAAGTGGAGACAGGCCTGGGGGCAAGGGTGGAGGTGGGGAGGCAGGTGGAGGTGAAAATGACCCCTATCAGCTTGGAAAGACCAGAATGCAATATTGGAAGTTACTCCCTGGGCCTGGAGTGAGGACTAGAGATGTACGTCTATGGGAGGAGGCTAATAAAGCTGGGGAGTCCTGGGGAGTGGAGTCCCGGATAAGTAAAAAGCCTAGTGTGTGCAAAGTATGCAAACACTACCAATAACATCAGCTTGATGTGAGCTCCTCTCTTTGAAGTCCTGCCACATCCAACAGCAGGAATTTTTCCCTGTTTTACAGAGGCAGACATGAACAAAGCATAGTAGTTCTCTGTCTTCTGGGCTACTTGGCTTCAAATCCCAGCTCTCCCTCCAACTTGTGTGACCTTTGGCTAGTGGCTCTCCTCCTTTGAGCCTCTGCCTTCTCGATGTAATATTGGAATTAGACTAGCACTTAGTCATGCCTCTCCAGGGTCCTGGGAAAGACTATGTGAGACCAATTCCTGGCATGTGGCAGCTCCCAGTAAACGTTAATTACGCCCACGAAAGCTGTAGGCCCACGCGTAAGGGTCCTGTGTGATGATCTCATTCTGTCCATCATACCTATGAGGTTAGGTATTAATAGTCACATGTTACCAATAAGGAGAGCAAGGCTTATAGGAGATGTCACCTATGGAAGGTCACGCAGGGAGGAAGAACCAGGCTACTAACCCAGATCTACCTGGCTTCAATGTGCCAGACACCGTGGGTCCCAGGGAGAAATCTACAGGGGACAGCTTCCAGGGTCTGTGCTACAGGGAGGCAGTGGTGGTGGTGGTGTGTGTGGGGGGGTGCCCACAGTGGGGAGGGGAGCAGAGATCTTGAGCCAGCAAGGTGCACAGAGCTGACACCAGTGCCCATTCCCACCAGATGTGCCACAAACGCTTCAGCAACTCCAGCAACCTCAAGACCCACCTGCGCCTGCACTCGGGGGCCCGGCCCTTCCAGTGCAGTGTTTGTCCACGTCGCTTCACCCAGCACGTTCACCTGAAGCTGCATCATCGCCTGCATGTTGCACGGCCTTGTGGCCACCTGTCCCTGGCATCTCTTGCCTGCTTTGCCCGATGGCACCAGGAAGCACTGGATCTTGTGGCACTGCCATCAGAGAGGCAGATGGATTGGGATTCAGAAAAGGCCAAGGTGTCCTTGGCACCTGGGGAAAAGTAGGGGCAGCCAGCCTGAGCCCTCGTGCCTGGAGAGGAGGCAGGAGCAGAGCAATTAAAGGATTTTCTCTATGGCAAGTTGAGGCCTCCTGAGCTTCATCAGTGGAGGGAGAAGTCACTGTGTATTTGTCAGGCCTCACACCTCACCTGGAAGCAGGTCAGGGAACATAGCCAGGGAGAGCCTGTGATGCCCACTTATGGGGTGGGCGCTTGCAGCCATCCACATCTAGCTGGATTTGGGTCCTGCTTCCTTTCTGGGATCTAGTCCTCCAATCTCAGCTTGCCAATGGATAGTCCGCCTTCCAGGACTCTGCATAGTGCAGACTATGTTGCCAAGCACTGGGCCCACTGCCTTCTTTCCTGAACAGATGTTCTAGCACCTGCTGGAACACCTCCATGTACATCAGATGTACATCTGATGCTTCCCACCACCTTCTTGTCTCCCAGTTCACAGGAAACTAGTGTGCCTCCTTAGCTGGTACTCCCTCCCATGATCAGGAGGGGTGTGCTCCTCTATCCGTACATGCCAGGATCTGAGCTGCCTGTGGGGGGTGGAAGGGCAGGAACACAAGGAAGTCAATGTCCACTCATGACCAGGAAACACCATGCTGCCCTGTGTACCAGGACCAGTTACCGCGAGGGCAAAGAGCTAAGGAGGTCCAAGTCTAGGGGAGGGGCAGAGGCCCTACAAGGAGTGTAAACAGGTAAGAACTGGCAAAGAGAACCCAAACGAGGACTCTCCTAATGACCGACCTCCCTGCAGTCCCAGAGGATCCCCTCAGGTGTGCAAGGTGTTCTGCACCTCTGGACTCCCGGGGGTTAGCATCAGGTGGGAAAGGACACTGCCTGGAAGCAGGAGACCCAGGTTATAATCAGCAGCTATTACTGAACAGTAACAGCTGGCCAGCTTCCAGCAGGGGGCTCCGTTCGCGCCCCGTGGGTTTGAGCGCGGCTTCCCGGGCCGGGCGCTGGGCCAGATTCCCGGCGTGTCGTAGGCTCTCCAGGAGCGCGCGCGGGACAGCTGTCACCAGGAGCCCACCGCGTCAGGGCCACGGCGGGGGGGCTTTGGCCTCCCCCGGACGTGGGGATCAAGGTCCGGGTGTAAAGCCCACCGCGTCACCCCTTTGGCCCTGAGCCAGATGCCGAGCACTCGGGCTGAGCCCCACCCGCTCCGCCAGGCCGCGCCCCCTCCCGGTGTTGCCCCGCCCCTGCCTCCTCGCCCCGCCTCCTGGGGAGCCCCCGCCTCCGGGCCCCCGCTCGCGGGAGGTTCCTCTCTCCGCGCCCACCTGGTGCACCGCGGGCGTGGGGTCGCCGGCACGCGGGGCGCCCCTGATGCCTCCCGAGGCCTAGAGAAGTCGCGCGGACCGCGCGGAGAGCACGGCAAGGGCGGGGAGGAGAAGTGGGGCTCAAGCAGGGGGCCCCGGCAGAGCGTACCCCATGCCCGGGGGCCAGGGCAGCCTCTGGGTCCCTCCCCCGCCCGCAGGGACTGGGTGCGCGGCCGCTGTTTGCTCAAGGGGGCGGGCCGGAGAAGGCGTTTCTCTGCAGGGGAGCGGATCCGGGTGGCCCCCGGGGCCCGCAGCGCCGTAGAGCCTTGCCCTTGCCCTTGCCATGGCCGAGCGGCACAGGGGGCTGGGGGCGCGCCTGGCCCGCCGCTTGGCAAGGCTAAGGCTCTGGAGGGAGCGCCGGGGGAAGCGGACCCGGGAGGAGGCCAGAGCTCGGGATAGGTGAGGGGGATGGAGGAGGGCTGAAGGGGCGCCCCCGGGCCCTGTGTGTGTGTGTGTGTGTGTGTGTGTGTGTGAGAGAGAGAGAGAGAGAGAGGGTAGTGGATGTTCAAATAAGCGTGTATGAGCGTCTCAGAGCATAAAAAAATGTGTTGGTGTGCTGCGATTTGGGGTATATGTGAACCCGGTCTTTAGAGAGTACCTGTGCTCTTTTAAAACTTTAAAACAACTTTTGCAATTCCCTAAACAAGCAGGCGGCCTGCGGACAAGGATTTCCTCTCTGTAAAGGCAAACGTGGTAGCTCCTCCCGCTCCGGTGGACTTTGATTGTCACATCACAGGCCAGTTTACCTCTGGTCTTCATTCCCTTTGTTGTGAGCCTGAAGAGCATCTGAGTTGCCTTAGACTGCACTGCATTTGCCCTTAGATGCCACGGGGACGATTTCCCCTGTCATCCCAGATCCTAATAACAATAAAGCTTTGTTTGCCCCTTGCTTCAGTGCCTTACCTGGATTATCTCATTTAATCCTCACAGCAGCTCTCTGAGGCAGGTAGTTCTAGTGATTCACATATGGAAATGGAAGTTCAGAGAGGTGAAGTCACCTGCCCGGTCACACAGCTGGGAAGTGGTGGAGCTGGGTTGCAAGCTTAAGCAGTATGACTACTCCTGAGCCCGTATCCTGAAGCACTGGGCTGCTCTGTTGCCTGGAGACATTTCAGGACTGCCAGCCAGGGGGCCAGAGCACCATCCTAACCCTAGCTGCCACTGGCCTTGTCACCTTGAACAAATTGCTTCCTCTGTCTGAGCCCATTCACTGGCAACTAATATCCAGGTGGTAGGAAAAAGGCCCTGGATGGCAATGCTGAATGGCTGGGAGGGGCATAGTAAAGAGGACCCCAGTGGTTCACAGGCCCTATATCTGAAAAGAGCATGGAATATGCTCGCAGGCCCGGGGTGTTGTGTATCTAGGTAGTTACCAGGCAATTTGTTCTGATCTTATCTTCAGCAGCACTGGGAGGGGTGGGGTACCTGAGGACCAGGGCAGAGTGAGAAGAGGGGTTTGTTCTGCTCGCTCACACCAAAGAGAGAGAGAGAAGAGGGGAGGGCCTAGCCACCCTGGAAAGCCTGGAAGCCTGGGTGCCCCTGGGGGTGCCCACACCCTGCCAATGCCCTGCCCGCCCCCACCTGGAAGACATGCCCTCTCCCATTACCAGGTCGGTTGGTTGGGCAGGAACCTGCCCTATAGGCCCAGGTGGTGGCACTGCCCCTCCCTTTCCCCACTTGAGAGGAGGCAGGGTTGGCATGCAGGTGAGTCAGGGGTTGGGAGGACAGGGGAGGGACTGTGCATGCTCATGGGCCACTGTGATGATACATCCCATGCAGGCACTTGGACTCGGTTCTCACCAGATGTGGGAAAGGGACTCCAGCATTAAGACACAGACCTCTCTGATCCCTGCGGATTCCCCGGGGTTGGGCACAGGGTGCACAGAGGAGGCATTGGAGGCACTCATTAGTGTCGTGATGTCCAACCAGCCCTTGGAATGGGACAGTTCTAGTGTCCTAACTCCAAGGCTCACCAGCTGTGTGACTCCAGGCAAGTTACTTCACCTTTCTGGGCCTCAGTTTCCTTATCTGAAAAAATGGGGGCGTAGTATCCACCTTGTAGGATTATTGTGAGGCCTGAAGAAGACCACTTGAGCACCATACCGAAGGCTCAGCTTGGCACTGGGAGGGCCTCAGCAAATGGCAAGTCTTTGAATTATTTTTTTATTTTTTATTTTTTTTAAATTTATTTATTTATGATAGTCACAGAGAGAGAGAGAGAGAGAGGCAGAGACATAGGCAGAGGGAGAAGCAGGCTCCATGCACTGGGAGCCCGATATGGGATTCGATCCCGGGTCTCCAGGATCGCGCCCTGAGCCAAAGGCAGGCGCCAAACCGCTGCGCCACCCAGGGATCCCAAGTCTTTGAATTATTGAGATGCTGTCCTTTTTCTATATTCTGGCCTCGCTACAGACCTAGTCCCCGCTTTTGTCCTAAGTTCATCCCTGTCTCTCTCTTTTGGAGGAGTAGACAGCTGTGGGAGGGAGCAGAGGGGAGGCTGCTGTGTAGACCCTACCCCACTCCCAAGGGTTCAGGACCTCAGCCTGCCCGTGTGCCCTGAGTGAAGTGGGCAAGGGCCCCAGGGTCCAGTCTGAGGGTGAGAAAGGAGGAGGCTACTTCACTCCTTTCCCTGTGCTTCCTTCCTAGGCCCTGGGGTGGCCAGAGCTGCCCTGACCTGGCCCAGGGCCTGGGCAGCACCAGCAATGTCAGCCTCCAGGTAAGAGTGAATCTGAAGGGGTAGGCGGGGAGGGGGTTTCAGAAGCTCTGGGAGGGGCTGCGCAGGCCCTGAGAACCCTGAGTTCTCTAATCTTCCCTCTGCCACTGATTCACTATGTGCCCCTGGGCAGATCATTCCCCCACCTCAGTTTCCCTATCTGCAAAATGGGAACAATGCCATTCATAGTTGTTGTGAGAAAGAAAGTCATGGATGCAGGACCTCCAGCGAGGGGCCTAGATGCTCTGGAAGCCTGAGCTTCCTAATGCCCAGGCCCTCGGGGAAGCCTGAGGGCCAGTTCCCATGCCCAGGAGCCCCCTTTCCATACTCCCTCAGCTTGACCTTGTCTTATCTTTGGCCCCCTTCCCCCACTTCCTGGCACAGCACTTCAGGGGTGAAGCTGGACCAGTGGTCTCACTTACTGGCCACAATTCCCCTGTCTTCAGTGGGGACTTGAGCCATGGCTTGAACAGTGACAGGGTGTCCTCCCTTTGGAGGAGCAGAAGGCCTCCTCTGGAGGTGGCTCAAGCAGCCATGTGTCTGCGGTCCTGAATACCATTAGTAATTACTAGCATTTAATTGAGTGCTCATTATGTGCTGGTTACTCTGTGCGGCTTATCTCATACTATCTTCACAACACTCCCAGGAAGCAGGTACTGTTATTATCATACCCATTTTACACACTGGGAAGGTGAGATTGTGGCTAGGAAGTAGCAGAGCTGTGATTTGAGCCTGGGTTGCCTCGCTCCAGCCCCCCATGTGAATCACAGTGCCATCCTGTCTCTTGAGGTATTCAGCCCTTGGGGAACAAGAGGCTGTACCTATTTCACAGATGAGTAAATAGAGGTATTTGGGATCAAGGGCCCCTGCTAGGAGGACTTTTGAGCCCAGACCTGGCTCCTCTTTTACCAAGGACACAATCCTGCCCCTGAAAATTAGTGGTTTGGGGAGCAGTGTCCATAATGGGTGTGGAATCCCTGGCCCTCTCCCTTCACTCACTCACATGGCCAGGTTGGGCTGCAGGGAAAGAGAGCAGATGGAGGTTAGGTTTGTCCCACTTTCAGGGGAACCCTCTTCCCTGGCTCCCTCACGGCTCATGTACACTTCTATGCCCAGGTACCTCCTCCTGGGTGTGCTTGGGATTCTCAGGCTGCGAGGTACTGGGTGTGGGGGCTGGTGGCTGTAAGCTCTCTGGAAGCCTGGAGTGGGCAGAGGCCATAGACACTTGTCGCAGGCATGCCCATGCAGTCCCCAACCCCCAGAGAAGTTGCTGCCGAAGGGCCAGAGGTCTGTGGATGCCTGGGAAGGTGGCCGTTGGCCTGAGAGTTGGGCCCTCACTGAGTGACTGCAGTCAAGTGGGTGTCCTCTCTGGGCCTCACTTCCCTCAGATTAGAAGCAGGAGAGTGAGTTAAATGCTGAGGTCCTTCCCAGAGCTCTGCCCTTTTGTCCAGTTCTCATGACCTTTAGGGCAGCTCTGCTTGATGTCAGAGCTCTGTTCAGCTTCTCCTGTGCCAAAGAGGGCAGTCAAGGGTGTTGAGAGGTGCTTGGAGGGCGAGGAGTGCTGTCACCATTCTCCTGCTTTTGCATTCCCTTAGGCCCAATCCCGCAGCTGCTCGGAATGGGACCTTCAGGCGGGGAGCCGTGGTTCCTGGCTTTGGAAGAGGCGACACAGCTCTGGGGAGTCCACTCAACCCCTGGGGCGCCTACAGAGGCCAGCGGTGGGCAGTGCTTCCGACCTGGCCAACTACGCCTCCGTGGGACGGGAGAGCCTGGCACTAGCGGCAGAGCCTGCTGGTGCCAGGTGCCCCTCATGCCCGGTGCCAGCTCCTGGATGTTCGGAGCAAGGAACCCCAGGTCGCACTGGCCTGCAACCCCCGTACACTGCCCCGGAGGTTCCTCTGAGGCCTGAGCCACCGGGCAACCTGGAAAACCTGCTGCCCCGCCCAGTGTCTTTCCCCGAGGCAGAAGGGGCAAAGGGCGAGCCTGTCACACCGGAGCCAGCCCTGTCAGATCTAGCCCAAATCCTACGCGAGTGTCCCTCTGCCAGGAAGACCCGCTACCACATCACTATCACCCTACAGGGGCACGGGCAGGCACCTGGGGAGGAGGCTGAGGAGCCTAAACCGGCCCGACCAGCTCTCCACCCCTGCGGCCCTGAGGAATCCAGGGGCTGGCAGGAGCCTCCCCAGGGGCCCCGCCCCATCACAGGGTGCCTGACAGACCTGCCCCGGGAGCCCCGGCGGAGAGCCCCACTGCACCAGGAGATCACAGCCCAGTGGCAGGAGCTCCAGGGCCACTGGACGCCCGGGTCCCCACACGGACGGTGAGTAGGGTCAGTCCCCACGTGGGCCGACAACGAGAGGGGCAACTGGCCTGGCTGCCCCCTCTTGGCTCCCTGCCTGGTCTCTGGGCTTTTCCAACCCAAGGCCCATTCATTCAGCTCCCTGGGCATGCGCTGACTCTGTCCTGACCACTCAGCTCTGCCCTCCTCTCCCTCCCCTCATCTGCAAGCTACCTCCGGGGAACTAATGCCTCTCTCCTTCTCTGTCAACCTGAGGAGGAGGAGGATAGCTTGTCATGGAGGGGAGGAGGAAGGGTCATCTTCTCCTCAGCAATACCCACCACTCCTTGGTTCTGTTTAGGACACCACAGACCCAGCCTGGGGATAGGTGCCCAGCCAAAGTGCTGGGTGTCCCGGGACAAGCTGCTTAACCTTTCTGGGCCTTGAGCTGTTGAATAGATTTGGTAGCTGGAGGTGAAGAGGGAGGAGGTGGTCATGGGACATGCTTTGAACTCCAGGGAATTGGGCCGCTGAAACAGCAGGGATGCTCATTACTAACGCCTCAGTTGCAGCAATAATTACCCCACCTGGCTCTGGGGTGGCGACCACAGACCAGCCTCGAGGTTCCCAAGCCTCAGTTTTCATTTGTGTTAAAATGACTCTCCTGAATCTGTCTGGTAGGCCCAGAGGTAGAAGGGTGGGTCCCTTAAAACTCAGGAGGGGGTGATGTCTCTAGGGCCACCAGGAAGAGGCACTGGGCCTTATACAGGGCCCTGAGAATTTCTGAGGATGATGGTGGTGGCTGTTACTTATGGCTTGTTTTCTAAGCATCATTCTTTTTTCTTTTTTCTTTTTTTAAAGACTTCTTTATTTTAGAGGGTGTGTGTGTGTGTGTGTGTGTGTGTGTGCGCGCACGCTCACGTGCACACGCGCAGGGGAAAGGCAGAGGGAGAGGGAGAGAGAGAGAATCTCAAGCAGACTCTGCCCTGAGCGTGGAGCCTGACTTGGGGCTTGATCCTATGACCCTGCGATCATGACCTGAGCCGAAACCCAGAGTCGGGCACTTCAGTGACTATGCCACCCAAGAGCCCCCTAAGCATAGTTCTTTTTAATCCTCAAAAAGCCCCGTGAAGTAGGCCTGATCTTGCTCACTGCCCCCATTGCCATAGGGAAACTAAGGTTCAGGGAGGTCACATCACTTGCCTAAAGTCAACTAGATTGGGAAAGAAGACGTCAGAACTTGAACCTGGAGGCCTGTGGCTCTAACCACTGCTTTCTCCTGCCTCTCCCAGAGGCTTTGTGGGCCCTGTGCCGCCAGTAGAGGGTTGAGTGGCTGCTGTAGTGGGTTTTCAGTGACCCTGTGGAGGTAGATTTGGCAGCATCAGGAATGCCCAGGCCCCCGGGCGGGAGTCAGGGTACCTCGTTCTGGGGTAAGGAAGAGGGAAAGGCGGGAGCCAGGCTGGCTCAGACACCTGCTCCGGTGCCCCAGCGGGGAGAGAAGGGCTGCAGAGAGAGGGAGAGTGGGGGGAGGAGGCAGGCCTTGGAGAAGGAAGAAGCAGTAGGTTTAGCTGAGGGGACTCGGGCTCTACCTGCCACTCCCCGGCTATTTTGGGACCAGGTAGCTAATGACAGACTCTGGCTGGAGGCTAGGCTCGCTTACAGAGGCAGGAAGCGGACCTCCAGGGATATTATCCTTCTCTGACCCCTTTCTGGGCAAAGCAGTCTCTGGGTTAGGATGGGCAGATGTTGGTGGGGGGCGGCGGGGATGTGGGAGTTGGGGCTGCAAGTAGGATTGTGTAAGATATGTATGCATTTGTGTGTGTCTGTGTTCAAGTGCAGGCAAATATCAAGAGGAGGAGGAGGAGGGCTGTGTGTTGACCGTGTGTCCTGTGACTGTGGGCATGTGTCACTAGGTCTGTGTGTTTCTGTGAGTGTGTGACTCGTGCGTCCACCGTGTCTCGGAGTGTCTTTAACTCTGACTCTGTGAGTCTGACCCTGTCGGTCTCTGTCTGTTTTTGTGACCGTGTGACTCGGTGGGTCTGTGTGTCAGCGTGTGCCTGTGTGACGCAGCATGTATTTGTGGGCCTGTGGGCCTGTGGACTGGTTTGGCCTAGTTTGGGGGTGACTCACAGGTAAGCGGGGAGAATCCAGGACTTGTTGGATTAGACAAGGCTCTTTCCCACACTCCCCGCACCCCCTCCTCAGCCTCTCCCTTTCCCGGCCCCACACACCTAGTTTGGAGGTCACAGTCACCCTGCCAACAGATCCATTTCTGGTCTGGGGCCCCAAAGAAGAGAGGGCTCTGGGAATGAGGACTTCTGCTAGCCTAGGAGAGGCATCCTGGGTCATTGGGGTGTGTCTTCAGAGCAAGGACACAAGGGGGCAGCTATATTCAGGCAGATTCCAGCACAGTTTGAAGAACACTCCAGCAGTCATGACTATCCAGGGATAGGACAGGTCAACTGTCAACTGGTGACCTCTATATCCCTAGAAGTATGCAAGCAGAAGCCAATGACCACATGTTTATGGAATGAGTGACTGGCAGGGGTGTTGTTCAGGGGCTGGGCTGGCTTGAGAAAGGCATGGAATTCTGATTGCTAGGAGGTCATTTACAATATCTGATCTGATGACCAATGGCTTCCTTTGAAGATGTTCTCTTGATGCTTTGCCAAAACCAATAGGCCCCTCCAAATGTGGCTCCTGTTTTTTTTTTTTAAAGATTTTATTTATTCATGAGAGAGAGAGAGATAAGCAGGCACCATGCAGGGAGCCTGATGTGGGACTCGATCTTGGGACTCCAGGATCACGCCCTGGGCCAAAGGCAGGCACTAAACCCCTGAGCCACCCAGGGATCCCCTGTGGTTCCTGTTTTTACATCTAATTCTTTGACCCCTGAACTCCTAGGATACCATCTTTTGGTGAACCAAGCCAGGGCCTAACACATCACCTAACACTGGATGAACAAATGAATGAATCAATCAATCAATGACTTAGAAACCCAGTCTCTGCCATTTAATGTTAATGTCCTCAGGAGCAGGGAATCTCAATGGAACCCTAGTACTTATTATTGCAGAAATAAAGAGGAGACTCAGTGGGGGGCTCAGTGATAGGTTGAAGCTCCTTGTCCGGAGTCTCAGCAGGCACAACAAGTTTCTATTAGAAGGAAAGGGGCTCCTCAGTGAGGGGGGTGGGGAAAGGAGCCTCAGCAAAGGGCTCTGATGTGGGGCCTCAGATGTCTGGTTGTGTCCTGCTCTCAGGAATTCTGGTCTGGGGAAAGGTTTGGGGAAAGATTCATGTCAGGCCCCTCCCTTCCCCATATGCAAGGATTTTCCAGGGCCACTCAGATCCTGTCATAGTTTCCCATGGTTCTGGAGTCAAGTCAGGCTTCCCTGGGCCTCAGCCCCTTTCATCTCTGTTCCTCATAAAACCTGAGTCACTTCTAGGGCCACAGAGCAGGATCAAAGTTCTGGGTTCCACCGGCTTCTCAGGAGGGAAGAAAATAGAGGTGGGGGAGGGGAGTTGGGGGAATGGGGGCATTTCTGGCCTTAATGTCCCTTATAATGGCCCAAGGGGCTGCCTCATGGAGAGAAATGGCCTGGAGATGGGCTGGCCCTGAGGCTGAGGATGAACAGCCTGACCTCTTGGATCCTTGGGATCTGAGAATAGGGTTGTCCTGTTCAGCACAGGCTGGAAGTTGGAGTGGGGGCTGGGTGGTCCCTCCAGCACTACTGTGGCCCCCCCCTTTTTTTGTGGCCCCCTTTAAAAAGTAGAATCTCCAAACCATAGAGTCTCTGTTCACCAAATAATTAACGTTAGGGAGTTTACTCCCTAATGATGGTCAGGTGCTTAAGGTTGGAGTTCAAGTATTGCCTCTGCCACTGTGTGTGATTCTGGGCAAGTTTCTTAACCCCCCTGAGCCTTTTTTTGTTCTCATCTGCAAAATGGGGAGGTTTGTTTAGAAATGGGTCTTTGAGGTATCAAATACATGGGATTCTTTTGAAGATTCACTAGGACAATGGACATAAAGCAGTTAGCAAGGCGCTCCGTCCTGAGTAAGCCCTAAGCCCTCAAGAGATGGCTATTGTCGTTATTATTACTATTACTATTAAACCAGAGAGATTCACCTGAGAGTTTCTAGAGAGCTTATTGCTATCCCCTACCCATTAAAGGAGATAATAGAGACCCAGAGAGATCAAGGAAGGGTAAGGAAAAAAAATAGGACCCAGGCTCCAGCCCTCAAGGAGCGAATGTGAGATGTGCTTGCTAAAGAGGCTCATGGGAGTAGCAGAATGTGCTCAGAGCCTTGGCCTAGTGGACAGGAGGGAAGATGCCTGGACATGGATTCAAACGGGAATTCTAACCACAGCCCGGCGGCTTAGCAGCTGCACTGCCCTAAGCCAGTCTCTTCTCTTCTCGGACCCTCAGTTTCTTCATCTGTACAGATAATCACAGAGGAGAAAATTGAGGGAAAGTACATTCACAGGCAAAGTGCTATGTGCTGCTGGGCTTCATTCAGACTCACAGGTGCACTTAGGCTCCAGTAGCTGTCACCACATGCTTTGGCCAGCACACAGGTGTGCATGCCCGTGAACATTTGCTCACAGTTTTCCAAGGTGATAGTGGGAAATTTTTGTTTTGGGTTTTTTTTTTTTTTTTGAAGATTTTGTTTTTTGAGAGAGAAGGAGGGAGAGAGAGGGAGAGAGAGAGAGAGAGAGAGAGCGCACAAGCAGAGAGGAGCTGGGGAGGGGCAGACTCCCCACTGAGCACAGAGCCTGATGCAGGGCTAGATCCCAGGACCCTGAGATCATGACCTGAGCCCAAGTCAGACACTTAACCAACTAAGCCACCCAGGTGCCCCTCCAGTGTTTTTGTTTTTAAGCAACTTGTCATTCTTTCTCTCCTATTGGACTTGGACAATAACTATGAGACACATACCGTTAGTATTCCAGTTTTGTGACTGGGGTCCCTGAAGCTTGAAGGGGAGAAGTGGCTGGCCCAGGGTTATTCAGCTAGTAAGCAATAGGGTCAGGGGAAACTTGGCTTTGCCAGAGCCCACATCCCATCTTTCCTTACCTTGCCTTAAAATGATCAGGGACAGGGTCAGAACAGTTGCCTGGTTTCCTAATGTTTGGCTTCTGGAGGACTAGACCCAGGGCTCCTTGGGGCAGAGTCATGGCCCTATCCACAGGCCAGTGAATCCAACCCATATGCTTTTTTGCTCTCTCCCCTCTGTCTCCTTCCAGGCTCGGGCCTCAGCTTCACCCCTTGAAGGACTCTGGCATTGGGGATCATGTGAAAGTGGGGAGATGGTGGGAGAGCTGGGAATATCATGCCCATTTTACAGATGAAGAAACAAAGGCCCAAAAAGTCAAATGACTTGCCTGGGGTTACTGAGCCTGAGCTTGGCAGGGGTAGTTACTCTGTACTGCTGAGAGCCACCCTCCCCACCCCTTGACCCTGTCTCTCTTCTTCCTGGCACCATCTGCAGGGAGCTGGACCATACTGAGCCAAGGACATCTCTGGACAGGTTGCTGGGGCCTGACATGGAGGGGGCAGGTGGGCCCCCGGCTCAGGCTGAGGCCCCAGTGGTGAGCACCACACTGGCGTGGCGGCGGCCCCCTGCCCAGGAAGAGATGAGACACCGTTTTCACAAGGTGTCCCTGGTGTCAGGGGCCCAGACAGAAGCCCCCCGGGAGGAGATGTTGGAGTATAGCCACAGTCGAGAGGAAGTCAATGGCTTTGCAACCCGGGAAGAATCGACTATAAGTTACAAGGGACCCCGGGATGGGGCCGGCTCCAAGAGCTTCCAGAGCCACGGGCCCATCTTTTCCAAGAAGTACACGCTACTCCCCAAGGAGAAGAGGCCACTGGGGAGACGGAAGGAGGCCGTAGACCAGGGCGACAGCAGCCCCCAAGAGCCCAGGGCTGAGCAGGCCAACCCGGAAGCCCTGGCCAGGACAGAGCTTTTGGTGCCCCTGCCCGGGCCCCGGGAGCCCAGCCCCCACCCTGGCGTCAGCCTCAGCAGTGGGAGCCCCCGGAGCCTCGAGGAACGCCGGGTGACGCGCACCGTGCAGACCACCGTGGTGGTGGGAGGGCACGTGGAGCGGCGGGTGAACAGCTCCGTGACCGTGGGCCCAGGGCCATGGGGCGAGGCCCAGCCCAGGGGCCGCAATGTTGTTCGCGCAGTACGGGCAGTGATCGTGAGCCCCGAGGCCGAGGGCTCCCCTACCCGCAGTCAAGCCCGGGAGCTGCTAAGTAGCCTCGTACCCACTGAGCGGAGCCCCGCTGCCAGCCGGCTTCCCAGGCCCATGGCTGTTGTGCCAAGGAATCCGGGTCTGGGTGGCTCAGGGGGCGCGGCCTCGGGGCAGCTGCCTGAGCCGGGGATGGCAGAGCCAAAGGACAGATCTGCTCTGGGTGCTGCAGGCAGCTCGGAGGATGGTCACCCGCCTCTGAACCAGGACGTACCTGCAGCTCACCCAGAGCAAGACCAGAGCCGAGCCCCTGAGGTCCTAACGCGGCAAGGAGCCTCCAGTCCCACCCAGCCCTCTCCCCAGATTTCTCGGAGCCATGTGTCATTACCCTCCTCTCTCCGACGCCAGACTCCTACTCCCTCCCTGGACCCAGAGCACCCCCCAGAGCAGCCAGCGGTGCCCACATACCCCAGGACCCAGCTTACTCTCAAGCCCAGGGTACCCCAGGCGCTGCCCTCCATAAAAAGGGAGGGGCTCACAGATCCCTCTGTTGTCACCGTCCTGCCCATGGCAAAGAGCGAGGTGCTTGTTACCGGCCCTGGACAGTCTCTTGCTCCATCCTCTACAAGACGGAAGGCTGTTCCTAGCTCAGGAGCGCTTTCGGCTCCATCCTCCCCGGGGAATAAGCTTGTTCGGGACTCTGAACATGTCCCTGTCTTCTCCCTTACCCAGGCAGAGGTGGTGGCAGGCCCTGCTGCTCCTGCTGCCTCATCCCCCAAGCCAAGCAAGGTGGTCCAGGCCCCAGCAGGCAGCCCTAGCACCCCAAAAGAGGCTGTCCATGATACTAAAGGTGACCTTGCTTCTTGTCCCAGCCAGGATGAGGCTGTTGGAGGCCTAACCACTTTCACTATTCCATCTCCCCAAGAGGAGGAGATTGTTGAGGGCTCCAAAGTGAGCCCCATCGCATCTCCCACCCAAAAGGAGCTTGTCCAGGGTCCTGGTGCTTCTGCTGCCCCATTTTCCACCCAGACAGTGATTGCCCAGGACACTGCTGTTCCCCCTGCCCCCTCCTCAGAGGGTAAGGTGTCCCCCAGCCCAGGAGGGCCCCCTGCCTCAGTGCTGATGAGAGCAGAGGCCAGCCTGGAGTCCCAACTTGTCCCCAACTCCACTGAGGGCGAAATGCTCCCAGAGACATCCAGGGAGGAGGAGGAGGTGGCCCTGGCTGCTGACCTGGAGATATTCCTGGATACTCTGCGGAGCATGGAGCCGCCTGAGATCCTCCGCACTCACCGGCTGCCACGAGCCCCCCGGTCCTCCTACCTGGCCATGTATGCTACGCTGCCTGCCATCGAGGAGGACCAGCCCGGACCATGGGTGCTGGGACCCAGCCCCCAGGAGGTGCCCACACTAGAAGGGAAAGAGGAAGAGGAAGAGGAGGAGGAAGAACCAGAGAACCCCTACCTAAGTGACGATGAGAAGCTCCAGCGCAGGCAGGAGAAGGCCGGGCCTAGCCCCTCCTGGGACTCTCGCCCTGCGAGGCCCCCCCAGGTCTCTTGTTCTCCTCTCGAGATGATGAAGAAACATGTAGCAGATGCCAAGGGCCCCCGCCCAGAGCTGGGGCCAGAGTGGCAAGCAGGCAGTAGGCCCACTTCTCGTCTTGGAGGCAGCCTTCTCTTCAGTGGTCTGGTGTCTGCCACCCAGGAGGCCCCCATCTCGGAACCACTGGGCACAAAACTATCTGCTCTGCCACCCCATGTGACACCTGGCACCAGGAAGGTGCCAGGACAGCTGCCCCTGCTCTGCAGCGAAAGGCCACCACCAGAGAAGCCTGCTTGTGCCCAGCCCCTGGCGGGGTGGGTGAGTGAGACCTTGGATGAGCAAGGGAGGGTGCCCAGCCTCACCTGGGGCAGGGTTTGGGTGGCATGAGCACTGTGGCACTGGGAACGGAGTCTGGAGAGGCCAGAGGCTTGGATCTGATGTCTAGTTCAGTGTGACCTTATACAAGCCACAATTTTCTGGGCCTCAGTTTCCCTATTCACACAGCAGGAGGCTTACAACTTTGGAATCCAAAGGGCTTAGTGGCTCTGATCTCTTGGAAGCTGGGGAAAGGGAGTGATAGGCACCTGCCCCCTGGGATGGGTGATGAGGTCCCTGGAGTTAGTGACATCCTCTGTGGGCAGCTCTTTGGGTTGGAGGCCAATAGGGAGCAGGTGGGATCCTTGGAATGACAGGTTGTGGGGAGGCAGTAAGGAAGCCACACCATAAGACTTTTTATCACCTCCCTCCATGCCAGAGCCCAGCATTGAAGATCCAGGGCAAGCTGAACACCAGGCCTGGAAAGGTAGGGGGGAAGACTGTGGGGAGGGGGAGCAGCAGGAGGCCGGGACCCGGGGACAGGGCCTGAGGATACCCTCTGCGTCCTCTCCAGATGATCCTCTTCTCAGAGCCTGGCTGCCAAGGCAGCAGCAGGGATGTCTGGGAAGACACTGCTGACACCTCCAGCTGGCCCTGGGTGGCCTCCGTGAGGGTGGTTCGAGGCTGGTGAGTGCAGGCTGCCGGGGCGAGGCAGGGGGCTGCTTGTGGACCTACAGGATTTCAGAGCAATGAGATGTACCTGGGCCAACCTGACCGAAACCCCCTCAGGCACCCCTCCCCTGCTTTGTGGGTACATCCTCTACCCACCCATGACCCCGGGTCTCTGTGCCTACAGCTGGGTGCTATACGAAGAGCCAGAGTTCCGGGGCAGGAAGCTGGTTGTGCCTGAAGGAGATGTGGATTTAGGAGCCCCAGGGCCAGCGTGGAGCACCCAGGGCATTGGCTCTGTGAGGCGGGTTGTCCGGGTAAGTGGCTGGGAGCGGGCACCAGATGCTCCCCAGGCCCTGAGGACGGGGACAGCCTAGGTGCCTGCAGTTGGAATGGCTAGGAGAGCTTATATGGGTGAGGAGCCTAAATGGGGCTTATTATGGGGTCACCTATAGATTCCTGACCTCAAAGCTATTTGGGGAAGAAAGGAGTTCTGGGGTGCTTGGCCTGGCTTGGGGAGGCAGGGGGCAGACAGAGGCCAAGCCCCAGCTTGGGAGAGTAGCCTGGGAAAGTATGAGCTGGACTTGGAGAAGGATTCAGTTAGAGCAACAGAAATGGGCGGGAGTGGCTATGGGTGCCAGCCCACCCCCCAGGGCCCAGGATCTCAGGCCCACAGTTAGACCCAGGGTGCCACAGCTGTTTGCTCATTTGCTCACCAATGCTGGTTAATGTCTGCTGCATGCCAGGCACCATGCCAGGCAATGGGTGGGTGGGGAGATCTGCTCTCTGCCCTGCAGGACTCATGGTTGAGCTAGGGTATGAGGGTTGGACTTGAAGCAAGAAAGGCAAATAATCAGATTAGGGGTTTATAAACATCCCTCTGGCTACCAGGAGGAGAAATCTGGGACTCAGGAAGACCAGGCAGGGCTGTGATTTCCAGGTGAGGGGCACCTCTGACTTTGAAGGGAGAAGTGTGTAGTTTGAAAAGGCATGGTCAGTGTTATGGTTTCGTATAGTTTTTGACAAAACTGTCTTGGCCACTAGAGACACAGAAGAGAAAGCAGTAACTCTAAAGGCAGGGCCTATCAGACTTTTTTTTTTTTAATTAAAGTTTGAATAACTCCAAGACAGAGCTGTTGCAATACTCCTGGTAAGAGGACGAGAGCTGACGAGTCTTAATGAGGGCAGTGGCCCAGCTATGCAAAGGAGGGAATAGTTTTGAAAGCCTCTCCGGAAACACACAAATGTTTGCAGACAGTTTATTGAGAGCTTCTCACGATAAATTCATCTTCATGTAGGAGGTAACGAGGAGTAAGAGAAGAAAAAAAAAAAAAACAAGAGCTTTGAAGTCAGGTGGGGGACCTAGTTTGATTTGATTCGTTCAGCATCGATCGGGCACCTGGTGTGTTCCAGGCATGTGGGAGGTGCTGGTTGCAACAGTGAACAAAAACCATATTGCTCTGTTCTTTACCCTGCTACGTACAGGCTTTGTGCCCAAGGGCAGGCCGCTTAACTTCGCTGAGCCTCACTTTTCTAGCCTGTGAATGGAGTAATGATTCCTGTTGGGAGGGCCAACTGAGATGGAGTAGGACATGCCCTTACCACAGTGCCTTGCGCTCAGTAGATGCTTCATAAGCATCTGATGAAGCAGCGAGGGAATGACATGGCCCTGGCGGGAAAGAAACACCCAGAATGCAGAGAGGACCCTCTGCTGCCTGGGATAAGTTGCAGATAGAAGCCAGTCTGGACTAGGGCAGGAATTGTTTACAAAGGAAGAGTCAAAGTTAGATCTCAGGAAACAGCTGTCAATCCTACTTGTCTCTGGGTTGGAAATCAGGGTACCCAGAGGCATGGTACTTGGCAGGCTCCCGCTGGGAACTTTGGACCTTTGGTGCCAAAGGTCCAGCGCCAAAGAGAGGGCTTTGGTCTCAGGCTTGTCTGGCCCACTTTGCGGAGAACGCCCCAGTTACCCTTCTGGCTTCTGTGGAGATGGCCACAAAGGGTTCCCAGAAGCGCTCTGGAGCCCTGGTTGGACACAGTTGGGGAAGCAGTTACTGGCAGGGTGTGGGGGGTGTTCTCTGAGGAGTACTGCTTTACACTTACTTCTTTTTCACCCCTCTTTCCTTCTACAGGACTACAGTACCCCAGAGATCATCGTGTACTCTGAGAAGGGCCTCAAGGGGGAGCAAGTGGAGCTAACGGATGCCTTGGAGGACACCCAGGGCCTGGAGAAGCCCCTGCAGGCCGCATCTGCCACTGTCTCTGCAGGACTGTGAGTCTGGGCTATTCTGGAAACCCTTCATTTTACATTCATTTTTCTAAGTGCTGGGGACACAGAGGTGATGGGACACAACTCCTGTCCTCAGGAAGTCCTTACTTAGTCTACTGGAGGGGACAGGCAAGTAAAAAGACAGTGGCAATCAGAGTCCTGGCATGGGGCAGCACAGAAAAGCACCGAAGCAGCCTGAGGTCAGAGAAGCCTCCCTGGAGGAGGAGACACCACAGCAGGGATGAGCTGACCACAGAAGAATCTCAGCATAATGAGAGCAGGGCATGAGGGATTTTGTAGGTTTTGTTCACTACTCTCTCCCTGATGCCTGAAGCAGGGGCTGGCACGGGGTAGATGCCCCTAAATATTAATGAATTAATTTAATGGGGAAGAGTATACCTAGTGGAGGGAACAATACCTGCAAAGGCTCAGAGGTGAGAGATCTAAGCCTCAAAAGCTGAGTCTGGCCCAACCAAACAGCAGGTGGGGAGATGTGAAGACCAGGAGTATGATCGGGGGACAGATCAAAAGGCCTCTGTGCAGCTGGGCTATCTTGTGGGGGCTAATGGGAAGCTACTGGGGGTCCCTAAGCAGGTATGTGTGCAGGAAAGAATTCTCCAGCTGCTGTGTGAAATTAGAGCACGCTGAGCCAGAGGAAGAGGGATCAGTGGAGTGGCTACTGCAGATTAGGGGGTCCTGAAATATCCTCCAGTGTCCCCTTGATGGGGGCCTCTTCCCCTAAAATTCCTTCTCCCCTCTAAACCTCCCCCCATCCACCAATCTGTGTCCCTGGGTATCTGGGGTAGAGCTGCCTCTCTGCCTCCTCCCCAGGTGGCTGCTGTACCCCAAACCCTCCTTTGAAGACTCTCCCTGCATTCTGGAGCCTGGAGAGTACCCGACCTTGGAGGCCTGGGGTACATCTGACCTCAGAGTGGGCTCCTTGAAGCCCATGAGATTGGTAAGGGGCAAGTGGTCACAGGTGACCTTGTCCTGCAATTCTGGGGGAAGAAGTAGGGCCTGGGGGCTCCTGCTGAGCATGGGATGGAGAGGGGGGCGTGGAATTAGCCCAAGGGGTGAGGCAGAGGGAAGACAGGGGGTTGGCCATTTTTAGGGGTCTCAGGATCAAGTAAATCCTGGGTTGCCAGCCCCCATCTGTCTTCTTTCACCTCTGGGCTGGCGCCTCAGCTTTGTCTCCTCTGTAGGGCTGCCCAAGCGTGGAGAAGCCGAGGGAGCCCAAGGTAAGAGTCTGGGCTGCACTGTCAAAGACGGCCTTTGGGTAGGGTGTGTATATGTGTGTGGCTACCTTAGCCTGGACCAGAAGACAGGAGAGGAGAGTGCTGGGAAACAAGCTGGCTCTGGGAGGGTGGAATCCTATGGGCTCACTGGGAACCGGCTTTTGATGTGTAAGGAGCAGGTCAGAGAAGAGACAGCAGTTACCTAAGGGACTGGAGCTCAGGTTGAGAGTGGGAGGACTTAGCTCTGGGCTAATGCTGGGCAGGGCCTCCCTGGGCTGGCTGGGTGTTTCAGGCTAGATGGCTCCCCACCACCCTCACACCACCCCTTGTCCCCAGATTGTGGTTTATGAGAACACAGGCTTTCAGGGCCAGAGCTGGGAAGTAAGCAGAGACATCTACAACCTCCAGGAGCCAGAGGACAGCCAGAGCCCCCACCTGGCCTCTGTGGGGTCCCTGCGAGTTCTTGGGGGCTGGTGAGGACACAGAACCTTTCCTCCTCTTTCATCCTCCCCTCTTCCCTCTATGCGGGGGGTGGGGGTGGGTGTTAGGGAGTGGCCCGGGCTGCCTAGGGGTGGGGGCAGCTGTCTTATACATTCGTGGACCTTCCATGACCGAGTCCGCTTGTTCCCCTCCTTCCCCCAGCTGGGTGGGCTACCAGAAGGCAGGCTTCCGGGGCCACCAGTATCTGCTGGAGGAGGGAGAATATGCTGATTGGTCACAGTGGGGAGGCTATGACGAGGTGCTGACCTCCCTGCGGGTCATCCGGACGGTAAGCAGGGGCAACTGGGCCATCCCTCTACCTGGGGCCACAGCCACACTCCTGCCGCCCCACCAAGTACAATCTGTGGAGGGAAGAGTTTGTTCCCTCTTTCCTAGTTCTCCTGAGTACTTCCTGCTGCTCTTCCCCAGGCCACACTGGTCGCCTTACTCCAAAGTCCCCTGGTGGGCTGTGTCCCCGGGGTCTGGGCACTCCCAGGGGTTTCCGTGGGTTGGCAGGAGAGACCTGACTATCCTTGGGGCCCAGGACTTCGGGGACCCGGCCCTCGTGCTGTTTGAGGCCATGGACTTCGAGGGGCACGCCGCGGAGGTGAGAGAGGCATTGCCGGACGTGGAGCTGGCGCGACACGGCCCCCACACGCAGGCCATCCACGTGCTCAGCGGCGTGTGAGTGACCCCGGCTCCGGGAGCCAGGCGCGCGGGGAGCGGTTCCAGGGGAGGAGCCGGCCCCGCCCCGCTGACCCGCGCCCCGCCCTCCCTGCAGGTGGGTGGCCTATCAGAAGGTGGGCTTCTCCGGGGAGCAGTACGTGCTGGAGAAGGGCGTGTACCGCACCTGCGATGACTGGGGCGCGGGCAACAGCGCCCTCGCCTCGCTGCAGCCGGTCCTGCAGGTGCGCGCCAGCCGCGGGGGACGGGGGCCCGGGGGCCCGGGGGCAGGGGCTCGGAGCCTGGGCGGGGCCCACCGCGGGGGGCGGGGCTGGGAGGTGCGGGCTCCGAGCGCGGGGGCGGGGCGCCTGGGAAGGGGCGGGGCTAACGCGGGCCTGAGCTACCCGAGAACCGTGGAAAGGGTCGGGAAACAGGCTGGAGTCTGGTACCTTTCTTACGTCTCGAAACTTTGGGTCCTCCCTTCAGGTCGGCGAGCACAATCTGCACTTTGTCTCAAAGGTAAGGAACTGTTGGGGGGTCTGTCTCCTCTTCCTCCTCCATCCCGTTCCATCGCCCTCCACTCTCAGCTCTTCCTTTCTCTGCCTGCAGATTCAGCTTTTCTCTGGCGCCGACTTCCTGGGCGACCACATCTCCTTCGAGGATGACCAGACCTCCTTGCCCGTCTCCTTCCAGCCCCAGTCCTGCCGTGTCCACGGGGGCAGGTGAGGACGTGAGGGAGGGGAAAAGCGGGGCGCACCTGCCTGGAGTGCTCAACTCGGGTGGGGAATCTGGGCTGCAGGAAGGTCTTTCCTTCAAATGATTTCTTTCCTTTCGCTCCCTTGAGATTACCTGTTCTGTCCCAAATCATTCAATCTTAAAACAAACAAAGCCAAATAAAGTTTTAACGGAAAACGTAAAGCTTGTAGATAGTATAGGATGAAGAACCCCAATCTTGTTTCATCTATCCCTTTGCTCTTTTTTTTTTTTTAGTGGTGCATTTAAAATTCCCAAGTAAATACTTCAACATATATATCTCTAATAAGAAAGGAGCCTCCCCAACCCACATAGTTGCAATTTATTATTACATCTAATAAAATTAACAATAATTTCTTGATATTACCTAATATAGTCCATGTTCAGATTTGTCCCATTGTCTTAAAAAAAATGCCTTTGTGAAATTGGTTTGTTTCGTTTTCTCAGGATCCAAACAAGGTCCACACATTGCTTTTGGTCAACGTGGTCTTTAATTTATAGCCATTCCCCTCCCTTCTTTTTGTTTTATACCATTTATTTAAAGAAACTCAATAGGAATGCCTGAGTGGCTCAGTTGGTTAAATGACAAATTCTTGGTTTTGGCTCTAGTCATGATCTCAGGGTGGTGAAGTCGAGCCTACCCACACCCCCACCCCTCTGCAGTAAGAGTGGAGCCTGCTTGGGATTCTTTCTCCTCTCCTTCTGCGGCCCCCCTCCTTTGCTAAACGGGAAGAAAGGAAAGAAGGAAAGAAAAGAGGAGCACCTGGGTGGCTCATTCAGTTAAGTGTCCGCCTTTGGCTCAGGTCAAGATCTCAGGGTCCTGGGATTGAGCCCCACATCCCGCTCCCTGCCCAGCAGGGAGTCTTCTCCCACTCTCTGCTCATGCTTCCATTCTCTGTCTCTCAAATAATTTTTTAAAAAATCTTTTAAAAAAAGAGAGACAAAGAAAGAAAGAAAAAGAAAACCAATAATTCATCCTGTAAGTTTCCCATCTTCTGAATTTGGCTGACTGCTTCCTTCTGGTGCCTTTTCCCCCCTTTGTGTCCCATATTTTCTGTAAACTGGTAGATCTGGAGGCTTGATGAGATTCAGGGTGTTTCATTTTGTTGGCAAGGAGACTATATAGGTGGTACCCTATATAGGTAGTACTTTTTTTTTTTTTGAAGATTTTATTTATTTCTTCATGAGAGACACAGAGCATGAGAGAGGCAGAGACACAGGCAGAGGGAGAAGGGGGCTCCATGCAGGGAGCCTGATGTGAGACTCGATCTCGGGTCTCCAGGATCACACCCTGAGCTGCAGGCAGTGCTAAACCACTGCACCACCGGGGCTGCCCAATATTTGCCATTTAAAAAAAATAAGATTTGCCATTTACGGCTCACCTCATGGTTTTAGCACCCACTGATGATAATGGCCTAGACTCGCTATTTCTTTAGAGGTTACAAAATGATGATTTTAAGATTTTTTTTTTTTTTTGGTATTCCTTCTCCATATGTTAACTGAAATACCTCTATAAAGAAGAGCTTTGCCTTTTCAACTTTTTGTTTACCTGAAACAGTTTATACAAAAAAAGGCAGTTTGATCCTTTCCCAACGATCAATTTCTCTTGATCAATTTTCAGAATAATTTCTGAGTTGGTAGGTACCCTAGCAACCTCCATAGCTGACTAATGAAATATTTTTTAATGAAATATTTTTTGAATGTTGTTATGAACTTATGGATATATTTGTAATTGAAATGCTTCCATGCATTGGAGCTACTGTTCTTTTGTGTGCTCTAATCATTCTGTCTTTGCAAATGAGAGCTCCTTCAAATAGTCTGCTTTTGATGCAACTCCGATAGTTTGGGTTTTTTAAAAATAATTTACTTGTTTTTCTGGTACAATAAGATGCTCTGGGATCATTTCATACATTTTTGCCTGAAACTTGGAATCAGTTATCTACCAAGGGACTCCGATTCCAGTGGTATTTAGACGAAAGCTGAATGATTCAAGACTATAATACTAATATTACTACTAACGGTAAAAAAGCAGCGAATGCTGTTTGGAGTTTCCCATGGTTCTTTTTGTCCTCAGGACATTTACCAGCATCCCATTTGCTATGTGCAGTTCAAAATATCATTTTTAAGACCCTTGAAATAATACTTTTTGTGTGGGTGGTTATGTCACCAACCTGACATACAGTTAGGTTCATTTATTTATTTAAGTTTTTAGGAATAATTTCCATTTTTACTTGTTTTTTAATTGCATAAAATATTTGCAGTGTCCCTGTCTTAACTTGGGCTGCTATAACAAAATATCATAGACTGGGGGGCTTAAACAATAGGAATTTATTTCCCCTGGTTCTAAAGGCTGGGAAGGTCAAGGTACGGCTCATTTGGTTCCCTGGCAAGGACTCATTTCCTGGATGGGGAATAGCTGCCTTCTTTCTGTGCCCTCAGGTGGTGGAGAGCACTCCTGTCTCTTTCTCTTTTTATAGGGACCTGTTCCCATCATGGGTACCCACCCTCCCGATCTCCTCCGAACTTCCCAAACACCATCATATTTGAGGTTAGGGCTTCAACATATGAATTTTGCAGAGACACATTCAGTCCAGAGTAGCTCCAAAGCCAAGTCAATCAGGAGGATCTACTCTATTCCTGTGATCTTTCCCCCTCCTCCCTCATAGGTAATCTTTTTTTTAATTCAATGTTTAGTTAATTCATCCATTGTTTCTTTTTGAAAAATATAAGCAAATATACTCTCATATGTATTTTTTAAAAGATTTATCTATTTATTTATCTATTCATGAGAGACACAGAGAGCAAGGCAGAAACATAAGCAGAGGAAGAAGCAGGGTTCCTGCAGGGACCCCAAGCCGGGACTTGATCCCACAACCCTGGGATCACTACCTGAGTCAAAGGTAGACGCTCAACCACTGAGCCACCCAGGCATCCCTCTCATATATAAATTTGCATAAAACTATAGAAACTGAATATATTTGTTGCCCTCCTTCCCCATATCCTTACACAAAAAGAAGCATACTACAACCTGGTGAATATACTAAAGACCGCTGAATTGTATACTTTAAAAGAATGAATTTTATGGTATGCGAATTGTATCTCTGTTTTTCAAAAGGAAAGCATTCTATAAATACTGTTTCCCCCTTGTTTGTTTTTCCTTAGCAGTTTGGAGATCACCTTATTTCCCCTTAAGACCTCTTCCTCCTCCCTTTTTATTGCTATATTATTATACCCTGCATCCTTAGTTTAATCAGCTGTGTCCTGCTGATGGACTTTTGGGCTGCTTCCACTCAGCCGCTGCAAACAGTGCTGTATGAAGAGCTTTGTGCAGGTGTCATTTCATGTTTTTGAAGATTTTGAGATTCCGAGAAATGGGATTGCTGAGTGGTTGTGCGTAGGGTTTTTTTGCTCGATATTGCCCAGTTTCTCTCCATAGGGGCAGTATGATATCATCCAGTCATTTCTGAAATCTCGACCTCAATCTCTTGCTGCAGGGCCTATTCATCCTTGATCTCCCATGGACTTGGTGGGGGAGTGGGTCACAGTCAAATCTGCATCCACTCTGCTGCATCTCAGAGGGCCTGACAGGCCAAGCACAGGATGGGACAAACTCAGATCCCTACTCACATCCCCCTACTCTTCCCCTTCCCCAGCTGGATCCTGTTTGGTGAGAAGAACTTTGAGGGTGACCAGTACATTCTCTCTGAGGGCGAGTTCCCCACTCTTACAGCCATGGGCTGCCTATCTTCCACAGTCCTGGGCTCTCTCCAGAAGGTACCCCTGGTGAGTAACCTTGTTCAGTTCCAGACAACCCCTGAGGTAGGGTGTACTGCTGGGGGAATGCCAGGTACCGAGCCTCTTCTCACTGTTGGCTAGGCTGCTGGAGCTTGAAGTCAGGCTTCTTCAGAACCACTCTGGTTCCCCTGACCCGGAGGCTTCAAAGCCCGTTCCACTTACTAGAGTTGTATTGAGTGGCCACCATGTCAGGTCTTGGGGACACTGAAATAAATCAGACATGGCCCTGCCTTCAAGGAACCCATGACCACACTGACATAAAGATTACATTGCAGTGGTGTGTCCCGATATAGAGGTGGTACGGGGACAGTAGAGACTAGCACTCAGGTGGACTGGGGGCAGGCGCCAGACTTCTGACATGCGGGTTCTGTGCAGGAAGGAGCAGAACAGAGAGCCAGCTCCGCTGTGTGTGGAGGCCAGATGGACAAGCAATAGGTCTGCTGCTACAGAAATCCAGAATAAATGATGGTGTCCTGGACTAGGGAGGAGATGGAGGGAAGTGGCCCAGGCCGTATTAAGGAACCAGAGGCTGTAGGACTGGGTGGGCCAGCCATGGCAGCACAGCAGACAGCTGTCCACCGAGCATGTACCAGGCTCCAGGCAGTGTTTAAAAGACTTCCCAGGGCAGCCCTGGTGGCGCAACGGTTTGGCGCCGCCTGCAGCCTGGGGTGTGATCCTGGAGACTGGGGATCGAGTCCCGCATCGGGCTCCCTGCATGGAGCCTGCTTCTCCCTCTCCCTCTGTGCCTGTGTCTCTGCCTCTCTCTCTGTGTCTGTGAATAAATAAATAAAATCTTAAAAAATAAGTAAATAAATAAATAAAAGACTTCCCATGTAGGGCAGCCCAGGTGGCTCAGCGCTTTAGCGCCACCTTCAGCCCAGGGCATGATCCTGGAGACCCGGGATCCAGTCCCACGTTGGGTTCCCTGCATGGAGCCTGCTTCTCCCTCTTCCTGTGTCTCTGCCTCTCCCTCTCTCTCTGTGTCTCTCATGAAAAAATAAATAAAATCTTTTAAAAAAATAAATAAACATAAATAAATAAAAGACTTCCCATGTGCTAAGGCATCTAATCCCCACCGAGACCCTATGAGGTTTGTTACCACCATCACCTCCCTTTTCCAGTTGTGAAACTGAGGCACAGAGAGGTGATGTGACTTGCTCCAGGCCACAACGGCTGTAACAGGCAGAGCTGAGCTCTCCTTAGGCGGCCCAACTGCTGAGCCCAGGCTTTACAGCTACATCTTAGGCTGTGAAGGCACACACATCTGCTTCTGAAGCCCAGCTCTAGAGACGTGAGCAAGTGGTTTAATCTTCTCCAGACTCAGTTTCTGTTCTGTTAAGCAGGGATGATAATAATAGCACCTACCTTATAGGGTTGTTGAGAAGTTATGAGATCAGGTAAAGCACTAACGCAGAATCTGGCATGTGGTAAGCCCTGAATATCTGACAACCGCTATAATTACCCATATTATCATTACTATTCTTAGAAGTACCATTTATTGGCACTGAGAGGAGGTTTGAGGTGGCATTGGGGGCTCAGTCTGAGAATCAGGGGGGACACCCAGCTGCCATTGTCCAGAGCCCTGCAGGGCAAAGCTTAGGAGGGAGGGAAGATACCGATCCAGCATTGAAGTATCTGGAATTTGGGGCCAGGTCTGGGACTGGGGTCCAGGCTCTCTCAACCTCACCCCTTCTTCATGCCCCCCACCCCAGCACTTTTCAGAGCCTTCCATTTTTCTGTATGGACTGGAGTGCTTTGAGGGTAAGGAGATCGAGCTGGACAGAGAGGTGCGCAGCCTGCAAGCTGAGGGCTTCAACAACCACGTGCTGTCCCTGCGGATCAAGGGGGGCGTGTGAGTGTGGTGGCGGGGGTTGGGGGGGCACCAGGGTGGGGCTGCTAGGGAGCCAGGGGCAGGTCCCTAGCCTCTTGCTCCTTCCCACCTCCCTTCCATTACCTGTGCCCCCAGCCAGGAGGGAGGGAGAGGTGCAGGCTGAGGAAGGTGGATCCTCCAGGACCCTCCTCTGCCCTGCAAACCCCAAATGTACTTCCCAGCCTCCCTCTCCTGCCTCGGGACCCTGACACCGGGCAGAAGAGTCTCAGAATAAAAGCAAAGGAGGTGGAGAATGTTCTGACATCCGTGCCTCCTCTTCCCTGTTGTCTGTCTTCCTCTCTGCATCTCTGGCACCTGCTGGGCCCAGCTGGGTGCTGTGTGAGCACAGTGACTTCCGGGGCCGCCAGTGGCTGGTGGGCAGCTGTGAGATCACCAACTGGCTGACGTACAGTGGGATACAGAGGGTGGGATCCCTCTACCCCATCAAGCAGGTGAGTAATGCATCAGATTGTGTGTGTCCACGCTGATCTGTCTGGCCATGCGTTCCCCATGCTTCCCAAGCTCAACAGTATGCCTTTGTCATAATTTTGCCACACTGTCATTCCTCTTGAACCATTATCTACTCAATATTTTTCTCTAAACCAACTCATTTTTAAAATTCACTTTATCCTTGTCCTAACGATTATTATCCATAAAATCATGGGTTTGATGTGTATGATTTTCTTTAGCTGACATTATAATAAATATGTTAACATTACATTTTTAGCGATAATGTTTATCCACTTAGGACTAAAAATCATGTCATATGAGGCTAGGAGTAATACACAGGCCTCATTCTGGGAAACATTGGAGCCATACTTGGTTTTTTCCAGGTCTGTGAGTGCATGTCTGGACCTGTTTCTGATTCATGTACATGTGCATTGATGCAGAGGCATGGCTGGGGGCGGGGGGGGGGCACACACGTGCATGTGTGTATGGGCACACACATGTCCTCTGATTGTATTTCTGTGGCCATGATGTCATTTGTATCTACGTGTCTGTGCTCTGGAGGTGACATGTGGTTGTGTGGGAGGTGTGGGAGGTGTTGTATGACCACACTAGCCTGTTTTTGTAACACTGTTGAGACCGTGTATACTTGGATGAGGATATTTATGCTCCCAAGATTCAGAGTCTTAGGACATTGTTGCTAGAAGAAACCTTGGAGGTTATCTCCACCTCTCATATTTACAGATGCAGAAATAAAGGTCCACCAAAGTGGACAAGGCTTTGCTCTGCAATCGTGGGCAAGTACTGTCCCTCCGTGGGCCTCTGTTTCCTCATCTTTAAGATGGGGATAACATACGAGCCACTTGGCTGGCTGCAAGAGTGTGCAACTCTTGATCTCAGGGTCATAAGTTCAAGCCCCACATTAGATGTAGAGATTACTTACCAAAAAACCCCCCAAATAAAGTCTTTTAAAAAACAAAATATAATGGGGATGACACATGATGGAGTTGTCTTGAGGATTTGAAGATAAATATTTGTAAAGCCCTTAGAACGGTACTTGAGTGGGTAAACACTCAACACATGTTAGCTGTGGTTCTTCTGACTGTGATTACCATCACCACGACTCAAGATTGGTGGCAGAGCCTGGTCTGATGTGTGACAACAGGGTGTCTACTTTTCCAGTATGGTCATGAGTGTGCACATCTGTGTTTCTACACACATCCATCCCATTAGCAAACATGGAGTGTGGAATAGGCAAGGGGGACCCGTGCATCGGCTAAGACATGTGTTTGCATGGCCACCTGTGTCTGTGTGTTTGTGTCTGCTGCAAACTTCTGCACGACCATGTGGACCATGAGCGTCTCTGCCAGTGTGTCCCTGTGCACGGGGCTGTGGGGGTCAGTGGTCACGGTGCTGGGTGGCCGTGGGTGTGCACCATGAGTGGCCCCCTGAATCATGTGTGAAAAAGAAGGGACTGAGAAGCAGGGCCAAGGAAGGAGGGCTTGTGGGCTGGGGATACTCGGGGGGTCAGAGTTGAGGGTGTCAGGTGCCCTGGTGGGAGCATCCCTGCCCGGGGACCCCTCACTCTCAGCTCCCCCTACTCACCAGCGCCGGGTTTATTTCCGCCTCTGGAATGCTGCACTGAGGGGCTTCCTGGCGGTGCCAGACCACGTGGAGGACATGAAGGCGGGCCGTGTGGTGGTGTCCGAGCCCCAAGCCGGAGGCAGCTGCATCTGGTACTACGAGGATGGGCTGCTAAAGAACCAGGTACCGGCTGAGGGGCTGGGCCAGGGACACCAGAGCCTCAGGTACCCCGAGGCTCACTGCGAGTCAGGAGCAGGCCCTGCCCTCCAGCCAGAGTGCCAGGACCCTGGGGAGGTGGAGACTGCCGGCTCGCACCCTGGGCAGTCTGGGCTCTGTTCTGGGCCTCAGTTCCCCAGCTGCAAAACGAGAGCGTTGAACCAGATACTTCTAAGGGAACTCCCAGCTCTGCTATCCTGGGCCAGAACTTGGATCTTATTAATCATGATAGAATTCACTCCACACACGTTTCCTGCACACCTGCCATGGGCTAGGCCTTGTTCTAGGAGCCAGGAAGACCGCAGTGGGAAGACAGAAATGACTCCTGTCCTCCTGAAGCTTCCATCATAGTGGGGAGAGACAGAAACCATTTAAATGAGTAAAATATCTCAGTACATTAGGTGAAGAGAAGTGCATGGGGGGAAAAATAAATGAAAGGAGAGTAGGGAATATCAGTAGCTCTGATGGGGGCGGGGGGCTTCCTAAGAAGGTGGTATTTGAAAGAGGCAACCAGGTGGGTATCTGCGGGAAACATGCTCCAGGCAGAGGGAACAGCAAGTAGAAAGGCCCTGAGGTGACTAGCTGGAGTGAGGGGAGGGAGGGAAGAAGCAAGAGAGGAAGTCAGAGAGGTTATGGGGATGTGGGTTTTTGTAGGCCACTGAAGGAGTTTCCATCTTTTACTTGAAATGAGAGAGAACTTGGCTCTGTGGCAGATGCTGTGTTAAGCCCTTGACACGAATGCCTCATGTGATCCTCAGAGGACGCTGTGGGGGCAGGTGTTATTTTACTCTCTGTTTCATAGGTGGGGAAACTAGAGCACAGAGAAGTTAAGTAACAGGCTGGAAGTCACACAGGCAATTAGTGTGTGAAAGCTTGTCTGATTCCAAGTCTTGTGCTTTGGGAGTCAGCCCTGAAAGTCTTCCTGGAGGAGCTCCTTTTCCAGACCTTTTATGATATTTCACATTGAATGCTTGCAGCTGCCAGTACTCAGGGATTCCCATTCCCAGGGAACCTGGTGCTCAGAAGGATTAAGAGATTTGCCCAGGGTCACAGTCCATGAGAGCCAGGATTCGAAGAGCTGGGTGTGTGTTAAGGGTATCGGGCGCAGAGGAGTCCCTGAGGGAAGTAACTGTGCCTGATGACCTCCTGGGGCCTCAGGCAGCCCCTACCATGAGCCTGCAGGTGATTGGGCCCCCCAGCCCAGGCTCCAAGGCTGTGCTGTGGGCCGAGAGCCGCCTGCCCCGTCAGACGTGGAGCATCAGTGAATCGGGCCATATCTGCAGCCAGATGTTCGAAGGCCGGATCCTAGATGTGAAGGGTAAGGGGGCCTGTGTGTGGGAAGAGGCACCTGAGGGGTCTGTTGGCACTGGAGTCCTCGGCAATCTCTGACTGTCTCCCCATCTCCCCCCTCTTCCCCCAGGTGGCCGGGGCTATGACCGGGATCACGTGGTGCTGTGGGAGCCGGCCAAGGACCGGGCGTCCCAGGTCTGGACTGTCCATGTGCTCTGACCGCCCCTGCTCCCCAGCCCTGGAGGCTTACCCTGGGATGAAATGTTTTTATAGGTTTTTCTTGTAACATAAGATGTTTTCTAATATGCTCCCAGGCATCCTCATTTTTGTGCACCTTGATATTTGGGGCTGGGGTGAGGATCTGTTCCCCTGCCTTCTTTGCCCTACACTCACCCTACTTCTTCCCTCTCAGCTCTGGTTCTGGGGTTCAGATGTAAGGCCTCCCTCGGCCACCAGAGGGGGCCCTGGGCCCAGACTAAGGGTGAGTATGTTCTCTCAATGCTGTCACCCAAGTGACAAGAGCCTGCTCTGAGCCAGGTCTGGCACTGAGCTGTGTGGCACAGACATGAGTCAAGCCCCTTGGTACCTGCCCTCAGACAACTCATGGTCTAGTAGAGGATTCCAATGGGTAGGGTGATGTGTTCAGTGACAGGATAAGCATGGAAGCAGAGGGATACACAGAGGAGGAACCTGAACCACTTAGGGGGCACAGGGCAGGCAGGCAGCTTGGAGGAAGAGATGCTGGGCTGAGATGTGGAGGACCGGAAGGGGTTGATCAGGCTAGATGGTGGCAGAGGAAAAGTGTTCTAGTGAGGCAGGTAACCCGAGGGGTGAAGACCTGGAAGTTCAGTGTGATGGGGTCGTGGTAGACCAGGCAGGAGAGGTGAATGGGAGACACTCCCCAAAGGACCTTGCCCACCAGCATTCCTCTTCATTTCCTCCAACTCCGGTCTCAAGACCTGAACGTTTGGCATCTCTGTCAAAGAAGCCTAAACAGGGGGCCTGGGTTCTTAAACCCAGCCTAGAGAAGGCGGGACCTAGAAGGGGAATAGCTCCCTCCATCCCAGTCTAGCAGGAACTTCTCAGCCACCCCCCACAAGGTCCTCTAGGAAGACGAAGAGGAGTTCAAGGCCCTTGGGGGCTTCTCTGGAGCTCCCTTCCCTCCTTGCACCTCCCAATACCACCACTGCAGGCCCAGGAGGATAGAAGTGGTGGTTAGAGCAGTTGTGTGTCCTTCCCACCTTCCCAGCCTGGGGTAGGTGGGGAATGGGGAGATGGCCTCCTCTTCATCCTTCTTAGCACCCCTGTGGACCAGTCTCCAGTGCCTGGTGAGGACAGGAGGGTGCCTGTGGGGCTGAGACCCCAAGAGATTTGTGGGGGATGTTTCTCTGAATCTACCATTCTGAAGACACCCAGGTACTAGGGTGAGGGACTCTCTGAGCCTCACCAAGTAGGGATGTCCAGGGGCAGGATGGGGGGGTCCTCTGGGACCATCATTCTCAACACCCAGGGATGGGTGAAGCAAGTGCAACTAAAGAGGATGGCAGATTTTGGGCCATGTCCCTACAAGGTGATCCTGAGGGGACAGGCTTCCACCCTGGGCCTGAGGGGACAGGCCTCCACCCTGGGCCACCCTGGGCCTTTGGACAGGTAGGAGTTCTCTGCTGCCTCTCCTGCTGCTGGGGGCACGAGAAGATCCTTGGAGCCCAGTGACCACACACAGCACCCTACCGAGTACAGGACATGTTTATTGACCCCCAGCTGGGTGGTGCTTGCCCCTCCATATCAGTACCTCCCTGTGTCGGTCATTGCCTCCAAGGCACTACCGTTTAATTCCAACAACCTGGTGATCTCTGGCATCCACCCCTCCTGGACCTGTGGTGGTGGGTGGGGGGAGCTTCTCTCGCTAGCGATGGTGGCAGCTATCTCAGGGGGCACAGGGCTAGGGCTGAGGCATGTCACCTCAGCTGAGGTAGAAGAGCTGGATGAGAATGTTGGCCAAGAAGAGAAGGACACTGCCACCGCCCAGGCTGCTGAGTGCTGGGGTCGCACTCTTGGCTTTCTTGGTGGTCATTCGAGGAGTGGTACTGTTCCCCAGGACTCCAGTTTGTATCTACAAAAGAAGAAGCGGGGCAAGCTCAGGGGCTTTTGAAGCTCATGTTATTTAGAGACCTAGGCCCCCTACCCTGATACAGTAGTTCTCGGTCCACCATGACCACGACTTCTGCCACAAGGTCCTGTGGGGACAAGACCTTCCTCTCTTGATATAGGCAGGGTCAAAAGTGGCCCCTCCACCACGTCCCATGGAAACTTTATCTCACCTCCGCCAAGCCACCAGCTCCTCCAGTATGTGAGAGACAGGAACCTGTGGCTCAGCCCTTGACCTGACTAGCTGGGCTGGGAGCTTAGCCTCTCTGAGCCTGCTTCCTCATCTTCTGAATGAGCCCATCACAGTCTTGAGACTGTGTGAGACAAGGCACCTGGCAAAGTGCGGGTGGGTGAGGAGGTGGGGAGAGTGTGACCTCTTGCCCAAGGAAATCGCCAGATGGTGATCAAACTGTTCTCAATGCTTGACTAGGCTACGACTAAAGCTGCTCCTGATGGAGATTAAGCTGTTTTTGATGGTGATCAAGCTGTTCTTGATACTTGATCAAGCTGTTCTTGATCTAGAACTTGATGGCTCTGGTCTCCTATGCAGACGAGCACCCTTAGGGCACATGGGATGCTGCCAAAGCTGCCTTCTAGAATTGCAGTTGAATTTGAGACTAGCTGTTTCTGGAGTGGGAGATTTCTGTCTTCTTTGCATTCCCAAACACACAGGGTTTTCTCCCTGGAGTGGTTTCCTGCTATCTCCAGGACCAGGTCTGACTCCACTTGAACATATCCTGGCCCCTTCCCAACAGGGCCACTTCTCTAGCTTTCCTGGGGATTGATGCCACCCTCCCTCCAAGCTGTCTCCCCAAGTCTCGTAATTCCTATTCCACAATACCCTCCTGTGTGCCTGGTATCCTGTAATGCTCCTCAGCCTCAGTTACAGGATTCTGGTCAGAGGCAGACCTCAAGTGGTCCAACCCCAGTCAGAAGGGCTGGAATGCTAGGACCAGCCCCCCTGAGTCGCTGGTTCCCTTACTGGACCATCTGCTCCCATGGAAGAAGGCTGAGTACCCAGGAGCCTGCATTTACCCACTCCCATGCCAGGCAGGTCTGGGGAGTCCTGGGTGGTGGTGTCAGGGGCTCCGAGGGACTATTCTTACCTGAATCATAACCAGGAGACTGATAGTAAGTAGGAGGAAGAGGAAGCCCTTCATCTTTGGAGAATCTTGGTGGCTGTCTTGATAGCTTTTAGAGGTGAGTGCAGAGTTGTCTGCAGGCCTCTTGGCTTGGGTGCTTTTGAACCGAGAGGCATCAGAGGAGGCGGGGTAGAAGCAGGAAGAAGGAGGGCCTATGGGTATGGGGTGGGGTGCTGCTTTCTTTCCACAGACCTCATGATTGAGGACACCAGGTCCTAAGTTCTAAGGCCCTCCATAGATGGTAGGTTTTGGATAGGGACTGAGGCAAGGGTCGGGATGGGAGGTGGGTAAACCAAGGGAGTAGAGCCCTGGGCTTGGAATCATGCAGAGTGGGGAATGAATGTTGGCCTAATCCCCTGTCAACCCTGGACCTGGCCTAGAAACTGTCCCTCTTTGAGTCTTTTTTTTTTTTTTAAGATTTTTATTTATATATTCATGAGAGAGGCAGAGACAAAGGGAGAGGGAGAAGCAGGCTCCCCGCAAGGAACTCTATCCCAGGACCCCAGGATCACATCCTGATAGACACTCAGTCACTGAACCACCCAGGCATCCCCCCTCTCTGAGTCTTTAACCTAAGAGCTGCCAGAGCGTTAAATACAATATAATTAAGAAGATTGGAACAGGGGATAGGAGCTGAAGACAAGGCTGGGATAGGCTTAGGTTACAAGGTAAGGTTGTAGGTGGCTCCACAGGGTCAGAATGAAGGCTTGGGGAACATGAAAACTTAGGATTAATGAATTTCTGTGAAATCGAAGCATGGCTTTAGGAATCCAGGGACCTGACTTCTAGATGAGCCCATTCCCTCCGGGCCTCAGGTTTCACCTTTCAAGTGAGAAGACTGAAGTGGATTATTATTTTAAGGCCCAGATGTGGAAATGACACTCAGGGAAGGCCCTTCCTGGCAGTGAAGGACAAAAAGCCACTGAATTAGGAAAACTGGACTCTTGATCAGGGATGCTTGTAGAGAAAGATCTTGATCAAAAGAAGGAAGGACACCTGGGTGGCTCAGTGGTCGAGTGTCTTCAGCTTTGGGCATGAGCCTGGAGTCCGGGAATCAAGTCCCACATCGGGCTCCCCATGGGGAGCCTCCTCCTCCTCCCTCTGCCTGTGTCTCTCCCTCTCTCTGTGTGTCTCCCATGAATAAATAAAAATCTAAAAAGAGAGGGCAGCCCGGGTGGCTCAGCAGTTTGGCGCCGCCTTCAGCCCGGGGTATGATCCTGGAGACCAGGGATGGAGTCCCACGTCAGGCTCCCCGCATGGAGCCTGCTTCTCCCTCTGCCTATGTCTCGGCCTCTCTCTCTCTGTGTGTGTGTCTCTCATGAATAAATAAATAATATAAAAAAAATAAAAAATAGAGAGAGAGAAAGAAATGTGGAAAGAAAAGGAAACCTCACTACAATGGAGTTGAGAAGTCAGAAGTGGGGTAGGAGGCCCTTATGCCATACCACCCAACCTCAATTACAGAAAGAATGATCAGTTACAGGCCCTAACAGGAAAAGCTGTCCATGGCCACTCCTGCGTAGTATTGGAGATATCTCCTTGTTGGGTACATCATTTTGGAAAGTTTTGGCAGGCAACAAGTACAGAGTCAAAAGTAATACGACAATTCCCTTTTTTTTTTTTTTTAAGATTTTATTAATTCATGAGAGACAGAGAGGCAGAGACATAGGCAGAGGGAGAAGCAGACTCCTTGCAGGGAGCCCGATGTGGGACTCGATCCTAGGACCCCAGGATCATGTCCTGGGCTGAAGGGAGATGCTACATCACTGAGCCACCCAGGCGTCCCTAATACGACAATTCCAAATATATAATTGTGGTTCCAAACCAGGACCTTAGCTCTGAAAGTAGCCAACTGAAAATACTGGCACTTATTCCAACATGGGGGAGAAAAGTCCTCCCTGTGGGGGCAAACCCCAAGTCACGGGTGCCTCCTGGAAGTGCCTGCTTAACTCGACCATTAAAGCAGAACAGTGGCTACTGCAAGAGCCTATTGAAAGAATTGAGTGCATTTTTGAATATATAGTGCAGGTATGAAAACGAAGCAATAGTTGGTTATTTTTATTTTTTTAAGATTTTATTTACTTATTCATGAGAGACACACACAGAGAGAGCGAGAGAGGCAGAGACACAGGCAGAGGGAGAAGCAGGCTCCATGCAGGGAGCCCAACGTAGACTCCAGGATCAGGCCCCGGGCTGAAGGCAGACACTAAACTGCTGAGCCACCCAGGGTTCCCAACTTCAAATATGTTTTTAAAACAGTATTATCTCAAAAGAACTTGTTACAAAATGTGTTATCAGTAATAGCCTGTAAAGTTGTAAGAAAATGTGCATTTGGATAAGAATTCAGTCAGTTAATAGTCTACGTGAAAAAGAGAGACTTCTGTGAATCCTGAAACTTCTAACAGGCCTGCTCTGGATATCTCAGGAATGCTGTCTGTCTGCTCCAATTCCGGGAAGTCTTTCCTTTCGAGTCACCAGGTGGTGTGCAGGTCCAATCAGGGTTTGGTGCTTTCCTGATAATATGTCATATGACTCCAGGATTCTAGTCCTTGGAGTTTGGCAGCACCAGAGAGGGGACTTTCCAGCGAGGTTGAAAAGCCTTTCTGGAGGTCTCTCTTCCAATAAACAAAATCTCCAGGTGCAAGGTATGGTGTTTAAGGCCTTTGTCTCCCAAGAGTGCAAGATAAAACCATTGCTCTACCAAAGCATGGTTATTTTTGTTTGTTTGTTTGTTTGTTTGTTTGTTTAGAAAGGGTGGGAGGGGGGAAGGGTCACTGGGAGAGGGAGATAAAGAATCTTTTTATTCTTTAAAGATTTTATTTGAGAGAGAGCACATGCACAAGCAGGGGGAGGGACAGAGGGACAGAGAAGCAGACTCCCTGCTGAGCAGGGAGCCCAATGAGGGGCTGGGATCCTGACCTGAGCTGAAGGCAGACACTTAACCAACTGAGCCACCCAGGTGCCCCAAGAGAGAATCTTAAACAGGCTCCCTGCTGGGCATGGAGCCTGACCTGGGGCTCAATCTCACAACCCTGAAATCATGACCTGAGCCCAAATCAAGTTGGACACTTAAATGACTGAGCCACCCAGGCACCCTAGCATGGTTATTTTTACATTTTTAATTTATTTTAAATTCAATTAATTAACATATAGTGTATTATTAGCTTCAGATGTAGAGTTTAGTGATTCATCAGTTGCATACAACATCCAGTGCTCATTACATCACATGCCCTCCTTAATTCCTGTCACCTAGTTACCCCATCCCTTCACCTGCTTCCCCTCCAGTAACCCTCAGGTTGTTTCCCATAGTTAAGAGTCTTTTATGGTTTGTCTCTCTCTCTGATTTCATTTTATTTTATTTTTCCCTCCCTTCCCCTATGATCCTCTGTTTTGTTTCTTAAATTCCACATATAAGTGAAATCATATGATAATTGGCTTTCTCTGATTGACTTATTTTGCTTAGCATAATTCCTTCTAGCTCCGTTCATGTTGTTGCAAACAGTAAGATTTCTTTTTTTTTTTTTTAAGATTTTATTTATTTATTCATGAGAGACACAGAGAGAGAACCAGAGACACAGGCAGAGAGAGAAAGCAGGCTCCATGCAGGGAGCCCGATGTGGGACTCAAATCCTGGAACTCCAGGATTACGCCCCGGGCCGAAGGCAGATGCTAAACCACTGAGCCACCCAGGCATTCCCTAAGATTTTTTTTTTTTTATAGCTGAGTAATATTCCATTGTATGTACATAACACATCTTCTTTATCAATTCATCTGTCGATGGACATCTGGGCTCTTGCCATAGCGTGGCTATCGTGGACATTGCTGCTATAAGCATTAGGGTGCAGGTGCCACTTCAGATCACTGTGTTTGTGTCTTTTGGGTAAATATCTAGTAGTGCAATTGCTGGGTCATAGAATAGCTATATTTTTAACTTTTGGGGGAACTTCCATACTGTTTTCCAGAGTGGCTGTACCAGTTTGCATTCCCACCAGCAGCATAAGAGAGTTCCCTTTTCTCTGTATCCTCGACAACATCTATTGTTTCCTGACTAGCCATTCTGACTGGTATGAGGTGGTACCTCATTGTGGTTTTGATTTGTATTTCCCTGATACCAAGTAACGTTGAACATTTTTTTCATGTACCTGTTGGTCATTTCTATGTCGTCTTTGGAGAAATGTCTGTTCATGCCCATTTCTTGACTGGGTTATTTGTTTTTTGGGTGTTGAGTTTGATAAATTCTTTATAGATTTTAGATACTAGCCCTTTGTCTGATTATATATTTGCATATCTTCTCCCATTCTATAGCTTCTCTTTTGGTTTTGTCGACTGTTTCCTTTGCCATGCAAAAGCTTTTCATCTTGATGAAGTCTCAATAATTCATTTTTACTTTTGTTTCCCTTGCCTTTGGAGATATGTCTAGCAAGAAGTTGCTGTGGCTGAGGTCAAAGAGATTGCTCCCTGTGTTCTCCTCTAGGATTTTGATGGAGTCCTGTCTCACATTTAAGTCTTTCATCCATTTTGAGGTTTTTTTGTGTGTGTATGGTGTAAGAAAATGGTCCAGTTTCATTCTTCTATGTGTGGCTATCCAATTTTCCCAACACCATTTGTTGTCTTTTCTTCCACTGGATATTTTTTTCCTGCTTTGTTGAAGATTAGTCAACCACAGAGTTGAGAGTCCATTTCTGGGTTCTCTACTCTGTTCCATTGATCTACATGTCTGTTTTCATTGCCAGTACCAGCATGGTTATTTTTAATGGAAGCAGTTATGCCTTTACCATATTGAAGTCCATCTCCTTTTATTAACTGTGGGTCAAAGGAGGCAGGGGCCAAGTGCACTGGACCTCCTATGACTATCTTAAAGGGTGAGAGTCTATGTGTTCCCAAGGGGGTGGATCTGAGATTTAGAAGCAAAAATAGCAATGTTTCAGGCCAAGGTATTTGGAAGGTTTCTACAAATTTTGCCAATTGAGTTTTAACAGTGCCATATCTGACTAGCTCTGAGGATTGAGGATGGTATGCACAATGAAAATGTTGCAAAACTGGCCAAACAGCACAGATTTGTCAAAGCACCTGACTAGTAAAGTGGGTTCCCCAATCACTGATGTTCAAGAGGGGTTCCCCAGGTAGGGATAACAAAATTTTAGCTACAGAAGGGGCACTGGCCTGTCTATGAGAGAAGGCTACAACTCAGTGAGAAAGCACATAAACCATGACTATAACATATTTATATTGATGGAACAGGGCAAGATATATGAAATCCATTTGTCAAAACTCAAAGTTTTAGTCCATTAGGCTATTTTAAGTGTCTGGGAGCAGGGCCAACAGATTTCCCTAGATTGTATTCTGGACAAGTGGAACAGGTGAGATAGGTACTATGGATCCTGCCAATATCAGTTGAAGATTTTGCCCATAAGAAGGGTGATATCTGATCCAATAGGGACTAATGATCAGTGTCCCCAGATTCAGCTATGGTGCCATCAGAAATAGAGCAAGTAAAAACAGTCAAAAGGTCATTTAATTCACCTGCTTCGCCATTTTGATTGCTACTGTCAAATTCTAGAATTATTTCCCCCTTTTGGGAGAAGGAAATTCTGGTATGATACTTCTCTCAAGAAATCTTGGCTGAAGGACACCTGGGTGGCTCAGTGGTTGAGCATCTGCCTTTGGCTCAGGTTGTGATCCCGGGGTCCTGGGATCGAGTCCTGCATCGGGCTCCCTGTGAGGAGTCTGTTTCTCCCTCTGCCTATGTCTCTGCCTCTCTCTGTCTCTCATGAATAAATAAATAAAATCTTAATTAAAAAAAAAAAGAGAAATCTTGGCCTAACAGCCACATGGGTAGCTCAATCAGTTTAGTGTTTGATTCTTGATTTTGGCTCAGGCCCTAGTCTCAGGGTCATGGGATTAAGCCCTGTGTTGGGCAGTGTGAGTCCGCTTGTCCCTCTATTTCTGCTCCTCCCCCATAGTGCTCTCTCTCAAATAAATAAATAAATAAGTTATTTAAAAATAAATAAAGTCTCCCTGAGAGGATCCAACATCTAAAAGAAGACCAGAGTTTTCTTTGGAAACAGTCTGAAATGGATTATGACAGTCATGAACAGGTTCATCAGTTTTTTGTGTGCAAGCCTGAATTTTGTTCCAATTCGCAGGTTAGGAAAAGCTCTAACAATTGCTCAGTGCAGGTTTTCAGCAAGTGTTCTAGCCATAGGTTAGGGGCTTGTTTATTTTTATTTTTAATCCTGTTCATGATGTTCCCATCAAGCAAATTTTAGCCAAAGTTTGGCCTGGTCCTCACCAACAAACTAACTGATATAAATCCGAAGAACTAGGTTGGTAAGTATTAATAGATACTAATTCTTCAGCAAACCTGTGATTGTCTTCAGTTGGTTTCATAAGAAATTCTTTCACTATGGCTCAAAATTTGGCCTTCAACCAGGGAGAAGATATTGGGGATTTTTTTTTTTTCCATTGGGGGTTATTTGAATCCTCGGGAGACTTAACTTTTAAGGGATTGTGTGTTTGGAAACAAAGGAAATGGAAGAGGGAAAAGAGAGGCCTCATATGCCCTTTTGTCTTTAATTGTTTGTTTGCCTCAGTCCAGAAATTGTATTTTGCAGAGAGGCAATTTTAGATTCCTGATAGCATTTGGAATCTTTAAAACATCAAAAAAGGCATCCCATGCCATTTTGACAATTTTAAAGCCACAGCTGTTCAATTCTGAGAAAAGTAAGTTTGGGGTGATCTAAAGTTCCCCATAATGAGCATTTGTGTTCTAAATTACTTTTGGTTAAGTGATCCATTTTGTTAGAAATGCACATGAAGGGCAGCCCCGGGTGGCTCAGCGGTTTAGTGCTGCCTTTGGCCGGGGGTCTGATCCTGGAGTCCTGGAATCCAGTCCCACGTCGGACTCCCAGCATGGAGCCTGCTTCTTCCTCTGCCTCTCGCTCTCTAATAAATAAAATCTAATAAATAAATCTCTAATAAATAAAATCTTAAAAAAAAAAAGAAATGCACATGAAAAGGAACTGCAATTTTTAAACACAAAACCAGCTGGGGTGCCAGAAAGGAGGGATACACTTTCAAAGCATTTTGATTACTGGGATCCCATTTCTTACAGGCTTTTCTAGAGGGGAAAAATTCCTAAATAGCATAGTTCCAATAGAAATAGCCCAGTTCCCAAAAGCAGTCAAACCCAAAGCCAGACAAGTACTCCTGGAATGGACAAATCCTTAAAACAGATCCTGAATAAAGCCTGGAGAGCACAAGACACAATGAGAGTGGAGCACAAAGTCCAGCAGAGACTTACCTTCAAACTCCAGTGTGAGAAAGCTTCGAACTCATCGATCTCAGTGGGTACTGGCACCTGTTTGCTCACTGGCCTTGGAGTTGTTGAGCAGTAGGTAGGGAATAGGGTCAGCTCTGGATCCTACTTCTGACACCAAGTGATGTTAACCTTGAAAATAACTCTACTGGGCAGCTTGGGTGGCTCAGTGGTTTAGTGCCACCTTCAGCCCAGGGCGTGACCCTGGAGACCCAGGATCGAGTCCCACATCGGGCTCCCTGCGAGAAGTCTGCTTCTCCCTCTGCCTGTGTCTCTGCCTCTCTTTCTCTCTGTGTTTCTCCTGAATAAATAAATAACATTAAAAAAATAATAACACTATCAGTTATTTTGCCAGCACAAATGGGTTGTTTTGGGCATAGTAGAGAATTACACTTTAGAACAAACAACCTACAGCAAATACCATAGGCTAGTCCAACAAACAAAGGAGAGAAATATTATTTTATGGAGAAGGAGAAAATTGGGAGGAGTGTTTTGAACGAAAGTCCAATGGAGAAAAGCACGGGTTCAAGGTGATGACAGTTTCTCATTGGCTGAGTTGCTGGGGTACAATGTACATCTCTTCCTGTTGGGGCCTGTAATTGATGATTCTTTCCTGTTGACAATTTTTCTGTTAGGGTCTGTAATTGGCAATTCTTCCTTAACTGGCCTTGAGTGAGATGGCATGAGAGCTCCCCCTTCTGTCCTCCCAACCACATTTTAATAAGGTTTCGCGTTTATTAATTTTCACAGTATCAATCTAGGATGAGTGGGAGGAAGGCTAGTGAAGAGACAAGCAGGTGACTAAACCTTAGTGGAAGGGATTTGCGGTGGGGATGGCTATGAAGTTATAGTGAGGTGTGGAGGATGAGATAAATCACAAAACTGCTTAGATGGTGCTCTATTCTTAATACATTATCTTGCTTTATTCCTTCAGTGGGGCTCTGCAATAGGTTTTCTAATTATCTCTATTTTGCTGATGAGAAAACTGAGGCTTAAATATTAAGTGACCTGTCCAAGGTAGTAAATGGTGGAGCCAGCCTCATTTGAACTTGAACACCGATCTTTCTGAAGCCACAACCATGTATGTAACCTCTGTGGCTACCCTAGAAGTCCCTGATTCCCTGCCCTTCTCCCTCTTAGAGGACCCAATGATTGGCCCCAAGTCCAGCTCTAGCCTCATCCATTCTTCCTTCCTTAGTCTATTTTGTGCCTCATATGCATTCCAGGTAATACAGGAAACACCTCTCACTTCCCTTCTATGGTTTTAAGCCTTCTGTTGCAAGCTTTAGAAAAACTTGAGTGGGCACTTAGGGGCCTCCATCCCTGGCTAAAGAGAAAGAAAGAAAAAAGATCTGAGTCAAGACTGGTGAGAGAAAGCCAGGAAGTGGAGAGGGAGGGGGCAGGGCAAGAGTCTTGAGGCCCCTGCTGGGTGGGATTGGGGAGGTGTAGGCTCAGAAGAGAAGCAGGAGGAGCCCTCAACTACCTATCACTAGGGTCCAAGCCCTGGGAGGGAGGGGAAGGGAGTTGCAGCACATATTACAATATGGTCTGCCCTGCATTTTTCATCCCCACTGAGAGAGGGCTGTGATCCAATAGTACCACAGAGCACTCTAAGGTAAACCTTCCTCCATCCATCCATCCATCTGCCCATCTACCCATCTATCTGATTTCAGGCAATTTATTGACATCTACTGTGTGTATCAAGCAAGATGAATGAGTGAGGGTCCCTTCATTGAGTTCATAGTCTAAGAGGGAGAGACATGCTGTAATAATCACAAAACTGAATAAAAAATGCTGTAATGGCAGCAGGACTATTAGAATGTGGGGTGTAATTCTGCTTGGGAGGAGTGGGTGTATTCATGGAGGGAGGGACACCTGAGCTAGTTCTTGAAGGATTAAGAAGGATTTTCCCAGGGGGAAAAGGCAAAGGTGGATGTTCTCACTGGAAATCAAGTCCTGAACGCAGGAGAGCGCGTGATAGATTCTGGAACACTGAGAAGGGCAGAGGACAAGATTCATAATCTTAAGGCCCTAAATGGCAGGTTAAACTAGAAATCATGGGGCTTGACCCAAGGTGGCCTTGATGTAGGTGGGAAGAGGGGAAGATGGGAGAGAGGGCCAGGGTTTTATTCTGAAAGGAATATATGGACTTAGAGGACTTCTCTCTCCTTTATTATTTACCTTTCCTTCCTCAGCTCCTATGACCCAATAAACTCTTTAACCCCAAAGGGGTTAAATTGGTAATTGATAAGGGTCTTTCAGGAAATGACCTAAAAGCAAAGAAAACTTTGTCGATTCCCAAGAATAGAGCTTCCAGAACCATCTGGTGCCAGGTCTGGGGTCTACTTCCTCATCTTACAGGTGGGCAAATAGGCCAGAGAGAGACTTGTTGAGGACCTCCCTCCTCCCAGTCCAGGGTCTGTCTACTGTTGTCAAACAGGGAACATCCACCCTGGGATGGAATGAAAAAGAAGCTGAATGGCTCCCACCCCAGAAGTCCAGCAGGAATCCTTGGAAGCTAGACAGAGTAGCCTCCAATGTCCTCCAAACACTCAAGTCTTATGTGAGCCTAGAGATCTTGAAAAGATTTTCAGAACCATCTAAGATGAGGAATAGTGAAATCTAAGTCAGAAAAGTAACTATGAGGTAAGGTTAGACTCTTGTTTTGTTTTCATAATTCTATTTCTGGAAAACATTTTTTTAAAATCAATAATGTGACAATGTCATGAGATTTAACTTGCACAATAATCCCATGAGGTAAGGGGCACCTGGGTGGCTGAACCAGTTAGCGTCTGCCTTGGACTCAGGTCATGATCCCAGGGCCCTGGGATGTAGCCCTGTGCTCCCCCCTGAACAGGGAGTCTGCTTGTCCCTCTCCCTCTGCCCCTTCCTCCTGCTCTCTCTCACACACTCTGTCTCTCTCAAATAAATAAATCTTAAAAAAAAAGAATCCTATGAGGTGGGTTCTATTAGTATCTCTATTTTATAGATAGGGAAACTGAGGCTCAGTGAAGTAGCTAGAGCAGGAATAGCCAGTTACAAGTGACAGATCCTAGATTTATAGACTTGATAAGTTATGCTGACCCATAATACATCCTTGATAATAATAAAAAAAATACATCCTTGATAAATGATAGCTATAATTATCTTCCAAGTTTCTTTTTTTTAAGATTTTATTTATTTATTCATGAGAGACACACAGAGAGAGAAGCAGATATATAGGCAGAGGGAGAAGCAGGCTCCATGCAGGGAGTCTGATGTGGGACTCGATTCCAGATCCCGAAACACACCCTGAGCCAAAGGCAGACGCTCAACTGCTGTGCCACCCAGGCATCCCATCTTCCAAGTTTCTATGTGAAAATGTATACTTAATTTATTTTTTAAGATTTTATTTATTTATTCATAGAGACACACACACAGAGGCAGAGACACAGGCAGAGGGAGAAGCAGGCACCATGCGGGGAGCCTGACGGGACTCAATTCTGGGTCTCCAGGATCATGCCCTGGGCTGCAGGCGGCGCTAAACTGCTGCCCTGTATACTTATTTTATAATAAGGCTTTGACTTCTCCCAATATATTTTTTTAAAACTAATAAACTGGCCTGCCAGGGTAGAGGGCTCCCACCCATCTCACGTGAACTAGGTGTTTGAGTGTCCTCTGCTCCAGGACCATAGGCTATGCCTCAGGTTCTGGGTAGGAGAGAGGTATGTGGTAAATCCTGATGCCCGGGTAAATGCCAATCCACCTTCCCTAGTCTTGCTGAGGAGGGAGGAGGTAGGAAGATGACAGCAGGGCTCCCAAGGCAGACCCCTTCAAGGGCAGAATGAATGTAAACAAGGTAACGGTATAAAGTTGTTGACCATAGCTCCAACCTCCCAGAAACAGTTGGCCCAGTATAACCTAAAGGTTTCTCAACTCCTATACCTCAAGCCTCAGAGAAATTTCTAAGAGAAGCTCAGAGGCACTCTCCCACCTCTGACTTCCAGTTACACTTTCCACCTGAACTCCTCCCTTGACAGGAGGCCTGTACCACTTGCACCTTGGCCTATCTTCCCCTGCCTGTTTCACCAAAGTGGGAGCTTCTAGAAAGAGTACAGAATTTGGGGGCAGACAGTTCTGGGTTTGAATACACTTTTGCTGATTACCTGCATAGTCCCGAGCAAATCTCTTCACTTCTCTGAGCTTGTTTTCACATCTATAAACCTCATAATGTTGGCATCTGGCACTTGGAAGGCACTCATTAATTCATAGCTCCCTTCAGCCTCCAATTGGTGTGTTAGGAATGCCTCAAGAAGCTGGTCCTCTCCTGAATGCAGATTAGACAGTCAAATGGAAAACATTACAAAGTCAGTCTGAGATATGCAAGAGAGTTTTGGTGGTTGAGCCCAGGAGTAAGGAAGTGGGTGCCTGAGAATAGAAGTCATAGATTTTTAGACCATCACCGCTGAAAAGCTGAGAGACACTGATAAAAATAGTTGAAAGCAGCAAATGTTTTTGAAAGCTTACCCTATGTGGGTGTTGTGATAGGTACTATTAATAATTATTTCATTTAATACTCAGGGCAACCCTGCAAAGGGAGGGTATTCTCCCCCATTTTACAGATGAAGAAACTAAGGTGAATAACTTGCTCCAGGACACACAAGTCAGTCACTTGGACTCCTGTGGCCAGAGTCCATGCTCTTAATCAAACTGCCTCAAGCTGATCTAATCTAACATCTTACTTTTTCTGATGAGACTGGGGAGGGGAATTATCTCTCTCAAAGTCATGTGTTACCCAAAGGCAAAGGGAGTCTCGGAGTCTTACCTTAACTTTCACACAAAGGAACTACGATTTGAGTATCCCTGATAAGGCGCCATCTGGTCAAGAAGGGAGCAGAGAATTTCAGATTTAGGAAACATTTATTGAGTACTTGCATCATTTCAGTTCATGCTCATAAAAGGGGCGCCTGGGTGGCTCAGTCGGTTGTCTGCCTTGGCTCAGGTCATGATCCAGCCAGCATCCACCTAACTGCTCCGCGGGGAGCCTGTTGCTCCCCCAGTTTATGCTCTCTCTCCCTGTCAAATAAGTAAATATTTTTTTTTTTTAAAAAAAAGCACCCCCGCGCTTTGTACTGTACAGATGGGGAAACAAGAGAGTCAGAGGGATAATCTCCCCGCAAATCAAGTGTGCAAAAACAGTGGCACTGTCGGATTACACATTCATGTTTCAGAGGCTTCACGAATCCAACCCCAGGTTCCCCCCCTTTCTCGGGGTGGGAGGGTGTAACTGGACCCTTCGTTTCTCCAGATTTCGAACAGGCTCAGGGCGGTGACTTCTGGGATTTGCAGCATCCCCCTAAGAGTTTAGACCCGCGGGCCAATAGCATTCGAGCACAGGCGGTGGGACCCGCCCGGGACCCTCGAACTAGCCAATGAGAAGCGCACGGGCCCTGGTCGCCTGGGAAACCGCGTGACAACAAGATGGCGGCGCCGCGGGACGGCTCCCAGGCCCTGCGCGGTGAGTCCCGGCTCAAAACTTTGCGGCCCCGGCATTCCCCACGCAGGGGGGGGGGGCGCGGGCGCTCGCCCCGAGAGCCCGGGGACCCGCGAGCCTCGCGGCCGGGTCGCCCGGCAGGCTCCCGCGGCTTGGGAGCGGCTTCGGGCCCCCGCCTGCCGTGGCTCCGCGAGGAGGCGGGAGGAGGCGACGCGGTTCCCTGGGAGGGGTTGGGTCGTGACTCAAGTCGCGTCGTGAGCACTTCCAGCTGGAGAGTGAGGGCTGAAGGCGTGCAGCCGGCCGGGCCTTGTCGGCGCTGGAGAGCACTGGGGCCTGACTTGGGCCCCAGAGATGTGGGGGCATGGGCCACAGCTGTCCTCTCCCAGCCCCGGCCTGAAGGGGAGACAGCCCAGCCTGAAGGGGAAGTCACAGCCTGGAAGCCCCCAAGTGAGGGGAGTAGACGTAGCTCTATCCTCAGATCCACCCCCACCCCCAGTCTGAGGGAGGAGGAGACAGTCCCGCCCTCGCTCCGGGGTCCCCAAACTGATAGGGAGATGCCGTCGTCACCCTCAGGGGTCTCATAATCCATGGGGAAAATTAATCCGGAGACAGTGTGTTGGATGGGCTGGAGGTGAGCCGGAAAGCAGGGAAGTCAGCGGCCATCGTGACAGCCCCAAGGAAGGGCAGTGAGAGGGCCCCTAGGAGGGCCACCGTGGGAACAGAGAGCAGAGCTGTGTGAGAGACATTGCAGTTTAACCTGCAACGTTTGGCGATGGGTGGGATTAAGAGAGAAGGAAGGAGAGGAAAATTTTGTAGTTGGATGATGGGGTCCCATTAAGTAGGGGAAAGTGCGAGGAGCTTATTTTCAGGGATGGTGTTGGGTTTGGTTTGGGGACCTTTTTTCTGTGATAGCTTTGTTGAGATATAATTCCCTTTACCCCTTTGAAATGTAAGTTTCAAGTTTTTAGGATATTCATGGGAGTTGTACAAACATCACCGCAATCAATATAGACATTTTCTGGCATCTGAAGAGAAACTCTGTACCCGTCAGCAACTACCTCTGTTTGCCCCCCCCCCAACAGCCCCCAGTCTTAGGCAATCACTGGTCTACTTTCTGTCTCTAGATTTGTCCATTCTGGACATCTTAGATCAATGGGGTTATAACAATATGTGGTGTTTTGTGACTGTCCCTTAGCATAATGTTTTCAAGATCCATTCATATGGTGACATGGCTTCCATTGTAAGGATATACCAGACTTCTTTATCCATCCATTGACTGATGGACCTTTGGGTTGTTTCCATTTTTGGATATTATGAATAATGCTGTTGTGAACGTGTAGATGAGCTTTCATGTGGACATAAGTTTTCGTTCTCAGGTAGGTGGGGGGATGGGGTGACTGGGTGACAGGCACTGAGAGGGGCACTTGACGGGATGAGCACTGGGTGTTATACTATATGTTAGCAATTCAAACGCCAATAAAAAATATACACACACAAAAAAGTTTTCATTCTCTTGGGAAGCTACCTAGGAGCAGAATTGCTGAGCCATAAGGTAGCCTTTTGAGGCTGCCAGAGGGGTTTCCACAGCTGCTGTGCCATTTCTGTTCAAGCTAAGGTTCCAATTTCCTCACCTCACCAACACTTGTTAATGTCCGCCTTTTTAAAGTAGTTTCTTCTGAGGGGTTGTTAATGGTGATGAGTTTGGAGAAGGGAGGGGTAATCAAGCCCAGTGGAAGTTCACACAGGACAGTGTTAGCCACAAAAGGAACATCACCTGATAGCAGATGAAATGTTCTAAAGATTGATTGTGGTGATGGTTTCACAACTTTGTGAATATACTGAAAACCACTGAATCGTACACTTTAAAAGAACTAAGTGTTTGAGTTAGGTCTCAATAAAGATTTTTTTTTTAATTTTTTTTAATTTTTATTTTTTTATTTATGATAGTCACACACACAGAGAGAGAGGCAGAGACACAGGCAGAGGGAGAAGCAGGCTCCATGCACCGGGAACCCGACGTGGGATTCGATCCTGGGTCTCCAGGATCGCGCCCTGGGCCAAAGGCAGGCGCCAAACTGGTGCGCCACCCAGGGATCCAAGATTTTTTTTTTAAGGTTGATACTGTGTGTTTCCACTTATACAACATTCTTGAAGTAAGAAAACAGTAGTGGTTTCCAGGGGTTGGGGATGGCATGGGTGACTAGAAAGGGTTGGCATGAGGGAGAGCCTTATGGTGAGGGGAACTCTGTGCTGATGGAGTAGTTCTTTGACTGCAGTGGTGGTTATCTGGGATGTACATGTGGGTAGGATAGCATAAATAGATACACACATAGAGTGTCACTGTTGGGAGCAACTGAGTGAGGGCAGACAAATCCCCTCTGTACTATTTTCCTAATTTCCTGCAAATCTATAATAACTTTCAAATAAAAACTTAAAACTGGGGGATCTCTGGGTGGCTGGGGGGGTCCCTGGGTGGCTCCGCAGTTTGGCACCTGCCTTTGGCCTAGGGTGCGATCCTGGAGTCCCCGGATCAAGTCCCACATCGGGCTCCCGGCATGGAGCCTGCTTCTCCCTCTGCCTGTGTCTCTGCCCCCCCCACCCCCCGTGTGTCTATCATAAATAAATAAATCTTTAAAAAAAAACCTTAAAACTAAAGAACAGACAAAAACAAAAAAAAAAAAAAAGAGGAGTTAGCCCAACCAAGGGAAGGGTGAAGATAGGAGTAGGGATGCCCTTCCAAGAAGGGGTTCCAGGCTGGGGGAGCCACATGTGCCAAGGCCAGTGCTTTTGAGGCCAGGCTGGCTTGAGTGTAAGAGGGGGAGACGGGGGAGTGAGATCAGGAGGCATCGGCAGGGACCTGATCATCTATGTTAAGGAATTTTGAATTTCTTTTCTCTGGTGAGAAGGAGCCATTGGGAGCCTCATGCGAGACATAGAGAGAGAGAGAGAGGCAGAGACAAGCAGAGGGAGAAGCAGTCTCCCTGTGGGGAGTCCGATGTGGGCATTGATCCCAGGACCCCAGGATCACAACCTGAGCCAAAGGCAGATGCTCAACCACTGAGCCACCTGGGCACCCCAACGTGTTAGCTTTATGTTTATGAAGATCCCTCTGGCCAGATGCTGGCGCAGGGAACCATGAGGGACTGTTGCACTTGGTGCCACACAAACCATTAGGATGCCAGAATGGGAGGCAGCAGGGCCTGGGGGAGGCTAGGGGCAGATTGGGAAGGCTGATGGTAGGGATGAGGCAACACTAGACCTGGGGTATGAGACCCAAACTCCAGAATGAAGACTGAGAAGCTGCCTCCAGCCTCCATGCCGGGCAGCCTCAGGGGCAGGGTGGAAACCAGTGCCATACATTTTCAAAGTGAAACTGCCTTGGATTTGTCCTAAAAAGGCTTGATTCAGGCCCTCATGGGGGTCCTCGGTTCTAGGATTTCTAGATATTTAGCCACATAATGTACTAATTCACTGAATAGTGTTGGCCTTTATTTTTTTTTAAAGATTTTATTTATTTATTCATGAGAGAGAGAGGCAGAGACACAGGCAGAGGGAGAAGCAGGCTCCATGCAGGGAGCCCGACGTGGGATTTGATCCCAGGACTCCAGGATCAGGCCCTGGGCTGAAGGCAGCGCTAAACCACTGAGCCACCCGGGCTGCCCTAGTGTTGGCCTTTAATTCCATCACTGATGTGCATTCATCTTTCCAGAAGGAAGAGGAAAGGAAGGGAATGAACATGTTTGAATGTCCTCAGTGTATAGCAACAAAAGCCATAACATTAAAAACTTTTTTTAAATATTTTATTTTATTTAAAATTTTAAAATTTATTTTTATTTTTTTAAAAATATTTTATTTATTCATTCATGAGAGACACAGAGAGAGAGAGGCAGAGACAGGCAGAGGGAGAAGCAGGCTCCATGCAGGGAGCCTGACGTGGACTCGATCCAGGGTCTCCAGGATCACGCCCTGGGCTGAAGGCGGCACTAAACTGCTGAGTCACAAGGGCTGCCCAAATTTTTTTATTTTTAACTAATCTCTACACCAACATGCGGCTCAAACTCACAGCCCTGAGATCCAGAGTTGCAGGCTCCACCACCCTGAGCCAGCCAGGCGCCCCCACAGTTTACATTTTTCCATGCCTCCCCTCGGTGTGGCACTGGGCTCTGTGCCTTATGTGTGTTATCTCTGAATCCTCTTGTTGACCCTACCTGGCTGGTACTGTCACCATATCAAAGGAGACCAAGGCACGGGTTACCTGGTGGATGGCAGAGCCTGTGCAGAGCCTGGGCTCTTGATCTCCCTACCACACAGTCTGTGCCTTGGTCGAATCCTGCCCGTGGGTTGCTCCTCTGTGGCTCCGAGAGTCAGAATGACAGCTGAGTTCCTGTAGGAGGGAACAGGACACTTGAGCTTTGTGTCCACAGCTCCTTGAAGGATGGCTAAAAGCCCCAGGCCTTCTGGGTAGTCTGGTGACCCAGCTCTAAGTTGGGAAAGTCCCAGGCTTCTGGCCCATCTCTGTACCCCATCCCCCTTTCCCAGCCAGTCCAGGGGCCCCCAGGGCCAGAGCAGAAAGCAAGATATCCAGAGGATCCAGCAGACATCAATCACACGGATCGTGAGGCCAACCTGCCTCCAGAAACCTCTGCAGGGGCGGTGGGAAGAAGTGAGGGGTGCTGCTCCCTGGACAGTGCTCCCTCCTGGGAAAAGAAACGAGGGAAGAGGAAGTTTCCCTGATCCTGAAGCCCCGGGCCCCCTCTGTCCCCTGGGACTGACTTCCTTCCATCTTCTCAGGGAGTTCCTGACAGCTAGAATCTAGAAGTAGAGCTATGAGCTCACCTTTGGCCTCCCTTGGCAAGACCCGAAGAGTCCCCCTGCAGTCAGAGCCTGTGAATCCAGGGTAAGGAACCGGCCTCAGGGGGTATTTATGTTCATGCCCCTGCCTCCTCTCAGCCCAGTGGACTAGGAGAAGGGCTCCTAGTGTCTCCGGGAAAAGGTGAGGAGTCACATAGCCTTCCCTGACCACCGTATCTTTCTCTTATAACTTCTTCAGAGAGGCTCTGCGGCGTCTGAGCAAACACTGGGTTGTGCCGTCTAGTAGGGTGTGGGCTGGGTGGGAGCAGCGCGGCACCCAGTTATTCATCGTTCTCATGTTCTTTGGCAAACACCAATTGTAGGGCTCCCCTGGGCCAGCCACGTGCTGGTCCTCAGGAAGAGAACACTTTACATCTGTCTAGCACTTCATCCTTTTGAAGCATTTTTTTTTTTTTTAACCTCTCTTCTTCCTCTTCTGAACACCACTTTGAGTCATTTGAAGGCCGGGGAGATCTAGAGCAGTCAAGGGACCCACCTGGGGTTCGCACAGTCATTTTAAAACACAGCTGGGGCTGGGCTTCTGGGCTTGGGAGCTCTGTGTCTTCCACCCAAACCTCTGCCCTTCAGCCCTTCCCCACCTTTCTCCACTGGGAGGAGGGGACACCTCAAAGCCTGTCCCTTGGCTTGCCCCAGTGCCAAGGATGCGATTTGGGAAGGAGATAGCCTTGGGAGGCAGAGGCCCAGCCTCCATCTCCTTTAGGCTTGGCTGGGCACCTAGACTGACCCCCTGGGACATTCCAGAGGGTCCTAACTTGTCTATCTGTCTTTTCCTTCCTGCCTGGGTTCCTAGGAGGCGAGGGATAAAACTCTACGGAGATGGTAAGTGTGGGCTCTGCCCTCGTGTCCCCCTCACTTCCCACCTGCTGGTCTCCCTGGGGTGCAGATTGAGAGAAGGAACAGGATGATCACCCCTGTCAGCCAGAGCAGCTGGCCCACCTGCAGCTCCCTCATCCCTCCCGGAGGACAGGGCTTCCTGGCAGCTTTCTGATTAGGAGGCGCACCCCCTTAGAAGAGATGTCATTGCTAGCTTTTGAACCCTTCCACTTACTGTGGGGTGGGCCAGTGGGTGCCGAGAAGCCATAGGAGCCCAGACCCCAGCCTTCTCCAGCCCATTACCACCTTTTCTCCCAGAAGCCCCATCCTCATTTCACTGCCCTGCCTCCTGCAGGCTCAGACTTTAGCATCCCAACCCCATTCTTGCTGCCACCGTGTGGCTGGCATTGGCTACTCAGGTCCTCCCAGGAGCCAGGCTGTCAGAACTACAAGAAGCCTGTTCTGGTTGGACCCTTGCTCCCTGACATCCCACATGTTCTATTCACATACACTTGGGAGTACAGCATCCAGGCTGCTTTATCCAGGCCAGAGCCCAGGGGCCCAGCTTCCTCTGGGCCTCAGCCCCAGAGCAGTGACCTGGGCATCCCTGTCTGCAGAAGACGAGGTGGACGTGCTAAATAATGGACATGGCTCAGAAGAAAGGATCTCCATCCCTTCATGCTATGGCGGAGTAGGTGCCCCTGTGAGTAGGCAAGGTGAGAACAGAGGCCTAAAAGGGTCTGGGTCCCTAGCAGCTGGAGAAGGTCTCAGAGAGGGGGCAGCCGAAGGAAGCCCAGAGAGGCACAGACCTACTCTGGCCTGCTGTGGGTGAGCCCAAGGTCCCCAGACAGCCCTCCTCGCCTGGCCTGCACCCTCCCCAAAGAGCTGTGGTGATACTCATCTCAGAGGTCCCCAGATGGAGCTCACGGGGCAGCTTCTCAGAGGAGAGAGGGTGGAACGGGTCCGGACATAGGGGAGACGTGGGCAGGTAGGGTCAGAGTCTGCTGCAAGCCTGGAGGAGCTGGGAATGAGATTAGAATGTTCCGCTAGCTGTGATATCTTGGGTAGGCAACATTCTGTGTCTCTGCCTCCCATTTCCTACAAGGTCTGTGAGGTGGGAGGCAGTCCTTCACTGAACACTCCTCTGTGTTATAGGACAGGGATTTGAAGTGGGGAAAGGAGACAGAAGAGCCTGGCGCTACAGCCATTCAGGCACAGAGTCAGCCCAGCTGGGGACACTTTCCTTAGTAACCCCAGTAACCAGCTCCTCCCCTTGAGGAGCCATCCCAGGCACTCTCAGCCTCTCCCCTGGCATCTGCTCCTCACCCCACTCTCAGCCAGTGTCTGTCCCCACCGAGGTCACAAACAAGGACTTGCCTGTCCTGTCTCACTTCTGTGCACAGCAGCATTCCACATGGGTCACCGTTCCCTCCTTCTCAGATCACCCTGGGCCCTTGGCCACCATAACACTGCTCTCTCAGATTTCTTCCTGCCTCTGAGGCTCTTTCCTCTCTTTGCTAGATCCTTCTTTTCCTCCCAGCTTTTCAGTGTGATGCTCCCTCCCCCCTCTCCCTCTCTCTTTCCTTCCCTCTCTCTCTCCCCAGCTCTCCCCCTCCCCTCTGCCTCAGTGAGCTCATCCATGCTCTATGCGCTGACCAGCCCAGATGTCTATCTGTCTGTTACAAAGCTTTGACTACAAGTCAGAGAAAACCCTTAATCAGTTAGCATGAACATTGAGGAGGACTTATTGTCTGGCATACCATGAAGTCCAGGAGGCAGCTCCAGGATTGTTAATCCATTGACTCAAAGACATCATCGAAAGTCCAGGTTTTGGGGCACCTGGGTGGCTCAGTGGGTTAAACGTCTGCCTTCAGCTCAGGTCATGATCTAGGGGTCCTGGGATCGAGCCCTCCATCGGGCTCAGCGGGGAGTCTGCTTCTCCTTCTCCCTCTGCCCACCCCCGCCCCCAACTCATGTGTGCATTTTCTCTCTCAAATAAATAAAATCTTTTTTTAATATTTTATTTATTTATTCATGAGAGACACAGAGAGAGAGAGAATGGCACAGACACAGGCAGAAGCAGGCTCCACGCAGGGAGCCTGACACGGGACTCGATCCTGGGTCTCCAGGATCACACCTTGGGCCGAAGGCAGCGCTAAACCGTTGAGCCACCCAGGCTGCCCCAAATAAATAAAATCTATAAAAAATTTTCAGGTTTCTCCATCTTTCCACTGAGCCATCCTTGGCATGTCAGCCCATATGGCTGCATGGTGAAAAATGCAGTTCCTGCTTCACACACAGGCCAGTGTGCAGGGAAAGGAGGACCTGTTCCTCCCTGTGTGTCTCTCAGTTTCTTTTCCCAAACTTGTTGTGTTGAAGAATTTCCAGCCTATAAAGAAATTAAAATAATAGTATGGTGAACACCTCTATGTCTGCCATCTAGATGCAACAATGAGTGACATTTTGCCACTAATTTGCTTTCTCTCTGTCCGTATACACATATCTATGAATGTAAATGTATTTTGTTGATGAACCATTTGGAAGTCGATTACAGGTATCATGACGTTTCACCCGTAAGCACTTCAGTGTGCCTGTCCTAAGAATAAGGAAGCACATGACCACGGAGCAGTGACACGACCTAAGAATGTGGATGATGCGGTGATACGCTCAAGCCTCTTCTGCGCTCCAATTTCCTATGCTCCAAAATGATCTCACAGCTCTTGTTTTTCCTGATCTAGGTTCTTTTTTTTTTTAATTTTAATTTTTATTTATTTATGATAGTTACAGAGAGAGAGAGAGAGATGCAGAGACATAGGCAGAGGGAGAAGCAGGCTCCATGCACCGGGAGCCTGATGTGGGATTCGATCCTGGGTCTCCAGGATCACGCCCCGGGCCAAAGGCAGGCGCCAAACCGCTGCGCCACCCAGGGATCCCTGATCTAGGTTCTAATCAGGGTCATGCACTGTGTTTGTTACACCTCCGTAGAACAGTGACTTTGCCTTTTTAAAAAGTGACACTGACTTCTCGAAGAGTCCAGGCCGTGCACCACTTGGAGGGCCCACATGCAGATCTGGGTGCTTGTTTGTCCTTGGTGCTGACTCACTCCCCTATCCTCTGTGTTCCTGTAAACTGAGGCGCATTGTGGGGACAGCATGAGCTGACATGAGCAGAGTATGTAGGATAGTCCCTATTATCTAAGTGGCAGCTACTAGTACTCCTCTTATTTCTGCTTCTGGAGATCCCTGTCCCCGTCCACTGGCCCCCCACGCCTCAGCCTCTGCTGTAGACCTGGGCTCTAGGACTTTGTCCGTTTGGCAGTCCCTGTATTCCATGACTCGGAGCTGGTGGCCACCTTGACCAGGAAGATGCGAGACCTGGAGCGGCAAGTGAAGTCTCAGGCTGATGAGCTTCTGTCCAAGGTGGGACCCTGGTGGGGAGAGGGCCAGGGTCTGGTCTGAGGGGTGGAAGGGCCCAGGCTGGGGAGGCCAGTGAGCTTACTCCCGCAATAAGCCAGGGTGGGTGGGTTCTAGAACCATCTCTCCCACTGAACCTCCCAGTTCAAGGACCAGGTATGGCCTGAGGCTGATCTGGATCCCTGTGACCTGAGCAGAGAGGTTAAGGGTCTTCTCTACAGCCGAACAAGGCCAGTAGCCTTGGACTAGATGGCAGCAGTGCTGCTGAGCTCTGGAGCACTTGGGGTACTCCACACCTTTCCTCACCACAGTGGAACCACAAGGATATCTGAGGTATAGGAGCAGTGGCTGTGCCAAAGAGTGGCAGGGGCAGGGTCTTTAAACTCCCCAGTGTCCCACAGAGGCAAGAAGTTTGGATCTTCCCAGCTGAAGGGGGAAGTCCCCAGCAAAGTTCCCTTGCACTCTGGGAACCCCCAAATCTGCCTGCCCCTCCTTGTCTTGCTGCTGCAGGATCGGAAGATACGGGCCCTGGAGGAAATGGTGCAGACCTTCCAGGAGCACGAGGGTAAGAGGCGCACTTGGTGGGCTGGTCAGCCCTCCTGGGGCACCTCCCGTGGGCTGGTGGCTCCTGGGCATCAGGGCTCCAGGACCATCAAGCTGAGTCCTGTAGCGGGGCCTGGACAGCTGAGCCCAGACACAGGCAATGGCACAGCGCCCTCCTCTGTGGGACCGAGTCCCCTGGGTGCACAGGGCGCACTGTCAGAAGTGTGAAGGAACACCGCCCCGCCCCCTCAGGAGCCTTGGGGGGGGGTGAGGTTGGGGGGCTCTCCTCTCAAGGCCAGGGAGAGAGGCCAAGCAGGCAGTGTTCAGGGGAGCCCTCGAGTTAAGGGGCAGCTGCTCCAAATGCCCTTCTCGGGGTAGAAGGTTGGGCAAGGCCAGAAGTGGTCCAGCGGCCTCCTTGCCGGCGCAGACCCCTCCCGATCCTCCCCTGCAGGCAAGGTGAAGGCGCAGCAGCAGCAGGAGCTGGAGACCATGTGCTCGCGGCTCCAGCGGCAGGTCGGGGAGATGGAGGTGAGAGACACGGCGCCCCGCCCCGCAGGACCTGGCCCGGGGCGCACCCGTCTGGGTCCCCTCCCGTACACCTCGCGTTTCCCTCCTCAGCACTAACCCAGAGTCTGGAGAGCAGGGGAGGGGTCTGGTGCCCGACCAGCCAGCCCCTGGGTCCCGCTGGGGGCCTCTCCTCTCAGCCCGGGCCTGCCTCTGCTTGACCACGTCGAGCTCTTCCCGCCTCAGGACCTTGGCCCGTGCTGTTCCCTCTCAGAGGGTACAGAGAATTCGACAAAATATTTAGATATTTAGAGGGGTGACATGATAGAGACGAGCTGGAGCCTGAACCGCTCGGCGGGGTGGCATCGGGCAGATCTGGAGGCCGAGGAGGGGCCGGGGAATGAGCGTCAAGGCTGCAGAGTAGATGCCGGGCTCCGCGTCCTGCTCCGCGTCCTGCTCCGCGTCCTGCTGCGCAGACTTTGGTGGGCTCGGGCCTGGAGGGCCAGAGGGAGAGGGCGAGGCGCGAGGACCATCGGGGGGCTCGTCCGTCCGTCGTGCGGGGCTGGATTGTCCTCGAGGATGGGAGACCGTGGAGAGGTCCCAGAGGTGTGGACGGCGAGGCGGGTGGAAGCGCAGTTGGAGTTGTCGGGGCGGCGACGCTGGGGCAGGGGTGTGGCTGACAGACCGGAGATCTGGAGGGCTGGGGCTGGGGCCGGGGCCGGGGCCGCGCAGCCGTGCCCCAGGGGAAGGAGTCCGTCTTGAGAGGCCTGGGAGACCCGCAAGCGTGGACGCCGGGAGCACGAAAGGGCGCGGGGTGGTCCATGTTGAAGGGTTGGCCCCGGGAGGCCGCTAGGGCTGCTGAGGGGGTTAGGAGAGCAGGGAGCTGCAGAAGCAGCCACAGGAAGTGTAGACGAGTCAGAAGTCGGCCTGCGGCAGAGGGCATGGGAGGCCCTGCCCTGTCCCTGCCCCTCCTCCACTCAGGCCACCCACGGGGTCCCCGCTGCCATCAGGGCCGCCTGCGGTGGGTCCCACGGCGCCAGACACCCTGCTTTAACCTCCATGTGAATTCTCTTAACTGAGTCCTCCCAAGCTTATGGGGCAGGGAAGAGCCTGTGGCTCCGGGGGGGGCGAATAGGCTTCCCAGGGTCGGGCGGGAAGCAGCCAAGACCCCTGCGCCCATCCCTGCGCCCAGCTGGCTCTGCGATCTGACGAGCTGAGCCTGAGGCTGGGACTGGCTGCCCGCACCCCCCCCCCCCATACCTGGCCCTTCTCTCCGTACAGCGGTTCCTCGGGGACTACGGGCTGCAGTGGGTGGGCGAGCCCGCTGACGACGAGGACTCAGAGGACCAGTCAGACTCAGAGGATGGCAAGAGGGACTGGATGACAGCCAAGAAGTTGTGGAAACCAGGTAGAGTAGGGGGTCCGCCCCCGACCCCTCCTACGAAAGGAGTTCCCCAGCACCCTCCTTTGGCCCAGCAGCTGTGCAGAGCCCATCTCATTCACCCCTGACCCAGGAGCAGGGAGGAAAGGCCTCAGGCTCCGTCACTGACCACCGAAGCTGCCTCGGGCCCTCTGCTTGCTCCTCTCTCAAGGGCTCCAGAGACCCAGAGATAAATGGAAGAAGACCTCATTTGTCTCAGGCTCCAGAGTTTACATGGTGTCGTCTGCCCCAAAGTTGTTAAAAACTGAGTCCTCTGCTTTGGAAGCTGCCCGCGGTGCCAGGCTCAGTCCCCTCTTCGCGTTCCTTTTTCAGCCTTGCTTGTAGCCGGGCCGTTGAAATCACCCCGGTTCTCTAGGATGCCACCATTCTTTACTCTTAACTTGATGCTCATGTCCAGAGAAATGCACCCCCCAGACATGGGGCCATAGAACTGGCCATTTCTGCAAGCCCAGCCCATTCTCTTCAAAGAACGAAGGTGATTGCCCAGAAGGTGCTTTTCTAGGCTCTGGAGCCAGTCACACCTGGATTCTCATCTCCATTCCACCACCTGTTCCAGGTGTGACTTGGGCTCGTGGCTTCTGTTCTCTGAGCTCCCAGTTCCCCATCAGTAAGTGAGGGTGTGCTCTTCCCTGCGGAGTTGGAAGGAGTCAGTGGGGTGGATGCAGAGCACCTAGCACCAACCTTGCCCGTCATTGTGCAAGGCCTACCAACAAATAGGGCTTTTCTTGTTTTCCATGGTCAGGTGGCAGCGGCAGCCTCCTGGGAGCGGGCATGAGCATGGTTCCCGAGGGGAGTAGTTGGAGAATGATAACACGGTCTTGATTCCATAAATTTCAAAACATGAAGAGTCCTCTCTCCCATTCAGGTCTGAGCTTTGAGCAGATCCTCTGAAGTCTCAGGGGACAGCTCCCTCACTGCTTGTTCTGAGAACATCACTTCACATTTGTACAACACTTGCAGCTTTCAAAGCATTTTCATAAATAGCCTTAACATGGGCCAGGGGTTGTTCCATTTTATAGATGGGAAACCAAGGCCCCTAAGAAGTCTGGAGACCGTTGAGTGAAGGGGGCAAGACCTGAGGCCGAGAGCCCATTTAGGAGGTGGTTACAGTCATCCAGGCAGGAGATGAGCTGGTGTCTGGTGGAAGAGTGATCCTGGCAGGCACGGCGAGGAGGGGCAGGGCAGATATAGGCGGTGGAATCTGTGGCCTTGGTGATTGTGCATTAGGGAGCAGACAGGAGGAAACGGACGCCTGGGACAGCCCCTCCTGGGTGAGAGGTAGAGCTCTGAAAGGTGACTGCCAGATGCCCTAAGAACGTTCCTGGGGTCTAGGGCCAGAGGCCTGCCAACACCGCACCCTGGTCCCCCACATGCCCCTGCCAGCTGAAGGGCAGCCTTCCTCCTGGCCAGTGGGGGGCCTTCCAGCACCTTTGGGGGTCAGACCAGATAGCTGGTTCTGGACCTGGCTCTGTGGACTCCTGTCCTACCCAGTCCCTGCCAAAAACAGAGCAGCCCTCTCAGGTCTGTGTTGTTTGTGCTCAGAATAAGCTGGCTCTGAAGCTGAGTGCTTCAAAGCTAAAGCACTTGTGAAAACCACCCAGCCATACGCTCCCTCTGTGCATCCTCCTCCTTTTGCTCTCTGGTTCTTAAACAAGGAGGGGTCCTCAATTTAGCTTTTTTTTTTTTTTTAAATATTTTATTTATTCATGAGAGAGACACAGAGAGAGAGGCAGAGACACAGGCAGAGGGAGAAGCAGGCTGGGGAGCCTGATGCGGGACTTGATCCCAGGACCCTGGAATCACAACCTGAGCTGAAGGCAGCCCTCAACCACTGAGCCACCCAGATGCCCCAATTTAGCCCTTCTGCCAGATGAACATGTTTTTCATTTCCAGCAGCTTTTCTTCCTCCCACTCCCACCCCCAACCTCTCTAGGCTTCTCTTCCCCCACTGCTTTGTCCCCAGGCACCAGGCTGCTTCTGCCCTAGGGGCCCTCAGGTGCACAGAGGGGGCCCCTTGCTGGCCCTGATACTCTGGCTCATTTCTCTGTCTCTCCCTCTGTTGGATACCACTTCCCACAGGCCTCAGGCAGCAGGGGAGGATGGGCCAGGGCATCTGTATGGTGCTAACCAGTCTAGTGCCAGGACTCTTGCTTTGGGGAAGAGGGTCCACTGGCCTGTGAAGGGGACCCAGCACAGGGGAAGCATTGCAAGGACCTGGCCCCAGGCTGGACCATTCACCACTCCCTGCTCTCCCCACCAGTATATTGAGCATTAAATAGAATACCTGGTGCTTCAGGGCATGCGGAGACTTGAAAGGGACAGTCCTGCTTAGTCACAAGCCATTGTCAGGTGCTGAGCCTCAGGGCTGAGAGCTCCTCGCTCCCTCTTCACTATCCCCTCTGAGCTCCCCACTGTCACTCATCTCCATCTCCTCTGAGCTCCTCTTCCCCTTCCCTATTTCCTGCAAACTCTTCCTCCTCCTCCCCATCCCCTCTGAGCTCCCTCCTCCTCATCCCTGTTCCCTCTGAACTCCTTGTTCCTTCTTCCTTGTTCTCTGAGCTCCCATCCCCCATCCCTATCCCCTCCCCCCCCACTAAACCCCCATCTTCTCTGAGCTCTTCCTCCCCTTTCCATGTCTCTTATGAATGCTTCCTCCTCCTCATCCCTGTCCCCTCTGCAGCTCCTCATGCCCCGCCTCACCAAGTTCTTGCCCTCCCTCTACCTCTCTCCCTCTGCCAGCCTCTGCCTACCCCCTAGCATCCCTCCCCCAAGCCCCAGTCTCCAGCATCTGGGTGGGAGCCTCTTCCCTCCTCTGCTCAGGAAGCCATATTGACTCCAGATCTTGTCCCTGGGGCTCCTGTGTGTCCCCAGCCTAGACCCCAGGCAGGCTAGTGTCCTCCCCACTCGCAGTATCCCCTCGAGCCTTTACTTTGTCCCCCCAAGTGCCTTGCCCCCTTTTATCCTCTCTTTTGAAGCTTAGCTGAAACCCAATCCCATGGAGAACCCGCTGGGAGTACCTGCAGCCCAGCGCTGCACCACCCCGCCTGTGGGAAGGGGCTCTGCACTGGAGTGACTGTGTGGACAGCTCCGGCTGAGGAGCCAGGGGCTTGTGTGGTGAATGCTTCACCTCTCAGAGTCCGTGTCCTCATCTGTGAAATGAGGAGACAGCCTGCTGATGCCCAGGCCACTGGGGGCACCGAATGCTGTAGTGCACGTGGAGGTTCTCTCAGGCTGCTGGTGGTGGATGAACGAGGCCCGTGAGCCCCGGCCGCTTAGCCCCCGTCAGGCCACGGAGTGTCCAGCATGGGACACAGTGCTCGGCTGTGGGCCAAGGCTTGGTGGGAGTGCCTGGGTGCCCAGGCCTGGACCATCAGGTGCCCTGGGACAGTCATCTGCACAGGATGAGGTGGGGGTGGGTGGCACGATGCTCAACCACAGGGGCCTGAGAATTAGTCGTGACCCTGGCAGTGGTGAGACTCTTAGGGCCTGTTCTCTTTCCTCTGAGGAGCAGAGGGAATGCAGATCCCTAGAGCGGGGCCACACCTGCAGGGGTGTGGAGATAGCGGGTCTGTTTCCTGTTCAGCCTTTGGTGAGGTAGTGGGGACCGGCTTAGCGGTTGTAGGGTGCGCCTTAGTATTCACAGCAGCAGGTGTGAGGAACCAGCCCAGAGCAGGCCTACCACTCACCGGCTGGGAGGGCAGGGTCTGGCCCTCCTCTGGGCTCTGCAGCCTCCGCAGTGGTCCTACTTATCACCTGCCATGGTCACTGCTGTCACCCTGTCTCCTTCACTCAAGTATGAGCTTGAGGAGGGCAGGATGCCGGGTGTGGGCATAGCCATGATTCTCAGGGCCTAGCAGAGCTTGGCCACTCCGGACATGCTGGTAGGATGGAGGGATGGATCCAGTTCATGCTTCGGAGCACCCACTCTGGGCCAGGCCCAGGATGCTCTACTTGCATTCATGGAGTGCCCGCTGTGGTTGGAAAGACGAACAAACCAAAGGACAACAGCCTGTGATAAGTGCCAAGCTCCGGAGTGGGCCCAAGGCTCCAGGAGCTCAGGAGGCTTAGGCTCCGGGCAGGGAGGGGCTCCTGGCAAGGCGTCTCAGAGGAGGTGGTGAGCCAGTGGTGAGCAAGAGGGTGGGATGTGGGTGACAGCAGCCACCACCTGCCAGGCACCTCCTCTGAGCCTCACAGCCACCTATGAAGTGGGGACTTTTATTGTCCTTATTTTATAGAAGAGGAAGCCAAAGCCCAGAGAGGTTGGTCCACTTGTCTAGGACCACACAGCCTGGAAGCTGTAGCCCTGGCAGTATGGCTCCAGAGAGGAATGGGGGAACAGGTTGAGGGGAGGCCAGGGAACCTGGGTTCCCAGGGTCTTGGGCTTTGGGCCAAGGAGCACTGTCTTGATCACCATGCCTCCCTAACTCCCCCTTTATTTATATATTTATTTTAATTTTGTTCATGAGAGAGAGAGAGGGGCAGAGACAGGCAGAGGGAGAAGCAGGCTCCATGCCTGGAGCCTGATGGGGGGACTCCATCCCGGGACTCCAGGATCATGCCCTGGGCTGAAGGCGGCGCTAAACTGCTGAGCCACCCAGGGATCCCCCTAAGTCCCCTTTTTAATAAAATCATGGGCGCTCAAAGTTGGATGAGGCCTCAGAGATGATCTCTCTACACCACACCCCTCCTTAGAAAGGGACCTCAGGAGCAGTGTCCAAAGAACCAGCACTGACAGGCAGCCTGCATGGTCACAGAGACTAGAGTCTTAGAGTCCCCTGGGCCCCAAAAGCTGCATGACCAGTAGCACGTCACCTTATAAGGGCTGGTTTCCTCGTTTCTAAAACGGGAGTGGTAATACCTGCCTCTAGGTGCTGGGCACGAAGTGGACACTCCCGGAGTCGTCCTTACAGTCAGTCCCCCTGCTGGATCTTGTTGGGTGGGATAAAGGTTCCTATTCTCTCCCACTCCAGGGAGGGAGAGCTGCAGCTCAGAGAGGAAATGCCTCAGTAGACCTCTGACCTGGCTCACCCCATGTGACCTGGCGACAGGCCAGGCTTCTGTTGTGCACTCCCTGCTAGGTGGTGGCAGCGCCGGGCTTCCTTAGTCTCAGGCCTGGTTTGCCCGGAGCTGCGGCTCTATCTCCTGGACCTCTTGGCTCGCTGCAGGCGGCTGCACCCGACACGTGCCCACCGCACCCCACCTTGACGTCTCCATGCCCTAGGCCCACTAGCTGAGAGCCTCTGGGGCTGACTTTCTCAGCAGACTCTTTTCCTTCTAGCCGCTTCTTGGCATCCTCCCCTGGGCTGCCACCTGCCCCCTCCACTGCCCACCACCCCATGTCCATCAACTCCCTGAAAAAGCCTTGGCCCCAGGATGCAGCTGGATTGGCAGTCACCATATCTGAGTGGTCCTGGCTCTGCTTGGCGTGGGCTACATGGGCCCAACCCTCTGACTTTTCTAGGCCTCTTTCCCTATCTGGAAGAACACAGGGATAGGGGCAGGAGTTCAACGAGATGAGCTTTTCTGTTGTTATCTTTAGGTTTACCAGTGCCTTCTGAATGTAGTTCTTTGTTAAAGGAGAATAGTGGCTTGATATTGTTCCGACTCATACCAGGGATGCCCAGGGATGTTCTGTGAGTTTTTCTTGGGTATCTCAGGAACTTAAGGGGACCCCATGAGGAGGTGGGGGCAGGTGCAGTCCCTACAACCTAGCAGATCTAGGGGGATGGGGGAGTCCAGCTGAGGCCTTGAGCAGCCACAAGGCAACAGGAAACAAAGCCACCACATCTGTACTTCCTCAGCACAGCCACCACACCTCCAGAGCCGGTGCACCACTCTGAGGAAAGGAATTGGGCCTCCAGAGTCCTGACCCACATCCTGCTGCAGCCTGGCTGTCCTGGTGAAAACAGGAGGTTTTGTAGGGTTACACCCTGGTGGACAACTTACTTGGGAGCCAGATCCCTTCCAGGACTGACCAAGGGCCCCCAGCCTGTACCCCTCCAGCATCCACCTGCTCTCCAGCTGTTCTATTCTAGCATCTGTTGTGGCTGTCCCCACCACCCCCTGAAGCTTAGGCACACCTGTGTGTGCAATACTTTTCAGAAGAGGAGGCCAAAGCGTGTTAGCTTCTCAAAGGGGTGCGTGACCCAGAAATAGTTGCACAAGCCGAGGTCTGCCGCAGATCTGTCCAGCAGCTGTCCTGACATCCACCCCAACAACCTTGTGTGCCTACCCCAACCTCCCCCTCCGGATGGTGCAGATGGGTGGGAAAAGCAGACTCTAGAGTCAGCCCCTCCTCTAATTTGCCAAGTGACCTGGGGCAAGTCATTTTTCATCTCTGAGGACCTGTTTCCTCATGTGTAAAATGGAGATAAATGACTCCTGCGTCATAGCCTCTGGGTTGGCCCAAGGTCCATCTGTGCAAGGTAGAGTTGGCAACAGTAACCCACAGGACAGAGTGCTTGCTCCGAGCTGGCTCTCTCGTGGTCTACCTTCCCAGACCCTTGCAGGAGAGGAGGCTGCAGTGCAGAGCATTACATGATTTGACCAAGGTCACAAAGGTGGAAGCCAAAGAGCTAGGATTTGAATCCAGGCAGATAATCCAGAGGTGGGAGCTCTGGGCTGTGCTTTTTCAGCTGCTGACACAGGCAGAGCTGGGATCAAATCCTGCTCCTGCTCCTTCCTCTGTGCATCCCTAGGCAGCCTTTAACCTCCTCTAACCTGTGGTTTCCTCATCTGAAGAATGGGGGTGATGACAGCCCCTACAGCACAGGAGTTGGTATGAAGAGAGTGGCACAATAGTTATTAAGCCCCCAGCACAAGGTGAGTATTCCGTAAAAGAGAGCTATTATGTAGCAGTAACTGTCCCCCATCCCCACCGGGCGGCCACTTACAGAGATGCAGAGGCCGCTGCTTAGCGTGCCAGGGGCCATGGCAGTCAGAGCTGCTGGAGCACACAGCTGCCATGAAGAAAGGCTCATGGGTGTTTATCCTCTTTGCCAGGGGACTCATTGGCACCCCCCGAGGTGGACTTTGACAGGCTGCTGGCCAGCCTGAAGGATCTCAGTGAGCTGGTGGTAGACGGTGACACCCAGGTGACACCAATGCCCGGTGGTGCACGGCTCCGTGTCCTTGAGCCCATCCCACTGAAGCTCTATCGGAATGGCCTCATGATGTTCGATGGGCCCTTCCGGCCCTTCCATGACCCCTCCACACAGGTAGGAGTGGTGGGGAGGGGAGACAGGCCACTCTGGTGGCCTTGCCCCACCCTCTCTCACCATTAGCTGGAGATGGGGGGGTGCGGGGGGTGCAGCTCCACCAACCCTCCATAGGTACCCAAGCCCACATGCAACTTGCAGAGCACGGCCCCCCAGCCCAAGTCCCGGAACCCTGGAAATGTCCAGAATATGATCCATTGGTTAGACCCAGGGCCCAGAGCCTGCCATCCAGACAGAAAGCAGAGCAGAAGGCACTGCACAGGTCCAGCCCTGCCTCACTCTTCCAATCCCTGCCACAGCGCTGCCTCCGAGACATACTGGATGGCTTCTTCCCCTCAGAGCTCCAGCGCCTGTACCCTGATGGAGTCCCCTTCAAGGTGATGGGCTGCTCCTCAGAAGCAGTGTGAGGATTTTGGAGGGGTTGGGGATAAACTGCTTCCTTGGACATCACCCAGTTTGAAGTGGGAAGCCACTACCCCCACCCCCCAAGGGAACCCTGGTCTGTTGACTTCCCAGAAGAGGGTGAGCCTGAAGCTAGGCTGAGAAGGGCCTAGGAGGGAGGCTCCAGGTGACCTCAGTCACTTCCTTAGTGAGGGCCGCAGCCAGTGGCTAAGCGGCAGGGGGTGCCCCCTGCTGGCACCCTGGAGGCACAGTCTTCAGCCTTGCAGGGGCACTGCCCCACCCAGCATCCAGGACACCTTGACAGCCTTGGGTTCCCGAGGTTCTGTGCAAAAGTGGCCTGGCTTGGCCTAGAAGCTCCTGAGGCCATCTGCTTTTGTGGAAGGCGGCACTGTGGGGGGCAAATGTTGGGATTAGAGGACTTGGCGTGAGCTGGCCCCCTCCTGGCAGGGGTGGGTGGGGGTGAGATGGGGTGCTGTGGCAGGGTGTCATGATGTTAACTCACCAGCAGCAGCCCGCAGTGTGGTGCGTCATTCCACAGCAAGGGGACATGAGGGGGTGTGCACCACCACCACCTGGGCTTGAAAACCATGTGAGTCATGATTGGGGGTGTTTGAGGCAGTTCACGCCAAAATAAGTCTTTGCCCTCTCCTCACACCCTGGCCCCTTGATTCCTGGCTGGGTCCTGAGAGGGGCTCTCTGGGGAGGATGTTAGTACAGCGGCTCCAGCTGGCGCAGTGAGGAGTGCCTGTAGGAGCTGCGCCCAGGTGGGTGACAGTAGCATGAACTGCAGCTCTCTCGCTCTCTTGGGGGCCTCAGTTTACCTGAAAAATGGGGGTTGCATCAGATTATCCCTTGAGCCTATTCCTGGGACAGTGGGGTGGGGGGGCTGGGGAGGCCTCTGGGCAAGTGTGGGGTGGAGCCCAGGGCTACAGGTCTAGGCCCCCACTGTTGCCTTTCCTTCCTGCCAGGTGAGTGATCTGCGCAATCAGGTTTACCCAGAGAATGGGCTGGACCCATTCCCAGGTGAGGGCCGTGTGGTGGGTCGACAGAGGATGCACAAGCCCCTGGACAGGATGGAGCACTCAGGTGAACCTGGCCCTGAGGCTGAGCCAGGGGGTGGGGGCACTGGGCAGGACCAGCTCTGGGTGGCTTCCTCCACCATCAGCCATCCCTCGCAGTCCCTCCCCAGGCTCAGGCTCCCAATGCACTCCCTGCAGGCTCCAGGATGACTGCTGAGAAGTTTCTGAACAGGCTCCCCAAGTTTGTGATCCGGCAAGGTGAGGTGGTTGACATCCGGGGACCCATCCGGGACACCCTGCAGGTAAGGCCAGCTCTAGCTCCCCCAGACTTCTTGGGCTCCCTGACCCAACCTACCAGAGCAGTGGCTAGTCTGGAGACTCAGGCTCAGGGGCTGCTGAGGAGGGCCTAGATGGAGAAAGGAGGCTCTCAGAGCAGTTCCACTATCTCCTGAAAACAATCTGGGGCGGGCTCGGGTGGCACCCAGTGAGGGGCTGAGTTGGCAGCATTGTGGCTGCAAGAGAGGAAAAGTCAGAGTCTAGGCCAGGAGTTGAGTCCAAGGCCTGGGTGACCTCGTCGAGGTCCAGACCGGAACATCCAGTTCAGTCCTGGATCCCCCTTCCTGCATCTGCCCTTCTCACTCCCCATCCTGCTGCTCCTCCCCCATCTCCACCTGCGGAAGGGACCCAACCTGTTTCCCACCGCTCTGCCTCCTTCACCCCACATGGCCAAGTCCTGCCTGACCTGTCCATCTCCAGCACCTCTCCCGAACCCGTCTCTTCTCCCCATTCCTTCTGCCCACTATCTGGACTAGGTTCCGGAGTGGCTCTCAGACACTTGCAGCGGCCTCTCACTAGCCTGCCACCTCCACTCCTGCCTTGCCAGCTGCCCTCCCCCAGCAGTCTCTGTGCTTCTGTTAAACCTAAACCGCATCTGGGCCTTCCCGGTTGAAACCCTCCAGTGGTTCTTGGGTAAGGCCAAGCTCTTATCCTGGCACTCAAGGCCCACCATCCCGTGTTGGTCCTCTTCCCATATCCAACCTTTTCTCTTCCAGTCCACCTGTCAGCTTCAGCCACATGAACTGCTAATACTTTCTCAGATGTATCATCCCACAGAGAAGTTTTCCCTGACCAGGGATTCTTTCCCTGCCCCCATTCCATTTCTCTGGACTTGTCCTTAGTCACAGCTCAGGTGTCATTTCCCCTGAGAAGCCTTCCCTGACCCATGCTAGGTTAGGCCTCCAGCCCAGTCATTGTGCAGGGTTCTGTCTCCCCTCCTCCCCTGAGGGACCTCAAGGCTTCTTAAGGGAACATTGAGGCTGCCTCCCAAAGCTTCCCTTCCATTTCATCCCCCTCTGGCTCACTGGTCTCATCCATCCCTGGTCAGGGAGAAGGGTTGGGGGAAGGGTGTGACTCTGGCAAGGCCCAGGGCTCTGTTCCCTTTCATTGATGCCTTCCAGAACTGCTGCCCACTGCCTGCCCGGATCCAGGAAATTGTGGTAGAGACACCAGCCTTGGCTGCTGAGCGTGAGAGGTGAGGGACTGACTAGTGAAGAGGTGAGGACCTTGGGGTTGGGCCACCGGGGGGCACTGATGGCCTCTAGGCCCACAGGAACCAGGAGTCCCCAGAGTCACCAGGACGCCTGCTCTCCATGCTGCGCATCAAGTCTGAGAATGGTGAGCAGGCCTTCCTGCTGATGATGCGGCCTGAGGACACTGTTGGTGATGTGCGCACCCTGCTTGCACAGGCCAGGTGGGCAAGAGGTGGGGCTGGCAGCTATAGGGGGTTCTCTGGCCCCAGGACCCAGCCTGATCCATTCTGCTGGGTCTCCAGGGCTGTGGATGCCACCACCTTCGAGATCTTCAGTACATTCCCACCCACGGTCTACCACGACGACACGGCCACACTGCAGGCAGCAGGCCTGGTGCCCAGTGCAGCGCTGCTGCTTCGGGCGAGCCGGGCCCCACTGCCTGACCCAGGACCCAGCCCCAGCTCCAAATAAAGCGCCCGCTCCCACACAGGCTGCTCTGTGAGGCTCTCTCAACGGGGCAGCCCAGCTGGGCCTGGGAGGGGGCGGTGCCGACCTGCCCCCTTTGTAACTTGAGCCCCAGCTGGCGGGCCTGGCTTCTGGGTCTTTGTCCTCTAGTTTCCTCTTTCTCCCCACATGGGCTAAGCAGATCCAGTGGAGGGAAGGCAGGCTCCAGCTCAGTCTCAGCTGATATAAAAGAGCCTCATGTGCAAGTGTGCCACTAGCAGATCCCTGTGCACACATATGCACAGAACCACAAGCACATGGGGACACTTCCCCAACACTGTGCACAAAGCCACTGTCTTGAAAGGGGTAGAACTGCAGATGTGAACCCACTTCCATGACACACCCACACTTAGCCAGTCAGCTGGAACACAGGCAGGTGGCCACATGGCATGGTTACATTACTGACAAGCATACAGATGTGCTATACTCCCCAAACTGGGCGTGTCCGGACACTATCACATGCATGTGAATCAGGAGGTGACCTACCCACTGTTTCCAGAAACGCAGGTCCTACACAGTTATGCATATGCCAGACATACACCCACATATGTGCACAAACGCACACAGAGGTGCCACACAGGAGGCCGTTCAACCAACCTGCCCACAGCACAGCCTCAGCACAATCCCATCTACCAGCCTTGCTCAGAGCTAGGGCCCAGGTCACATCAGACAGACACAGTGTCAGTGGAATGGGACATTTAATTGTCTCTAGGGTGTTCCCAGGACGGGGAATGCGGGGCCTTTGGCAGAGCCCTGGTTAATGGAACCAACAAAGGTGCCCATCAGCCAGTGCTAGGCAGGGTGGCAGCCTCAGGGCCTGGCTGAGGACAGCCAGCACTTGGGCTGTTGCTTAAGACAATTTCTGAGACTAGTGGGTAAGGAATGTCGCCTTTGAATGGAGGAGAGAGGAGGAGAAGGGGCTTGGGTTGAGGGGAGAGGTTCCAAGGTCAGAAGGCTAGGAACAACAAGGAGTTATAAGGTCCTTCATGGCCGGGCGGTGGCTGGGGGATGTGGTGATGGAGCCCAGTGGGCTCAGGCCAATTTCAGGAACTCCTGCAGTGTGTTTTGTTCCACAGCCTCCACGAAGAGCTCATAGTCCTAGGGGAGGGGAGGGGAGAGACAGTCACCTGTATGCTGGTGTTCTAGCTCAGGTCTCTGACTTCTGGCCCAGGAGAAGTCCTACACTTCCCCGCTCCCAACTCCCAGGGCCCATACCCCACAGTACTGGTCCCCGTTGACAATCTGGGGTGGGGTGGCCTTGGGGTTGCCCGCCAAGGCTCGCATCTCATCCCGCAGGGCGTTGTCCTGGGAGATGTCCACTAGCTGGTACTGGATGCGCTTCCCATCCAGGATGCGGGTCACCTCGCTCTGCTGGGACTTGATCTGGGGGTAGAGGGCGGGCAGGGATTAGTGAGTAGGCTGGAGGATTTATGGGGGGACCCTGGGCAGAAAGAAAGGGGCTGTGGGCAATAGTTTTTGTCCCCCTCCACACCCTGGGATGGGGTTCTGGCCACCAGAGAGTGAGGAGGATGAGTCAGGCTTGCGGTGGTGCCCGATGAAAGCAGGACCACCTTAGGGACGCAATCAGAATGAAAAAGGGAAGTGGGATAAAGTTCTGGGTGGGGAGAAGCAGGAGATCAGCGAGGGGAAAGCAGGGCAGGCTTGTGTGGAGGCTGGTAAGGGGCCACCCCGGCCCAGGAAAAAAGTGGAGGAGAGGAAGGGCACCATCAGGACGTGATCGGGGTGGCACTGAGGTTGCTGAGTGTGAGTGACGGGATGGGCGTGGGCAGCTCGTGTTGGGGCTGCCTAGGATCCAGAGTGCCCCACGGAGGGGTCCGAGCCTCGGAGCCCACCTCGGGACCTGACCCGAGAGGCCGAGCCCCTCGCCGCCCCCCCACCCGCCCTCACCCTGGGGGCGGGTCTCGGGCGCCGGGCCGTAGCAGGGCCACCGCCGCCAGCGCTCTCCCCCAGCTCTCTCCCCGGGCGAGCACTCACCTCGCGGGAGCCGGTGACCGACGTGCTGTAGACGCGCAGGCCACTCATGCTGCGGGTGGGCGAGCGGGCCGACAGGCGGACGGACGGCGGTAGCGGCAGCTGCACGGCCTGGAGACGACGCCGCCGCGCTCGGGAGCGGTTTCCTTCCTGCTCAGCCCGCGAGTCACCGCTCTCGGGACCAATGGGCGGCGCGGGCAGGCGTGCGGCTGGGGAGGAGCCTGCGCGACCCCGCCCCGCGCGCCGCGGTCTCCCTCCCCTCCCCCCTCAGCAGCCGGGCGTGCCGAGGACCCCGGGGTGCCGCGCAACGCCGCCCCTTCGGTCTTTCCCTGATCTAGGGCTCAGAGTGAGGCTGGGGAAGGGGCCCCGATGGCCAGAAAGGCCAGGGAAGGCAGGGGTGAGGGTTTGCCAGGGGCCCTCTCCTCAGCACCCCCAGGTTTGCTGCACCCAGCTACCCACCCCTGGTGCCGCAACAGTGCAGCATAGCTCGGCAGCTCGGAGCTTTGAAGGTTTGGGCTGTTTTGAAACCTACAGTTCCTTGGCTAGGAAACCTCGGTCCAAGGGACCCCTTCCCACAGTCCCTGGGATGACACGGACACATGGCTAACCCCATGGCATACCAAAGCAGGGTCAGCCCCTGCTGGGAGACTTCCCCAAAAGTTCCTCTCCACTCAGGCAGGTTTAGACAAGGTAAGTTGGTGGCCAGAGACAGGGCCACACCCTCAAGGCACCAGATGGAAGCCGAGGTAAGCAGCTACTAGGCTCTAGAAAGGGTGGAGGCAGAGGCTTGCCAGGAGTTCTGAGGACCTGCCCCCCCCCCCCCCCGCCTTGTAAAAGATCCACAGCTAGTCTTAGGTGGCCCTAGCTCAGCCTCAACCCCCGATGGCATTCTACTGCCACTCCTGCTCCCCCCCCAAAAAAATCTACAAGGCTCAGAGAGAGCAAGCTCTAACAACCAGCCCAAATTTGGAGGCTTGGCTGTCTGAGGTTGGACAGGACTCCCCTCACAAGTTCCCCCCAGGTCCAGGTCCAATAGCAGCCCAGGAAGACAAACTCTAGCTCCCTGAGGTAAACGTGCCCTGCCTGGTTGCAGCCACTTCCTCACAGCAACCTTGAAGCAGCCAACTTCCTCTCAGAGGATTACTGAAACGCTTTTCAATGAGACTTGCTCAATGACTCAGGGCAGCCTTACCCAATAGAAAGTGGTGTGGGAAGAGATCTTATTTGTCCCCACAGAGAACAGAGGAGCGGAAGTGATAGAAATACAGACAGGCCGGACCTGCCAAAGGTCCCTCCTTGCTGCCATCTGGGGAACTTGGCTAACCACCCAGGCTTTGGCTCCAACAAGCCAAAATGAAGGGTGGAGTAAGGGATGGTGATGGAAAACTGAGGAATTTGTTAAATATTTTATTTTATAATCAAAATAGGCAATACAAACCAGTTGACATAACAAGGATTCATATAAATAACTGCTTATAAACTTTGAGGAAAAATACCCGTGAGCATGGTGGCTGGGCTCCCAACACAGGGTGGAGACCAACCAGACAGCTCTGCTTTTAGGAGGCAGGAACGAGCCCAGAGGCTGAGAGGATGGCTGGGTGGGGCTGCTCTGAATGGAAGGGATACATCATTCCATAAATAAGACACAAAATTGTAAAAACACTTAAGGAGTCTCATTCAGACCCAAGATTGAGGTTCAAGATGTTTCTCTGACAGCTCAAAGCTTAGCAACAAACTCACAGAGCTGGCCCCTGAATTGCTCACGGTTCCTCTTACCCTTACAAACCCCTGGCTTGGCCTGGTTCCAGATCTAGAGGCGGCCTGTGGCTAGTCCAACCACCAGATACAAACAATTGTGTTGTGAGATGCTCCCTAAATGAGGCAAGAGAAATCAGAAAGCACAGGGTCCAGGGGCCCCAAACAAAACCCAGCAAATACAGAAAGCTATACCTTAAGAGCCAAATTATAGTGGGTACTCTGAACTCTCAAGAAGCCCCAAAGCAAGAAAGGGAAAGGATCCTGTCCCCAAACGAGAGGCACAAATCAGGGCTGGTCACCCACCCTAGCCCCAGAATGAGGTGGGGAACTTGACAGTTACTCTGTGGTATTCTAGGGGAAAATCCTGCCCAAACCCAGAACCATAAAGAGTTTACAAGAGACTACCTGACTGGCCGGAGAACCAAAGAGAGGAGAGCTGTGCTAAACACATGGCCAGGACCCCAAGGGACAGGGGACCCCAAGGGACAGATGCAGCTGGAGAGTAGGGCATCCTGTAAAATGACATGACAGCACAGATGAAGGAGGGCTGGCCATAGTCCTTAGGCCAATTCTAGTGGGTACTTTGCTAATAAACAGATCACCCTGAGGAAGCAGCAGTGAGACCAGGCCTAAGAATACCCAGAAAGTCAGCTCAGATCCCAGGTTGGCTTACTAGCCTGAGCATTCTCATATGGCCGTTGTGACTGGTACTCAGCTTTTCAAGGCCCTTCTACTGAACTCTGGGCATCAGCAGGATCAAGCTATGAAGTGGGAATGAATGTGGATCCATCCTAGAAGATGGAAAAGGGAACTGAGCAGCCTGTTTACCCTTGACATCAGCCTGGGGCTGGGAACACTCTGTGAGGACTTATCAGTCAACCTGCAAAAGTTAATTAATAACTCACCCCCAAAGGGTAAATCAGGATGACAGGACAAATGCAATCCAACAAGGCAAAGCCAGTGTGGGGCAAGGCAGGCACAGTTCCTTAATCAGCCCTTGGCCCCAGATCCAGATTTTTACCCCCTCACCCCTTCTCTCTGGGAATAGCAGCAGACAGGAGGCAAGAGATTGTCAGGGCAGGACCTGCCAGACTGGGCTCTCAGCAGACCATATCTTCCCTGGGGGAACAAAACCTGTGCCATCCCCAGCATTCCTCACTGTGTGACACAGTTTTCTCCCATATCCTGGGCATATCTGTCTGACATGGTGGTCCTTAAGTCCTCGATGTCACGGCGCAGCTGTTGAACCTCTTCTAGTTTCCTCTTGATCACATCCGGCTTCTGCAAATCCAGCTGAGTCCCCGGGTGCTGCGCAGCTGAGTAGGAGAGCATTTCAAGAGAATGTTAGTGAGTCAGTTACGAGATGCTTTCATGTGGACGGGGCAGTGTGGATAAATATTACTTTGAGGCCCATGATCTTAGGAAACGGCACGTTGGGGTTTTTTTGTTTTAAACAATGCAGAGCTTGAACTCATGACCCTGACTGAGATCAAGACCTGAGCCAAAATCAAGAGTCAGATGCTTAACCGAATGAGCTACCCAGGCATCTCAGGACATAGCATGCTTTTAGAAAGGTAGATTGGGGGCGGGGGTTGGCTCAGCAGTTGAGCATCTGCTTTCGGCCCAGGGCATGATCCTGGAATCCCGGGATTGAGTCCCACATCAGGCTTCCTGAATGGAGCCTGCTTCTCCCTCTGCCTATGTCTCTGCCTCTCTGTAAATAATAATAAAAAAAAAAGGTAGATTGGGATAGTGGGCTGAAAACTTGCTGCCTTAGGGCCATTTTCTGTTTGTCCTGTATTCAGGTACCCATAAAGATGCCTGTTTCCAAAAAAAGATTTACCATCTACTTTACAAAACACAGGAACTTCCAGGGAACAGTGACCAAGCCTACAAAGCCTTATTCACATATTACCCTAAGGATGGGAAAGCTGGGTGGGGGTGACAGGAGAATGAAAGCCACTCTCCTGGGTACCGGACTGGCCTAAGGACTCACAGTGAATGCCTAGGAGCAGGGAGAGATTGGGATCATGGCCCTGGGCCCTCTGGGTCACAATGCTACAGACAGCCTGCAGATCTTGAAGGCAACTGGCCAACTCCTGGTGCAGCTCAAATGCCAGCTGGGCTGTGTCTGAAGATGGAGACCCTGGTTGGGCCTGGCGCAGGTGTTCCTGGAGTGTCAGATTCTTCTCAATCAGGTCTTGGTTCTGCACTGAAAGCTGAGTAGATAGATGGGCAAACACATTAACCCAGGCCCAGGGAAGGGCAGAGTATCTTACATGTGTGTGGATATGAGTCACAGGTGATATCCCTCCCCTCCTCACCCCTACCAACAGGCCTAGCACACACCCCCCAAACACTCCCAGTATTGGGCCTAAATTCTCCTGCAGGTGGGTCAGGCCCGTAGCATTGGAGAGGAAACCACTCCCCAACAGACTCTGAGTCATCAGCCTCCAGGTTTCTGTTAAGGAACCAGAGAAGATACTCCTGCCCCTCGGAACTCTATCTGAAGCCAGTCCCTCAGCCAACTCTGTTAACCAGGCTATTAGAGAAGGCTTAACGTGAACTGTGAAATCTGAGGAGACACTGGTTTCAATCTCTTCCTGTCACCCTGACAAAAGTGGCCACCAGCCAGACTGATCAGTGTGTGTCAGAGGAATAGAGGGCAAGAAATACAACAATACAGCTAGCAGCCACTGGGTGGAGGGCAGGAGAAACTAGGAACCTGGAGAACACAGTGTTAGAATGTGTCCTGCCTGCCTTTTCACACCTTCACCTCAGTGGACTCAGGCTTCTCTACAAAAAGTTTTAAAAGAACTGTCACTGAAGAACAGACATTCATGTATGTCTGTTTCCTTCCCTGAACAGCTTAACTCATTCTCCCCTCCCTACCTCTATTCCGTTTTAAAGACACTGAATAGAGTACTTCCTCTAGTCCCAGTCCTTCACCCACAACACTGAGCCATGTACAATCCTAGCTCTGAGAGACTGGTTCCTAGGTCAGTGAACTTGCTCACCCCTTGCTGACAGCTCTGTTTACCCATGAGGACCACCAAGTTCTAGGTCTTCTTGGACCCTTCCTCCCCAACCCCACAAACCTGTGGCTATCAGAAGACAAAGGGACAGAAATGGACTTCTCACATCCAAAAGGTATTCCTGGGTAATTATGGCCACTCTAAGATGGGCTTAGGGTCTTTAATATATAGGATGATGCAATGTCTCTTCTCATTCTTCCACCAAAAAAGCTCAGCAGGGACCTCTCAAACATGAGGGCTCCTGTGGAAGCAGGGATGGGGAGGTTTCTCAGAGAACTCAGGTTTGTGGAGGCTAGAGAGGCCCAGCTGCTCACCTCTTTCACGGCTGTGCGCAGCTGCTGCAGAGCTGTCTCCCTCCGTTGGGCCTCCTCTTTTAGGGCCTGGCTTATTCCTTCTTCTTGAGCCACTTCTTGCTCTAGGCTCTGAATCCCACGGCAAGGAGGGGTAGGATTACACATGTAGAGTAACAAATTTGGTTCAGACCATATCATCTCTGGCCTGCACTAAACAGTAAAGCCCCACCCCACCCCCACACTGCTAAGAGATTACCTTAGAACAGCCCTGATCTGCTACCTCCCTTTGAAACTCTCCTGTAAGTCACTGACCATGAACCAACTAGAGGCCAGCTTTTCAGCAGGGCATTCCAGGCCAGTTTGGCCCTTACCTACTTTTCTAGCCATATTTCTTTTTACCTTCCACACAGCCTCCACTCCAGCCACACATAATGACTGAACAGCCTTCATTCCCAAAGGCTCTAGGTCCAATGCAGTTGCTCACTCTCCTTCCCCTCTGCCCAAGCTACTCTTCTGCTCTGCCTGTCACCTAGGAAACCTTCAAGGCCCACCTGAGCCTTCCTCAATCTGAAAATCAGATCCTATTTTTTTTAAAGATGTATTTATTTATTCATGAGACACGCACACACACACACACACACAGAGAGAGGCAGAGACACAGGCAGAGGGAGAAGAGCAGGCTCCATGCAGGGAGCCTGATGCGGGACTCAATCCCGGGACTTCAGCCTGGGCAGAAGGCAGATGCCCAACTGCCAAGCCACCAGGCTGCCCAATCAGATCCTATTAATTGTACTCTTGCCCTGCTACTTATACCTCTGTCATGGTTCATGAGTACATTTGTTGGCTGTGTACGTAAACCCCCCACTCTGTAACTTTCTTAAGGGTAAGGAATGTCCATTCAGTTGAACTCAGTATTTATTGAGCACTTACTGTGACACAAACTGAGGATACTGAGAATACCAAATACCGGTCTTTGAGAAGCTCATACCCAAAGCCCTTGAGAATACTGTATAGTAGTAAATGCTTCTGACAGAGATAAAAGGTAGGAGGGTGTTCCCACAGGTACCTAATCTACTTAGGAAGGACGGAGCAAGGGAGGGGGAGAGAGAAAGAAAGAGAGACAGATGCGGGGAGGGAGGAAAGAAAGAAGAAAGAGAGAGAAAGAGAGTGTGTGTGTGTATAGGGATGGTCAGGAAGAAGGAGGTATTTACACTTGCTGTTTTGCCTCTTATTCTATTGATTCCAATCCCCTATCCCAAGTTTGAAACTTATTTGAATAAAATATTTAAACATTTTCTGAATTTCCCCATTTTATATTAATAAAAAAAATTTAACTGCCAAAGGAGAACATCTTATCACCATGAAATATCCAAGGCGACCATTTAGAATCTACCTGATTCCAGCAAATTCACCTGATACTTTAATTTGCCTAAGGAGTTTCATCATGGGTAAATGTACCACTTAAATGTTGAGCTTTTTCAACTTTTGCGGAACCTGAGGGTCTCGGGGAGTGTATCTGAGATCTATTAAAAACTGTACTAAGAATCTGGGATTTAAATGGGTATAAACACTCACTAGGCTTGACTATCCTAACAGGACTTGAAATAGGGGAACCAGACAGCATAGCCTGACCCACATGATGGCAAAGGCAGAATGGCAGCTTTGAGCTCTTCTCAGAATGAGTGCCTTTCACTTGTTCTGACGTGAAAATCTCTTTTGGAGCCCAAAGAGAACCTGAGTGAACCTGCTTTGCCTAGGATTTCTTGGAGAACCCATTAAGGACACCCCCCCTACTCTGGCCCAAAATAGACACCAGGAGTCGTCTTTAATTTTTCCTTATTCTTTAACCCCCTACATCTTGTCAATCACCGATTCTTCTCAATTTTACCTCCTAAAATTTACTTAAATCTGTTCCCTCACATCTTGCTATGCTGCCTCATGCCAGGTTCCTTCATCATCTCTCACGAGAATTTCTGCAATACTCCACCAGCCTCCAGCCTCACCCTTCTCGAAGTGCCAATCTTCTTTCCACACTCCAGCCAAAATTGCAAACCTAACTACATAACACCCAAATTAAATTCTATAGTAGATTCCCATGGGGTGCCTGAGTCACTGTCAGTTAAGCATCTGACTCTTGATTTCAGCTCAGGTCATGATCTCAGGGTCCTGGGATTGAGCCCCAAATAGGTCTCCACACTCAGCGAGGAGTCTGCTTCAGCTTCTTTCTCTCCCTCTGCCCCTCCCCTTGCTTGCATGTGCATGCTCTTTCTCTCTCTGAAATATAAGTCTTTATAGTAGATTCCCATCACCTATTGAAAGAATAAAAGCAAACTTAATTGGATGAAGCACTTCCATAGCCCAGTTTCTAGTCACCACCTTATTTTAACAATACCAAATTGCTTGCAGCTCTATGTGGAAACTCTGTTGTTTCATGCCTCCATGTTCCTACCAGTGCTATTCCTTCTATCTGGAATTCCAAAACCAAACTATCCAGCTCTTCTTTGCCTAACTCTTCTTCCTCCTTCCAGGCTCATGACCTCCAGAAACCCTTCCTTAGCCTCCCCTGCCCTGCCTCTGTTCCCCCAAAGTAACATGGATATCGCTCTCACAATACTGTGCTGACACTCCTTCCCAAAAAGACTGTAGGCTAAAAGCACTGATTGGGTCTCATTCTTGCTATACTCCTAACACTAGCAAACTGCATGATACAGAATAAAGAGTTGAATTCCAGAGATTCCATCAAGTCCTGCCCATCATGTCACAAGGACACCAGCTCACCTGTACTTGTAAATGCAGCTGATCCATCTTCTGCTGTTGCTTCTCCACAATCTGAAAGCAAAGTTACCAAGGAAGGCTATAAAAACAGGCTGGCAGTGAGGTCAGAGGGCAAGTAACTACAGGAGGATCTGTGGTCTGGCTATTAGCCCCATTGGTTATAGCCAATCAGTAGTGAAACCAGAGTGAAGACAATTTAGCTCTACTTACATAAATATAAACCAGACTCCCTATCCTAGTTAAATAGCTTCACAATTCTGTGCTTTACTCACAAAGAGGTTTAAAGAGGAATGCAGTGTGGATCTATGACCACTACTTGGGGGAAGAGGGGAACCCATCCTGATAAGTGTGGGCCAGTGGAATAAACTTTATATATAACCAGTGTACATTCTGGTTCTTGTAAAGGGCATAACTAAAAATTCAGTTTAATGCAGTCTGCCCTATCCAGGGCTGTGATGGATGCTATTATTTATAGTTTTGGTCACACTGACGGTCTAGGGAAAGAACCTGAACAGGCCCAGTTTCTTGTCCTTTGAGACCTCAGATATTCTCTGAACCATTTCCAGGTCTTCTTTTTTGCTAATCTGTCATTAATCTCACCAACAGGGTTGGAGACTCTCTTCTCTGCTGAAATACGCCACCTCACTGCTCAGATCTCTGCCCAATGCAAGAGGTACTGTATGGGGCCTAAGCCATGAATGAAGGGCACCAAGCTTCAGTGTACCATTTTGGAGTATCTAGTATTCTAGTTGTTCAGAAGCATATCCTCCCCTAACTCTGCTTGTCTGTCATAAAGATAAATATCTAAAATGCAAACTTTATATAATGCAGGAGTGGCTTCTCAGAAAAGGGAGGAAAGCTCTGGGTAACACATCTTAGGTGGCCTAGGGCCAGAAATTCATGGTTCCTTCCCAGTACAGAATCTTCTCTTTCCTCTCAGCCTGCCCTCTATTACAGCCTGGATACTCTCAGTCACCTTTTGGAGTGAATCACATTCTTTCTGCCAGGACTCCATTTCCGCTTTTGGACCTTCTCCCTGTTGGGCTGGACCTTCTCCACTGGCCTCCTCCACACACTGCTTATCTTGTAGGCTGAAAAACAGTGGCCTCTTCAAGAATTTTGAAGTCAGACAGATGTGGCTTTGACTCCTTTTTCTATTATTTACTGTATATTTTGGGGCAAGACACACTCAGGCCGTTCCAAGCCACAGCTGGGGATAATGTTAGGTCTGTTGTAACAGAGGGTGTGCCACACACAAGCTGCCTAGTGTATGTTAGTTCCCTTCCCTAGAGGCCAGCATCTATCTAATGTGCCACCAATTTTCCACCTGCCCAAAGCTCTTTTATATTTGTTTTGATATTCAAAAATAAATATTCACCTCATGTACTTAGATTATAAAAGTCATACATGTATACTGCAGAAATTCTGGGAAATAAAAAAAAAAAATCTTTTTTCTTGGCACACATAGTCTGGAGTAGAGTCAACTTTGACCCAACCTCTCTTCTGACTCCAACCAATGGTCTCCTCCCATGGATCCCCACAATCACTTTCATCATGGTTCATCTGCTGAGATAAACAACAGGGTCACTGTGGTTGGATATGGGATGAGAAATCCAATCCAACCCATTAGAAACTGGATTTGGTTCAAGAGGCTGCTGAAACAGCCATCACATTTTCAAAACTGCAATTAATATGGAAGAGGCTCTCAAGACACCCTGAGAGTACATTATGGCATCTTGTTTTGTTCTTAGATCCTGTTGTGACAATCGAGAACAATCCCTAGGGCTGAAGAGAAACAGATGTTCCTGGTAGCCTTTAGCTTACAAGGTTCAAAATGTAGATAATCTCTTTCCTCTCCATCCTTAACACCAGGATCTGCTTTTGCAAATATACAGATAACTAATTTCCCAGTTTATAAAGTGGTTCCCTTCACCTAACACCTACATACTCAGGGATTATTATCCAGTATTATTATGCTAGGCACTGGGCTGCACCTTCCGAAGGTTACAATAACAAGCCCCCACTACACCACTATATCCTTCACTCTCCATCTCAAAGACCTCTTCCTTTATTGCTAAAATACACTAATCATCATCTGAGCTTTCAGTAAGTCTTAATCACTGATCACAGATCACTCTAACAGACATAATAATAATGAAAAGAAAGGAAAGTGATTTGCCCAAAGTCACACAGGTAGTGAGGGGAGTAGACTTAGCTCTCCACTCCTTTCCTCAACCACACTGGGGTATTTACCTATGTCTAGCGGAGAATTCTGTTCCTTTCTGTCTCAGGCTTTCCAATTGAACCTCCTTCTCTCTGCAGGCTGCCTGGGTCTCCTCCAGCAAACTCTCCAGCTCGGTCACTCTCTCCTGCAGCTCTGTACTCTTCAACTCAGAATCCCTAAGCTGAGAGACAGGATCCCACACTTAGGTCAAGGAAGAATATCCGGGTCTCAAAACCTTTGCAGTCACGGTGCAAATTTGACAGATAGGAGTCTGGATATTACTCCTTTGGGATTTTCCTTTCAGGAACCACAGGATAACTGCATACAGCAGAGGCTGAGAAAGTGCCCCTGCTTGCCCACTCCCTGTTTGCCCCACATACACCCAGAAATTGCTGCTACCTGTTGGCTCTGCTTCTGATGGTCTTCCAGGGTGGGCAGGTCAGCCAGGTAGCGCTCCAAGGTCTCAATACGCTGCTGCTTCTCCCGGTTCTGCTCTGATTCTTTCTGACATTTCTTTTTCAAATTATTGATATGTTTATCACGACCCTTTACCTGGGAAAGAAGTGTCAAGAATCTGTCTCCATGGACTCCTCTAGGACCCAAACATATTTTTTTCAGAAGTGACCACTGTCTCTGCCCCTAGGGCTGTAAATGTTGTTTTACTGCAATGAAGGCAGGGAGCTGATCAAATTTTGCCATTTAAGATTAAGGCATAAACTGCAGAGTAAACACATCTGAATTTTCCAATCAAGGGTAGGGAAGAAGGGCTCCTGGGGCAGTTTTTAAAAACTGGTAGCAGTTCTATATACAGGCGTACCTGGGTGACACTGCAGGTTTGGTTCCAGACCACTACAATAAAGCGAATATCACAATAAAGCAAGTCAAATGAATTTTTTGGTTTCCAGTGCATGTAAAAGTCATGTTTACACAATATTGTAGTCTATAAAGTGTACAATAGTATTATATCTAAAAAAAATGTACATGGCTTAATTTAAAAATATTTGCTGTGATGCCTGGCTGGCAGTTGGTTAAGTGTCCAATTCTTGGCTTCAGCTCAGGTCATGATCTCAGGGTCATGAGACTGAGCTCTGCATTGGGCTCCATGCTCAACATGGAGTCTGCTTAGATCCTCTCTCCCTATCTGCTCCTCTCCCCAACATTTTCTCTCTCTAAAATAAACAAATCTGAAAAAAAAAAAAAAAAAACCTTTATTGCTAAAATATACTAATTATCATCTGAGCTTTCAGTAAGTCTTAATCACTGATCACAGCACTGTAACAGACATAATAATGAAAAAGTTTGAAATATTTCAAGAATTACCAAAATATGACAGAGAAATGAAGTGAGCAAATGCTGTTGGAAAAATGGCACCAACAGACTTGTTTGAGGCAGTTGCTACAAACCTTCTATCTGTAAAAAATGCAGTATTTGGGAAACACAATAAAGTGAAGCACAATAAAACAAGGTATGCCATGGGGCACCTGGGTGACTCAGTGGTTGAGCATCTGCCTTTGGCTCAGGTCGTGATCCCAGGGTCCTGGGATTGAGTCCTGTCCTGTACTGGCCTCCCCACAGGGAGCCTGCTTCTCCCTCTGACTATGTCTCTGCCTCTGTGTCTCTCATGAATGAATAAATAAATATTTAAAAACAAACAAACAAAAATCCAACAAGGTATGCCTGTAATAAAAAATTTGTCTGATTTTTGTCTTGGGCTTCCAGGAGAAAATTTCTAAACTCTTAGAATTTCCCAAATAATGGAAGCATCTTTGTTATTCATAGTGGTCTGATCTGTCCTGGTGAGATAGGTAATGCATTCTTCCTTAAACACCACTCATGATTTAAAGCTAAGCAACCGGGCAGCCCTGGTGGCGCAGCAGTTTAGAGCCGCCTACAGCCCAGGGTGTGATCCTGGAGACCTGGGATCGAGCTCGTCGGGCTCCCTGCATGGAGACTGCTTCTCCCTCTGCCTGTCTCTGCCTCTCTCTCTCTGAATGAATGAATAAACAAACAAATAAAATAAAGCTAAGCAACCAAGTGGAAGGGTTAATGATACTCTCAACTTTTTGAGAGGAGCTGTATCCATTTTGCTCATTATCATAGTTACAATACATAGCACAATGCTTGGCATAGAGTGGGCACCAACCAAAATCTGCCGAAATAGAGATCTTTTCTTCATTATTACGGTTTTTTTTCCTTTGGCTTGTGAAAAAAGGATGCTGAAGAAGCAAAAGAAAGCAGAGAAAAAGGCAAATCTACTGATGTCAAAAGGAAACACTAATTTAAAAAGGAAACCTAACCTAATTTAATCCGAAGATAAGAAAGTACCAAGAGTGGATACCTGAAAAATCAACCAAAGGCTTTACCCCAGGTATAATCTGTACCCTTCAAAGCTCTAAACCAATGATTCTCACATTTTAATATGCATCAGACTCAACTGGGAAGCTTACTGAAAATGCTGATATCCTTGAGTCTGGAATCTCCCTCATCTGATTTTTCCAGAGAATAAATCTCCAGGCTCCTGTTGGGGAAATCTTTGAATAAATGGTGAATTACCCACAGACATTTATCTCTTCTACTTTTCAAAACATTTCTAAAATGACAGGAAGGAAATAAAGTATTAATTTTTAAAAGTTAATAAAGGAGGAAACAAAAGTGTATGAGAGATTTCAATGTGTTTATAGAAGATCAAACTAGACAGGAGATAAATTACTTAGAGGAAGAGTTATAACCTGCAGTGGGAGTTACAGACTACATGGAAAACAATGTGCCCTTCACACCTCTGTACTCAAAGCTCCAAGTATGTCTGAGCCAGGCATCAGCCATAGATCTGAAAACAGGGTACTCACTGGAGGTCTACATACAGGTTAGCTGGATACCATTTTCATCCTAGGTTTCCCCAACCGGAGACTGGAGATTTATTTGCTGGAGAAATCAGATAGGGGAGATTCTGGACTCAGGTATATAAGTCATAGCAGAGAGAACGTGAGTGGGTTGAAAGTAAGTATAAGTAAAAATGTATGTACAGAACTGTGGCACTCCAAACCTAACCTCTTTCTCAATATTGAGATCCTAAAGGCCAAAAAAGCATTCCTGGCCTTAGCCTCCCAACTAGGCAGCAGACTGAAGATTCTTTTCTGGAAGAGAAAAGATAAGACAGACATTCAAATACTAATATTTGAGGGTTCCTAGGTGAGAAGGAAGTCTAAATCTGATTATCCTATAATGTAGTCCACCAGACAATTATCATGAACCTAGAGCTTCTATCCAGCTTTTAAATATTTCATTCTTTTGTTTTTAAAGATTTTGTTTGTTTGTTTATTTATTTATGATAGACATAGAGAGAGAGAGGCAGAGACACAGGAGGAGGAAGAAGCAGGCTCCATGCCAAGAGCCTGATGTGGGACTCGATCCCGGGACTCTAGGATCGTGCCCTGGATCAAAGGCAGGCGCTAAACCGCTGAGCCACCCAGGGATCCCCTAAATATTTCATTCTTAAACATGAGTGCCCATTCATTCAAGGATCACCAAGCCTCTGACATGAAATACACAAGAACAAAAGGTTCTGAAAAAAAAAAAAAGAAATAATACTATAAGCAGATGTAGATATCCCAAAAGATACAATCAATATCATCAGAGAAAGAAGATATTGCACCCATGAAACAAAAACAGCAAAAACCTCAAGACTACTACTCAGAAATACAAAGGTAGGTCAAGAGAAAAAGAGTTAAGGATGGAAATCTTTGTGGAAAGGGGTTGGGTACAGAGCTACTAATTTTATTATAAATATACTGGTATTTGATGATTTAACTTAGATATATGTACTTTTGACTAAAAGTTTTTTTTTTTTTTTTAAGATTTATTTATTCATGAGAGACACAGACAGAGGGAGAAGCAGGCTACCTGCATGGAGCCTGCCTGATATGGGGCTCAATTCAGGACTCCAGAATCACTACCTGAGCCACCTAGGAGCCCTAAATTTTTTTTTTTTTAAGATTTTATTTATTTATTCGTGAGAGACACAGATAGAGACAGAGAGAGAGGCAGAGGGAGAGGCAGAGGCAGAGACACAGGCAGAGGGAGAAGCAGGTTCCATGCAGGGAGCCTGACGTGGGACTTGATCCCGGGTCTCCAAGATCATGCCCTGGGCTGAAGGTGGCACTAAACCGCTGAGTCACCTGGGCTGCCCTAAAAGTTTCATTTTTAACAAGCTTCTAAGTCCTTGTTATACTAGCGACATCAACATCACGTGTGTTAAAAATGCAGGATCTCAGGCACATCTCACCCCAGAAGTACTAAATCTGGATCTACATCTAAAAAAAAAAAAAAAAAAAGATTTTATTTTTAAGTACTTTCTACATACAACATGGGGGTCAAACAACTCCGAGATCAAGAACCACACACTCTACTGACTAAGCCAGTTAGGATCCCCTGGATCTGCATTCTAAACAAGATGACCCAGTGATTCTTAAGCACATTAAAGTTTAAGAAGCACTGCTCTGGTTGATCTTGATGCAAGTGGTCCAGAACTAAACATTACTACACTGATCCCCCAAGATCATCTGCATTAGAGCAAGGTGTGAACAGAAAGAAAAGATTTTGAATCAGCTCCTTCTATGATGACCAATCTTACCCTAAGGCAATTCTAAGAGTACTAGCAAAAATGTACAAATTTCCAAACTGGGTGCACACATGGAATTCTTTTCTACTTTTTAGGTAGGATAAGGAAAATCCAGGCTGAATGATGTAAATTTACCACAGATGTTTAAACATCTTGCAACAGTACCATCCGGTATGACTGCTCAAGCTGGTTTTCAACCCAAGTCAGTTGGAGGCATATCACAACCTGGGGCAGTGAGGGACTTTCTCTGTCTGTGGCACTTTTGTGGAGATGAAGTGAAAAGGAAGGGTGCCATTTCTAGCAGCCCAGTCCTGCATGAAAAGTCAATGTAGGATCTCACCCAATTGGCTCCTCCTAGTTCCAAGAATGGGGGCCAGAAACAACTTAGGGTTTGGCAGGAAAAGGCTGACTGCCAACTCCTTTGTGAGTTAGAAAGCTACCAACTCCTTAGCTCACCCTTTCTTCCTGTTTCTTCCCCTCCTCTGAGTGCTTCTGCAACGCCACTTTGAGTGATTCTCTGATGAGCTGGATTTCGACTTCTGAAGCAGAGAGTTTCTTTTCAAGCTCGATCTTTTCTTTGCTCAGGGCTTCTGTCTTCTGTGCAAACTGTGCACGTAAGAAAGTGTTCTCTCGCTGCAATTCCTGCATAAAGATTCTCGATACATAAATGTGCCTCACCCTTACAGCCCCATATACTTTACTTATTCTCTGTATACTTTATGGTCAAATATCAGCTTTCTCTAAGAATTTCTTCAAGCAGTGCTTTTCACAGTGGGGTCCTAGGACTAACATCTTCTGTATCACCTGGGGATTTGTCAGAAATAAAAATTCTTTTTTTTTAAAGATTTTATTTATTTATTCATAGAGATACACACAGAGAGGCAGAGACACAGGCAGAGGGAGAAGCAGGCTCCATGCAGAGAGCCTGATGTGGGACTCGATCCAGGGTCTCCAGGATCACGCCCTGGGCTGCAGGCGGTGCTAAACCGCTCTGCCACCGGGGCTGCCCAGAAATAAAAATTCTTGAGCCAACTTCTAGGTCCCTGAATCAGAAACTCTGGGGATGGAGCTCAATAATCTGTGTTTTAACAAACCCTCCAGGTGATTCCAATGCACACTCAAATTTTCTCCTCTACTCATTCTCTATATGATCTTAGGCAAAAGTTCTTCCTCTTTCTTGGGCCCCAATCTTTTCATTAATATATTAGAGGACTGAGCTAGATTTTATGTAAGGACCCTTCTCACTCTAACATTCTAATTCTGTAAGATAGAACACTATTTTAACAGGCCCACTAGGTGGCAAAGTCAGTACTATAATCTAATACCCATCACTCAAAAGCCCATTTTGCAGAAGTTAACAAAGCAGGCTTTTTTTTAAGGAGCCATTACCCTAAGGGAAAACATGGCTTCCTTTAGTTGCTCCTAGACATGAAAAAATAAAAATGAGAATGGCTCTAAATCCCATTACTGGGGCAACCTGGGTGGCTCAGCGGTTTAGCGCCATCTTCAGCCCAAGGCGTGATCCTGGGGCCCCAGGATCAAGCTCCACATCGGGCTCCCTGCATGGAGCCTGCTTCTCCCTCTGCCTGTGTCTCTACCCCTCTCTGTCTCTCTCATGAATAAATAAATAAAATCTTAAAAAAAAAAAAAATCCCATTACCTCTGCTTCTCCCTCCATTTGGCTAAGGCTCGTATTATTATTTATCAGAACATTTCCCAACTCTAGAACCTTACTACGTACCTGCCCTGCCTTCGTTTTTTCCCAGTATGTCCTGACACCAAGGCATACCTGATTCTACCCTCGAGCCTTTTCTGCCTCCAGAAAGGCGGAACAAGGGATGCTTTATAATTAGGATGCCTACACTTTGAAGGCAAGGATACCTTATATCACTTGATCCCTTTTCTATGTCTTGGATACCTACTAGTACTAAGCAAGGGAAGACACAGAGTTATGATAACCAGAATGCCATTCTGGCTGCCAATGCTTACCTGCAGCCTCAGCAAGCAGACATCCCCAAAGGGGGCAGGGCGGCCCAAAAGGGCACTGTGGACTTGCAGTTCACTTTCTCGTACTTTCTGCTCCAGCTGAGAGATGTGCTTTCTCTGCCTGCAAAAGCCAGTAGAATGAGGTCCAGGGTCCTGACACTAACCCACTTGCAACATGAACCCCCACCTTCCTTAGGTGGGTACAATTCATACTATGTAAAGCAAGGCCTTTTGTCTGGGCAGTACTGTTCTGCTAAAGGAGGAAGAGCAAATAAGAAAGCTGACTTGGGGGAAATGAGGAAAGATCAATTACAAAGAACTGGCTGCTTGCTTTAGGGACTCCCAGAGCCCCTGCAGAGGATACACAATTGGCCTATCACATTAGTCAGATACAGGAATAGGTTGCTTATCAACCTAGCTCTACCATGAGGCAAGGCGTGGACCCAAACAGAGAGGGATACGCTATCCTTTGGGAGACCTCATTAGGTGCCCTCAGTGGGGGCTGGGAGAGCAAAGGCTGATCCTAGGGCACCCCTTGACCTCTTACTTGTCAATGAGGAGCTCCTTTTCCTTCAAAAGGTGTTCATTACTGTTTAAGATGCTGATCCACTGTGCTGGTTCTAATGTGGGCAGTGATGGAGCAAAAGCAGCAGGATGGTGGCAGATGGCTCCATTCTGAAGCTGGAAGACAAGAAAGCCCAGAGTGGCTTGATCTTAACTACAGACACCTGAAAACACCTGAGCGGTATCCACTTGGGTCTCTAGTCAAGGCTCACTTTGGCTCAGCCTGAAGAGGCCCAGTGTTTATGAATAATTTTAGCTCTGATGCATGACTGGAAAGAACCTGCCAGGGAGACTTCTGCCAAATGGACACTCCCTGCTTATAAAGGCTCCAGTTTCTAAGAAAAGGTCACTTATCTTGCATTATCTGGCAAGAGAGACAAACCAGGAGCTAAGATGTCCTCACCAACCAGGAAAGGAGACTATGTCCTGCTTCTTTCCTTCCCTTTCTTAAGCAGCACAAGGCCTTTTTTTTTTTTTAAGACAAAATTGGCATATGGAAGAAATATAGGGGTGGTTTTAAACCCTAGTTCTGCTGCTTACCAGCTTTGTAACCCTAGACAGATTATTTATTCTAAGAAACTGGTAAACTAGGACACCTGGGTGGCTCTGCTCAGCGGTTGAGCGTCTGCCTTTGACACAGGGCATGATCCCAGGGTCCTGGGATCGAGCCCCACATCAGGATCCCTGCAGGGAGCCTACTTCTCCCTCTGTCTGTGTCTCTGCCTCTGTCTCTCATGAATAAAATCTTTAAAAAGAAAAAAAAAGAAAGAAACTGGTAAATTTCTGTATTTACCTCATCAAAGGTAAAGGATTAAATAAGATGCTGTAAGCAAAAGTACGTAGCCTAGTGACTAGTATATATGCACACAGTGTTAATGACACACCTTTTGGGGTCTTCCGTTGTAACCCTCTACTCTGGAGGATCTACCTAGTATTGAATTAGACCACCAACATATTCAATGGCATTCACAAGCCTTCATTTCCCTTTTATTTATTTTTTATTTATTTATTCATGAGAGACACAGAGAGAGAAAATGAGAGAGAGAGGCAGAGGGAGAAGCAGGCTCCATGCAGGGAGCCCGACGTGGGACTTGATCCTGCGTCTCCAGGATCACGCCCCAGGCTGAAGGCAGCGCCAAACCGCTGAGCCACCCGGGTTGCCCTCATTTCCCTTTAAGAAACATCTTCCATCTTTCTTTTTTAAATTTTTTAAAATCTATTTATTCATGTGAGACAAAGAGAGAAAGAGAGGCAGAGACACAGGCAGAGGGAGAAGCAGACTACATGCAGGGAGCCCGATGCGGGACTCGAACCTAGGATCCCAGGATCAGGCCCTGGGCTGAAGGCGGCACTAAATCACCGAGCCACTCGGGCTGCCCCATCTTCCATCTTTCTTACAAAAAAATTTTTGAGGGATCCCTGGGTGGTGCAGCGGTTTAGTGCCTGCCTTTGGCCTGGGGCGTGATCCTGGAGACCCAGGATCAAACCCCACGTCAGGCTCCCGGTGCATGGAGCCTGCTTCTCCCTCTGCCTATGTCTCTGCCTCTCTCTTTCTCTGTGTGTGTGACTATCATAAATAAATAAAAATTAAAAAAAAAAAAAGAAAACGTTTAAAAAAAATTTTTTGAGTCAAAATTTATAGGACAAAATCTATATAGTTCTTTTTTTTTTAAGTCAGTGTATGTAAAAATCTATAGTTCTAAGATCTGCAAAGAACCCACAAAAATCCAAAGAAAGAAGGGCCTCTACCTGCATTTGTTCCATCTGTAAACGGATCAACTCCAGCTGCTGCCGACAAGTGCTGAGCTCACAAGATCGCTCACGGGGGTGCCAAGGGTCAGGGTTCGGCTGCCATACCTGAGAGGGTAGAGGCTTAGAGAAGCCAGGAGCAGGCTGGAGTCCCAAAGGGAGCACTCCACTGCTATTAGGGTGAGGTCCATTCCGCTCACATACCACCCCACTGCCCGGTGCCTTCTTGGTCTCAGGCAACACTTTGTATAACTCCTTGTTTGTGTCAGTTCTTGGGTTATGAAAGTGGACTTGGTAGTGGGGATCTGAATATAGTGTCTCCATCATTGCCGACTGATTAAGGGTAGATTCCATACCAGGAATATCAAACTTCCTCATTTCTTCTTCTCTTTCATGGCCCACTGCTGGAAACCAGGACTGCTCAATTCCATTTTCTCCAGTAGCACCACAAAGGTATGTGAAATCTCTAGACAGGCCTGGAGAACGTTTCATTGCACCAAGGTCTCCATTTCTTGTCATCCCCACATTTTCAGCCAGCCCTGACAAAGGGAGTTTGGAGGAAGAGAGTCCAGCAGGTAGAGAATTTGGCTTGGCAGGAGAGGTCCCCAAAGTAGAAGGTATCACGTGGGCTGTTGGAATGGTTATGTGGCTTTTGATGGGCTGGAAAGAAGGGCTGCTACTCGAGCTACAAAAATCTGCAAAGAAAATAGTCTTCTGTAAGTCAAAACTAAAGCAGCAAGCTTTGAGTCTGGCTGCTATGCCCAGTGTTCTCTGCCTGTCCTGAGACCAGGCAGGATATAGACACTATCATCACAAGTACCAGGCAGAAAGACAGGCAGCCTACCTGAGAAGTGTGTATTCTAGAATCTCAAATGCCATTCACAAGGTAAACCAACAAAAGGCAACATCAGCTTTACTTTCAACTTAAACTCTGTCCTTTTTATTTGAATAAAAAATCTTACCAGTCAAAAACAAAGCTGAAAAATGAAAAAAAAAAAAAACAAAAAACACTTACTTAAGGGAAATGAATTAGGTCGTATTCTTCTGGGAGCTGGTCAACTCTCAAGCCATAATCCAATCCAATAAAAATATCCTTTCCAAGGGCTGCCAAAATCCTCTGTGGCCTCCAAAAGCTTCCCAGTGAAGGTAAGCAATGAATCTAAACTATCCAAAGAATAGGCAAAGTGGACAGTGCTGCTCTGTATCCAGGGCAGGGAGTATAGCATCTGAATCAGGATTCTATTCTCTCTCCCACACACCAGACCTGACTGCCTGGATATGTGAAGTTATTCTTAGTAACTCTCAGGTTTCACTCTAGCACAGTGAGCACTCTCAAGTGGGTACATACTGAAATCCTCTATTTTGTATTTTGCCTTTCACTTCCCCCTTGTTTATATCCAATTATAACTTTTTCATTTTTCCTTCACACTGAATTTATGCTTCTTTTAACTCTTGCCTAGTTTTGGGAGACAACTCTCTGATTAGACCAGCTGCAGAAGGTATACATTTCTACATTATTTCCAACTTTTAAGCTCTACTCTGAAGACCATAAGTTCACAGAATTAATGTCCCAAGGCAGTGGGCTTCAAGCAAATAAGAAGACTGGAATGTTAGGAAACATACATATTACCTTCAGCAGGGAGAAATTTGATTAAGGGGACAAGGAATATAAATGTCTTCCTTTTTCAACTATGTCTAGTACTCTTTTCCAAACCAAACATCTATCATGGAGAAGAGTAGACTACCAATTTAATTCATTTCTCTTTTTTCTTTCCATCAACCAGCACAGAACACACTCAGCTAATGAGGACAGATATTACAACCTTTCCCAGAATTACTACGGATCAACTACCATCTTCTCATATGGGTTTGTAAGCAGCTCTTTAAAAACATGGACATGGGGGGACGCCTGGGTGGCTCAGCGGCTGAGTGCTGCCTTCGGCCCAGGGTATGATCCCAGGGTCCTGGGATCAAGTCCCATATTGGGCTCCCCGTGTGGAGCCTGCTTCTCTCTCTGCCTCTCTGTCTATCATGAATAAATATAATCTTAAAAAAACAAAACAAAACAAAACATGGACATGGGGCACATGGGTGGCTCAGCTGAGTGTCCAACTTTTGATTTTGGCTCATGTTGTAAGACTGATAACCCCAAGCCAGACTCCATGCTCATGCTTGAGATTCTCTCCTTCTCTCTCTGCCCCTTAAGCCGCTCATACTCGTCTCTAAAATAAATACATTTTTAAAATATTAAAAACAAACAAACAAAAAGGCGGTGCCTGGGTGGCTCAGTCAGTTAAGTGTCCAACTTTTGGCTTAGGCTCAGGTCATGATCCTGTGGCTGTGGGATCAAGCCCTACATCAGGCTCTTCGCTCAGCATGGAGTCTGCTTCAGATTCTCTCTCCTTGTCCCTCTCATGCTCTCTTTCTCTCAAATATATAAATAAACCTTTAAAAAATACATAAAAACAAACAAACAAAAACCCCCAAACCATGGACATGCCCAATTATCCCTTATAATGTATAGGATAATACAAAGTATCTAATTTTCTATACTTAGGTGATCTTGGGGATACATATAAAAGGCCATACTAAAACAATAGTAATTTCTGATAAATGTGTCTGCCTTTATACATTTATAATAAGGAAATTAGCAATTGTGATAAATTACTATAAAATAAGTTACGACGTAAGTCTGGTTTGTATTTTGAAACATTTTTTTTTTTTTTTGACAAAGAGAGAGAAAACACAAGCACGGAGAGGGGCAGAGGGAGAAACAGACTCCCTGCTGAGCAGGGAGCCCAAAGCAGGGCTTGATTCCAGGATCCTGAGATCATGACCCAACCCATGGAGGCACCCAGGTGCCCCCTGTATTTTGAAACATCTTAAAACAAAATAGCAACACTTATTTTCAAAAAGGCCACTTACTTTTTACAATTTTCAAAGGCTTTCAAAATGGGATATGTGATTTTTAGAAAAGTCTGCAGTTCTCAGAATCACTGGGTTTCTGCCACTTTAAGGATATTCATATTTCTAAATCTCTCTTCTCTTCAATCATACCCTCTGCCTCAACACCCAATTCTTTTTAACAACCCTGCTTTCTCGTTGAGGGGTGGATTTAACTATTTTGCTCTTGCTAAATCTTACTGGTTTCTGAAGTAAAGTAGTCTGAACTAAGCCAGTAATTATTTCAGTCTGTAGCAAAGAGCCGAAAGCCTTCTGGGTTCTTCAGTATCTACTTCTACCCCACCCCTTGAGAATCTTCAAGGTAAAACTTTTTTTTTTAAGGATTTTATTTATTTATTCATGAGAGACACACAGAGGGAGGCAGAAACATAGGCAGAGGGAGAAGCAGGCTTCTCACAGGGAACTTGATGTGGGATCAATCCCCAGACCCCAGGATCATGCCCTGAGCTGAAGGCACACGCTCAACCACTGGGCCACCCAGGCATCCCAAGGTAAAACATTCTAATGAATAGTGGAATCAAACGACCTGTCCAGTTTAAAGATGAAACGATGACTATATTTTATACCAGTCATAAGGGTCCTTGTCAACAGGGCTCTAAATAAAACCAAGCTAGATTCATGAACAAAATGAGCAAGGATTAAAAAAAAAAAAAAAAAAAAAAAAAAAAAAACCGAGCAAAGATTAAGATAAAAGCCATTGTACATAACAAACACAGCAGAGAAGACACCTTGGATCTTTTATTTATTTTTTAAAAGATTTATTTATTTAGTGTGTGTGTGTAAGCAGGAGGGGCAGAGGAAGGAGAGAATCTCAAGTAGACTCCTCAATGAGTGCGGAGGACAATGAAGAAATCAATCTCACAATCTCACATGATCTCAGCCTGAGATCATGATCTTGGCTACAATCTAGAGTTGGGGGCAGCCCAGGTGGCTCAGGGTTTAGTGCCACCTTTGGCCCAGGGCGTGATATTGGAGACCCAGGACTGAGTCCCACTTCAGGCTTCCTGCATTGAGCCTGCTTCTCCCTCTGCCTGTGGCTCCCTGCATGGAGCCTGCTTCTCCCTCAGCTGGTGTCTCTGCCTCTCTCTCTCTCTCTGTGTTTCTTGTAAATAAAATAAAAAAAATTTAAATAAACATAAAAAATAAATTCTTAAAAAAAAAAAAGAGTTGGATGCTTAAATGACTGAGCTACCCAGGTATCCCACCATGGATCCTTTAAAAAAAACAAAAAACAACTTCTAGACCAATGGCTTTGGCCACTACATCAAGGCTACTACAATTTAAAGAGAATACACTACACAGGAAATAGATTTCCCCCCAAAGGAATAAAAAGCGCACAGTCTATGTAACAATGTGAGTGAATTAAATACTGCCAGTCAATTCAATAGAGGGAAAATCTAGACCATTGTTTGATTTTTAAGAGATCTATTATTTAGTCAAAGTGAAAAAGGTCCCATGATTGCACATGTAGACAAATCTTAACAAACAACTAAATTGACAATAACACTTGATTATACAAGTGATAGAAAGAATACTACAGCTGGACGACCTGAATCTGACTAGTTGTGCAACATTAGACAAATTATTTAACCCCTCTGGGAATTTTTGTTCCTCACCAGCAAAAAGGAACTGGATTAAATGACTTTCGAAGTCCTGCCTAAAACATAATCTATAATTCAGTACTGCTCAACTGCTGAGCACCATGCCCATATACATACAGCTATCAAACTATTAAAATTAAATGTCATGTGTCTAGGAGTCAATATTAGTAAATATCTGTTTGATATTTTTTTTCTTTTCATTTCTATTTTCAAACATTTCTAGCCTTTTCTTTTTTTTAAAGATTTTATTTATTTGAGAGAGAGAGTATGAGTAGAGGGACTCCCCACTAAGCAGAGAGCCTGATGTGGGGCTCAATCCCAAGACCCTGAGGCCATGACCTGAGCAGAAGGCAGATGCTTAACCAACTGAGCCACCCAGGTGCCCCCATTTTTGCCCTTTTCTTAAAAAAAACAGCTTTACTGTGGACTATAATTCACATACCATTAAATTCACCCACTTGAAGTTGTACAATTCAATGGTTTTTAGTATACTCAGTATTGTGTAACCATCACTACAATCAATTATAGAATATTTAAAAAAAAATTATAGAATATTTTATCACCCCCCCCAAAAAAAACCTTTTACCCTTTAACAGTCACATTCCATTTACCTTAACTTTCCTAGCCTTGAACAACCACTAATTTATTTTCTGTCTCTCTAGATTTGTCTATTTGGATATTTAATATAAATGGAAACAGAAAGGGGCACCTAGGTGGCTCAGCTGGTTAACCGTCTCCCTTCGGTTCGGGTCATGATCCCAGGGTCCTAGGATCGAGCCTCGCATCAAGCTCCATGTTCCTTGAGGAGCCCGCTTCTCCCCCTCCTTCTGCCTGCCATTCCCCCTGCTTGTGTTTTCTCTTTCCCTGTCAAATAAATACAATCTTTAAAAATAAATAAATAGGGGATCCCTGGGTGGCGCAGCGGTTTAGCGCCTGCCTTTGGCCCAGGGCGCGATCCTGGAGACCCGGGATCGAGTCCCACGTCGGGCTCCCGGTGCATGGAGCCTGCTTCTCCCTCTGCCTGTGTCTCTGTCTCTCTCTCTCTCTCTATCATAAACAAATAAAAATTAAAAAAAAAAAAAAAGTTCATCCATTTCATAACATGTATTAGTACTTCATTTCTTATTGTGGAATAATATTCTATTATATAGATATACTACATTTTTCTCATCCATTCATCAGTTGACAAACATCTAGGTTGTTTCCACTTTTTGGCTACTATGAATAATATTGCTATGAATATCTGTGTAACAAGTTTATGTGTAGACATATGTTTTCATTTCTCTTGGGTATATAGGTAGGAGTAGAACTGCTGAGTCATAAGGTAACTCCATGTTTACTCTTTTGAAGGTCTGCCAAACTACTTTCCAAAGCAGCTGGAACATTTTACACTCCTACCAGTATTGTACAGAAGTTCCAATTTCTTTACATTCTCACCAACACTTGTTATTATCTCTTTGATTATAGCCATCCTAGTATGAGTGACATCTGATAAAGTACTAAAGTGATTACTTTTGTGACTTTAACCAAGCCATCTAATCACTTTGAAATTCAGCTTTCTTGGGGTGCCTGGATAGCTCAGTCGGTTGAGTGTCCAATTCTTGGTTTTGGCTCAGGTCATGATCTCATGGGTCATAGAATCAAGCCCTTTGTAGGGCTCTGCACTCAGCAAGGAGTCTGCTTGAAGAGTTTCTCCCTCTACCCCTCCTCCCAATCATGTTCTTTCTCTCTCTTAAATAAATCTTAAAAAAAGAAATTCAGCTTTCCCATCTGTAAAATAGAAATAATAAAATATTTCATAGAGTTCTTAAAGATGTTAATGAAAAATGGAGAAAAAATTTAGTACAGTATCCATCATAAAGTATTTAATACATAGTTATTAATTATTATCATCAGATCCTCTGTCCTTTAGGAACTATCTAAATGAAAAAATACTCTTGCAGTGCCTGACTGGATCAATCAGTAGAGCATGAGACTCTTGGTCTTGGACTCATGAGTTCGACTCCCACATTGGGTGTAGAGAGCACTGTCTACAGTTATTACTAAATTTAAGTAATAACTGCCCAAAATGGCAGACACAATAAAGACACAAGACTTCAGAGAGGGATATCAGTAATGGGTGAAGAGATCGGAAAAGTCCTGTCAGACACTTCACTAGTTTTTGAAAAATAAAATCAGCATAGCTGGGAAGGGCGAGAGGAGGTATAAACAGCACAAATGGGCCCAGATAAAAGAAGGAAAGAGCTCAGATATCCAAAAACAACAACAAAAGTTCTGTGCTTTTTCATTGCACAGTAAAACATCACACTTCGTAACAGTAAGAAATGTATCTGAATGGGTGGGATAGGGCCAGATCACAGAACAAAGACCTCTGAATTTTATCCTCCAAGTAACAGCAATAGTCAAAAATTTACTGGAAAGGGAAACTATGAAATCTTTTAGAAAGATTAATCTGGCAGTAGAAGTAAAGACCTAAGGCCAAAAAACCTATTAAAAAGTTGTTTAAGGGATCCCTGGGTGGCGCAGCGGTTTAGCACCTGCCTTTGGCCCAGGGCGCGATCCTGGAGACCTGGGATCGAATCCCACGTCGGGCTCCCGGTGCATGGAGCCTGCTTCTCCCTCTGCCTGTGTCTCTGCCTCTCTCTCTCTCTCTGTGTGACTATCATTAAAAAAAAAAAAAAAAGTTGTTTAAGATAGGACAAGGAGTAAAAACTGAGAGGAAAGGGCAAAGGGCAGATGTAAGAAACATGGAGTAAGAAAAATCAAGCACTCCTTGGCTGAAGGGACAGTTATGAATATTCTGGAAATGACAACACACCTAGAACACAATCTGAAAATGACAACACATATTAGTAATCAAAACATTAATTCAAACTTACCCTCTGCAATATCTGAGCATGACGTGCCAATGGCTGTGTCCCCACTGTCAGCTACACTCGAACAGCGGCTAAAGCGACTCCGAAAAGCCTCTGAGATAACTGGGGTCTGCCATTCAGTCCCCAGGGAGCTGCCCTTTTGAATTACACCGGATCCTGAAACAAGTGGCATTTCCCATCTTTAGTGTGAACCAACTGATGTAACCTCACAAGACTGTTTAAATAAAGCAGCATCACTCTATCCTTTTCTCTCTCCTATGCCTATTTCAGCTACTCTTAGTTAATTTTAAATGGAAACAGCATGAGAGCTGAGAAGTTCACAGACAGAAATAAGACTTACCAAGAAGCCAGGGATACTACATAAAAAACAATACTATCCAATAGTAGCCATCATTTTTTGAAACCTAGAAGCCATAATACTTTACCAACATGATTTCATCTACTTACTGAACAGTATTCATCATCACTGTTTTACAGAAGATAGAGCTGAGATTTGAACCCAATTTGTTTTGATTCCAATATCCACATTCTTTCCTCTCACAGGATTTCTCAATAGGTGCTTCTGGCATAGTGGACATGACAATTCTTCAATGTGCAGTCTATACAAGGCAGGATGGTTTAGCAACCCTGGTCCCTTATTAAATGCCAGTAGCAGTCCTAATCCTATCCCACCAACACAGTGACACCTGAAAATATCCTCATATATTTCCAAATGCTTCCTAGGGTAACACGCAGTCCAATTTCTCTTGAAAACCACTGTTTAGGGGCCTGCGTGGCTCAGTCTGTTAAGTGTCTGCCTTTGGCTCATCAGGATATAGGGGTCCTTGGGTCAAGCCCCACATAGGGCTCTGCTCCCCTCATTCATGTGCATGTGGGCGTGCTCTCAAATAAACAGAAGGGGGGTGGGGAGGGCACCAACCATTGCTTGGCTGAACTGGGGTACTGCGTGGGCAGGGTAATCCAGATCAAGGTAAGTCTTAAAAGTCAATCTGAAGAGTTTAAGACTTTGACTGCAATGCAAAGAACCATTAAAATTTCTGATTGGGTAAGACAGATGAGATTCATTTAACTTAATTAGCTTACTACTTGAGGGCTAGTAGGTAGAAAAGTGTTCAATAAATACTTGGTTTACTTGTACTTATTGTTAAAAAAACACAATTTTTCTAGGCTGTTATCTGATGATCCATGTAAACAGACAAGAAGGTGGCTACTTATCCATTTAAAGTGTCAGAGTTTGAGTTGAAATCAGAAAAGAAGGTTCTATAGACTCCTTGATTTGGTGGGAAGCAAATGATATTTAAACACAAATCACCTTTTCTCTTCTTCCAATTTTAGTGCTTCTCCCATCTTTTTAACTCACTTTCTTCTAATTTTGCTACCCTGTGCATTTTACGGAAGGCACTCTTGGGGTCACAGTGGACTGCTTGATGTGAAAGAATCTACACATATGCAGCAATCGGTAATAACCTTTCACAGAAGACCTACCCAACAATCAGAGCTTCTGATCAGCATAAGAGCAGCTGGTGTTACTATCTATACTAAGTATAACTCTAGGTAGAAGGAAAAAAAATTGATTCTTGATAAGTCTATATGGTGTTATCTCTCTAGTCAGTAGACAATTTGCCAGGTCTTTTGAAATAATAAAAATTGATTGAAGGCCTTTATTACCATCTTCCTGTCCTCTTACTTGTTAATAGTACTAATCTTCGTTTTTACCAGTGCTTTACTATCTGCTCACTTCATACATCAATTCTGAAGACATATTTAGTAAAATAAAAATGTATTTTGAGGGGCACCCAGCTGGCTTAGTCGGTAGAGCACCTAACTCATTATCTTGGGGTTGTTAGTTTGAGCCCCACACATTGGGTGTAGAGATCACTTAAATAAAACTTTCTACTTCCTATTTAAATATACTTAATATGTTTATTGGGTGTATTTATTTATATATTTCTGTATTTATATATGTTTAATATATATACTTAATATATCCACAGAGCTTTCAAAATCTTGTCAATCCATTCTAAAGATAAATTCCCAAGTCTCCAGTGACAACATAACTGAGTCTGTTGGCATCCAAGAAGAATTCCAATCTTTTTGGGCTAGCAGATGACTGACCCACCCACAGGAATACAAAGACAACATAGAACACAGTAATTTATGCTGTGTTTTTCTGATTTCATTTGGAACTATGTTCCAAAGTCATTCTGTTCCTTCATGTGTCCTCCCCTCCCAATCAATCATGTGGTCTTGTTGGAAGTCATGTAGGACCAGAGATAAATAGTTGCTCTTTTGGAGAGGGCTGTTTTTCTACTCAATATAGCTTTATGTTATTTTTATTCTTTAAGTACCAGCATTTTAGTAAATGTTTTTGTGCATAGTATTTCCTTTAAAGGAAATTTCAGTTATGAAATAACAGAGCAAACGTCAGAAACTTAACCCAGAAAACTCTGACTACTCACCTGGTGAAGTGACATGAGAGATCCTCTCACTTGGGTATTTCTCCTGCATGGCCATCAACACTGTTTTTTGAGCCAACTGTAGAATGAAGGAATAACCAGTCAGATCTATCTTTTATTTTTTTATTTTTATTTTCTCAGATCTATCTTTTAATTCCTAATTCACTCCCATTCAAATGAAACTGTCAAAACCACACGTGATAGTCCTCCACATGTTTTACTCTTAAAGATATTTTTTAAGGTAAAGCAACTCCTAATACTCCATCCTACTTCTCTTCCTAAAATAAAGGAGAGAAAACCTAAAACCAAATGGAGATTTCTAATACTGACCCTATAAGGTCCTAGAATTCCTCAATTGTTGTAAAAATTAAAAACAATTGGGATCCCTGGGTGGCTCAGCAGTTTAGCATCTGCCTTCGGCCCAGGGCGTGGTCCTGGAGTTCCAGGATCGAGTCCTGGAGTTCTGCATTAGGCTCCCTGCATGGAGCCTGCTTCTCCCTCTGCCTGTGTCTCTGCCTTTCTCTCTCTCTCTCTCTCTCTCTGTGTGTGTGTGTGTGTGTCTCTCATGAATAAATAAATGAAATTTTAAAAAAGAAAAATAATACTTTTATTTTTTAAAAATACTTTGAGAGAGGGGATCCCTGGATGGCGCAGTGGTTTAGCGCCTGCCTTTGGCCCAGGGCGCGATCCTGGAGACCCGGGATCGAATCCCACGTCGGGCTCCCGGTGCATGGAGCCTGCTTCTCCCTCTGTCTATGTCTCTGCCTCTCTCTCTCTCTCTCTGTGACTATCATAAATAAATAAAAAAATAAAAAAATAAAAAAAAAAATACTTTGAGAGAGAGAGCACGAGAGGGGAGGAGCAGAGGGAGAGAAGCGGACTTCCCACGGAGCAAGAAGCCCAACTCAGGTCTCAATCCCAGGGCCCTGGAATTGTGACCTGAGCTGAAGGCAGACATGTAACTGATTGAGCCAACCAGCCGCTCCATATTACTTTTTTTTTTCCATATTACTTTTAATTAACAAACTTTGCCAAGGATTTTGTTAGCCATGAAAACAGGATGGGAGAGTAAGGCAAAGAAAGAACCAAATAACCAAACCAACAGAGAAGTATTATAACTTCAATTATGATTAACATAAATCTCCCAATTCTTCTAGTAATGGAAGTTAGTTATATGATACACAAATAGAATTCTTGATCATAAGCAGAACCCCAATTCTCAGCTGGGAACATGAAGTTTTCTTCCCATTTCCCTACTTCTTAGAACATTTATATTTGTTCTAATGGTAAGCTGTGAGAATTCAGCAGAAGTCTGATTTCTATCTGCATAAACAAAAGCTTTAATTAACTGTAACTAACAGAAGCAAATACTAATAACACATTTGCATAGTACCTGAGAGTCACGGAAGTAGGAAGTGGTTCAGTATATGCACTCAAGATCAGATAGTTTAGGCTTATTTAGATGGCGAGGCATTTGGCTACCTTAAGAGAATCATAAGTTACTCCCGCCGTTTACCCACGCTTCACTGAATTTCTTCCTTTGACATTCAGAGCACTGGCAGAAATCAGTTTAGGCTTAAAGTCTGACTTAATTAGCTGTGTAACCTTGGGCAAATTTCCTAATATCTTTGTATCTCAGTTCCTTCATAAAAAAATAAGGATGGGGGTGCTTGGGTGGTTCAGTTGGTTGTATATGTGACTTATTTTTTTAATTTATTTATTTATGATAGTCACAGAGAGAGAGAGAGAGAGAGGCAGAGACACAAGCAGAGGGAGAAGCAGGCTCCATGCAGGGAGCCTGACATGGGACTCGATCCCAGGTCTCCAGGATCATGCCCCTGAGCCACCCAGGCTGCCTGGATAGGTAACTCTTCATTTTGGCTCGGGTCATGGTGTCAGGATCGCGGACAGAGCCCCATGTTGAGCTCCTCACTCAGTGGGAAGTCTGCTTGAGATTCTCTCCCTCCACCCCTCCCAACTGCTTGTGGATATGCACTCACTCTCTCTCCCTCCTTCTCTCTCTCTTCAATAAATAAATCTTAATAAAATAAAATAAAATGGAAATTAGGATAGGGCAGCCCAGGTGGCTCAGCAGTTTAGCGCCGCCTTTCAACCCAGGGTGTGATCCTGGAGACCCGGGATCCAGTCCCGCGTTGGGTTCCCTGCACGGAGCCTGCTTTTCCCTCTGCCTGTGTCTCTGCCAATCTCTCTGTGTGTCTCTCACGAATAAATAAAATCTTTAAAAAATAAAAGAAAAGACAATGCAGATAGGAGCAACTATGTGACTGTCAGTTATGTGTCCCACTTTTTAAAGATTTTATTTTTTTATTCATGAGAGACGCAGAGACATAGGCAGGGAGAAAAGCAGGCTCCCCAGAGGGAGCCCAATGTGGGACTCGATCCCAGGACCCCAGAATCACAACCTGAGCCAAAGGAAGATGCTCAACCACTGAGCCACCCAGATGCCCATGTGTCCAACACTCTTGATCTCAGCTCAGGTCTTGATCTCGGGCTGTGAGTTCAAGCCCCATGTTGGGCTCTATGTGGGGTATGAAGCCTAATTAATCATCATCATCATCATCATCAAATAAGGATAAAGACAGGACCCAATTCATGCTAATTTATTTATTTATATTTATTTTTTTTTTGCTAATTCATTTAGAATTAACTCACAATAGTGTCTGACACACATTGAGTCCTTAATTATGTTATTATTTCTTGGCAGTTTACATCAATAAAGTGGCATATGGGGGGGGGGTCTCTGGAAGATAAAGTATAAATTTAGAAACTGAATTTATAAGAGCCCCCAAAGAGTTTGGGACAAACTCAGTTGATAGATCACAATTCTTAGAGGAGAAATCCAACTTTGGTAAGAAAACAGAGGAGATATATATTTATATCTATAAATTCTCTCTCTATATATAATTTCTCTAATGTGCTTTACTGACCTCTAGAGTTTTCTCTTAGTAACAACAACCCAAACCCTAATTCACTGCATCTACAACAGAAATGGTACCATCCCCTGAAATCCCAGGTCTTCACATAGTGGGTAAGAGAGGATTATTCAGTCAAAGCTTCAATTTATGGCTATTATCAGTTAGTGTGTTAATGGTAACACAGAAGGATTAGATTGTCTACCTAGTAGTGATATCAAAATCCTTTTCTTCACACATTTCTTTAAGGCATAACAAAATGATAGTAGGTCCATTGGATTCTGAGACCTTTCCAAATTCAGATGAGTTGAAAATAGGATGAGAAAAGAACTCAGTTAAGCAGAGTTACTCTATAACTCAGCAATTCCACTCCTAAGAATATGTTCAAGAGAAATAAAAATATGTTCACACAAAATTTTGTACATGAATGTTCAGAGCACCATTATTGATAAACCAAAAGGTAAAAAAAACCTCAAATGTCCATCAACTGATAAATAAATTCCATTTATGTGAAATGTCTAGAACTGGCAAATCCATATAGACAGATTAGTGGTTGCCAAGGACTAAGAGGAGGGAGGTGGGGGAATCGGGAATGACTGCTAATGGATATGGGGTTTCTTTCCAGGATGATGAAAATCTCCTGATATTAGATAGCAGTGGTGCTAAAAAAAAAAAAAAAAAAAAAGTGGTGGTGCTGCACAACCGTGTGAATGTACTAAAACCAATTAACTGTACACATATAAAATTGAATCTTATTGTACATTAATTTTACCTCAAAAAAAAACTCTCAAAAGGAGTAAAACAGTACGGAGGAGATAATTTTTTTTCTTAAGTAGACTCCATGCCCAGCCATGCCAGCACGGGGCCCGAACCCATAAACCTTAAATCAAGACCTGAGCCAAGACCAAGGGTCAAACACTTAACCGACTGAGCCACCCAGGCGCCCCGGAAGCAATAATTTTTGAAGTTCTACAAAGTTCACAAGTAAATGAGGTACTGGTACAAGTTTTTAGGACAATTTGAAGGAAATAAAGATTTCCTGAGATAAAAGTGAGAGAAATGAATTATAATACAAATAATCAATTATACAGCCAAGAAAGGTAGGAGTGAATGGAAGCAGGCAGAAAAAAAAGCACCCAACATTGATGGTTTCTATCTTCAAAGCCTTTTAAATTACCAAAGTATTCATTCAACAAATTTAACATATGTTGAGTACTTATTTCCTACGAAGCACTGTGCTAAACACTCTATAGGTATAATGTCTTATGTTTAATGCTCACATCAAACCTGTGAAGCAGATACTATTATGACCCTTATTTTATGGATGAAAAAAATGAAGATTTAGAGAGGTGAAGGCCATATAGCTAGGAAGAGACTTCAAAGCCAGGACTGTGCTCTAATGTTATACAGTCTAGTCAGCATTCTTTTGTGTGTGACAAAAAGAAATAAAGTAAGTTACCAAGGTACCATAAATTGGGAGTTTCTGCTTCAGACACAGCCAGAGCTGCAAGCCCTAAAGAAGTCAGGGGCAGGGAGAGCTCACACGATTTGTTCACGTTGCCCTTTGGTCACCACCCAGACTCTATTTCCCAAGTTGCCACCCAAGACTTAGGCTTCAACTGTTACAAGTATTTCTCCCCTTGAAGAATTATAGTCTTAGGGTGGAACGTCACACTTGGCAGCTGCTGAGAACCACATCAAGACTGGGGAGGATCTGAAGGGATACACAGCTGACAAAAGCACATTAAGAATCTCACACCATCACACTATTTTCATGACCTTGATCTTTCATTAAACCAGACCCAAGAAGAAATCCTGCCAAGAAGTTGCCTTTACAAAGTCCTGATACATACAAGTCCACCAGACTATTATAAAACCTACAAGGCCTAAGGGCAGGTAGTGAGGCATGGTTATCTTAATCATCCTGGTGGTATCATCACCCCTCCCTACCTAGCACACAGTATTCATCAATCAAAATTTACTGAGGGCTTACTATTTGCCTGCCTCTGTACCATGTACTTGTACTGCTTTAAAAGACAAACGGGGTTCTGATCCTCCTATTTTATCCTGATGAGGTGCTGAACACCCTCTATTGAACAAACTCGCTATAACCCACTAAACTTGTGGTTCATCCAAAGCACCAGTTCCTCCTTGTCTAGAGCAGGGTTCCTCAATCTGGATGCTCCTGACATTTTAGGTCAAAGAAGTCTTTGATGGAAGGGGGGGGGGGAGTGCTGTCCTGCACACAGTTGGATGTGTAGCAGCAGCCCGGATTTCTACCCTCTACCCACTAGACACCAGGCGTAATCTCTGAGTTGTGGCAACTAAAACTGTCTCCTGGCACTATCCGATACCCCGTGTGGAGCAAAGTCGGCTCCGAAACCCAAGCCCAGTGCTTTCACAAAAGCTGTCTCCCCAACCGTCCCTCTTCATCCTGTAACCCTCCACCCCCAACTTCCCTTCCTTAGGGAGGGCTCCCTGCCGTCCGTCTCCCACTACACTGGCGCCTTGTGCCAGGGCCGGGTTCTCCGGGCCACACCACTGAGTGTTAACCTAGCCGTCACCGGCTTCACGTCTACTCTTCTCCCCGGATCCTCTGCTCCGCGAAGGCAAGCAACGTGCTTCCCGCCGTACTCCCGCCCCGGCGACTGGCACAGGGCCTACCCTTTACAAAGGTAAAGCAACTGCTGCGGAGTGAACCGCGGAGAAAGCCCGGCGAAGAGGGCTGCGAGGCGACCGAGTCGCGAGGGGGCGTGTGCGGGGCGTTATTTTAGGAAGCCCAGAGGGTGAGACCCAGAGGGGACGGTTTAGCGGCTCTGCGCATGCGCTCCGCTCTCCCGCGGCCCCCGAAGAAGGTAGGTCATGAGTGTCTGGGCTCCTCCGGTGCTCCCCAAGGCGGGGCGGGCTCTACCAGCCCGACAAGGGTTCCCCAGGGGAGGAGGACTTACGTGGGGCCGAAAACGGGCAGCGAAATCCCTCACCCAGGGACGCTGACTGCAGCCACCACGTCAGCCGCGGGCGGCGGTTCAGTCAACCAGCTCCCCTAACGGCCGTTACACGCCCGCCGGGCCGCGCGCCTGAGAGCGCGCGCCGCCCCGGCCCCGCCCCCGCCCCTTTCTGCCGCCCGCGGCCAATCAGGAGTCGGGCCGCGCCGATGTCCCGCCCCTGCACGCTGCGCTCGGCGCCGGGAGCGGACGGATCTCTCTGCGCATGACCCCGCAGCTCCTCGGAGCCTTCTCTGGAGCTCCTGCCCGGGTCTCGCCTGTGGGCGGAGCTCTCGCCCCTCGGGTCTGCAGTGACCCGCCGGGCTTGGGCTGTTCGAGAAGCTGGAGGCCAGGGAAAATCATTCGGGAACCCCCCCGCCCCCCCAACACACACACCGCCTCACCCTTCTCTCATTCCCCATGGCCTGTCATTCCTCCTACCTGAAATGAAGCAGGGGGTCGGGTGTGGTCCGAGTTAGGGTGCGACCTGGGTCACTGCCTTGTCAGTGTTAGGGCTCAGTCTGTGGCTGGGATCAGGGCTTGCGCTGGTTGGGTCAGACTGTAACCAGCACTCGGGTTGAAGGGTAACTAACAGATCGATCTTGCCTCCCTACCCAAACTCGGTCTCCAGGAAAAGTACTAAGTTCGTTTGCGTTCATATATACTTAAGAATCAGACTGGGGAATTGTTAAAAGGAGGAACAAAGACATGAGCCAAAGTAGTGAAAAATTCCAGGTTTCTGGAAACCTGACTTAAGGGGGAGAGGCATTAAAAAGTTGTAGGATTTCTTAACTCTGAAGAACCGGGCTTAAAGAGAGTTAATTACGGGATGAAATTCACTCTATAGTGAGGACTCTGGGGACGTGCTCCAAAATTCTATTCCGTCCCTTCCGCCCCGGCCTCGTATAACATTTTAAGGTAAAAATATAGAAGGCATAGAATAGGTATAATGGATAATGAACCTAGGTATGATGTGATGGATGCATTTAGGGGATATTCTCTGAAATTAGGACCAAACACTTTTGTTAAAACATAAATGGTAAGAATGAGTATCTAAATGAATAAACTTGTGGACTAATGGGTAGGAAGTAGACTGGTGATGGAAACATCTACTTGACTGCTTCTATTTCTTTTGTGAAAAACTTCTGTGAAGAGAGAAAGCAGGGGCATGTAGTGGACTGAGAAGAGCGGGGAGGATTTGAAGAGCTGTTGCAGAGAATGGAAGACAAACCTGACTGGAAACATAAGTGGAAGTGCTAAGATTTAAATTTACAAATGGCAAATAGTGCATTTGTACAGTTTTCTCCAATGAATTTTTTAAAAGATTTTATTTTTAAGTGATCTCTACACCAATGTGGAGCTCAAACTCACAACCTGATCAAGAGTTGCATACTGGGGATCCCTGGGTGGCTCAGCGATTTAGCACCGGCCTTTGGCCCAGGGCGTGATCCTGGAGTCCCGGGATGGAGTCCCACATCAGGCTCCCTGCGTGGAGCCTGTCTCTCTCTCTCTCTTTCTCTGTGTATCTCATGAATAAATAAATCTTAAAAAAAAGAGTTGCATACTCCACCAATTGAGCCAGCCATGTGACCCAGATATCTGTATTTTAAAAGTAACTCTGTTTTCAAATTTGAAATACTACTAATTTTCAATTGTGAATGAATCTTCATATTTTAATAAAGATTTGGTGTTCATTTCAGAGAATATTCACAATCAATTTTTAGGTAAGAAATAGTTTTAAGTCTTCGGTTATTTTATTATTTTAAAAAGACTTGCTGCAAGGGGCACCTGCATGGTTCAGTCCATAATCTGTCTCTCTTTTTTTTTTTAATTTAATTTTATTTTTTTCCATTGTCTGTCTCTTCATTTCAGCTCTGATCCTGGGCTTAAGCTCCCATTGAGCTCCACAGCTCAGCAGGGAGTCTGCTTGAGATTCTCTCTCCCTCTGTTCTTCCCCTACCACATGCTCACTCTCTTTCTCTCTAAAATATATATATATATACACATATATGTGTGTGTGTGTGTCAATTTTGTGTGTATATACATATATATACCTCTAAAAAAAAGACTTGCTGAAAATTTAATAAAATGTCAATGGAACTATCACCTGACATGACTGAAGAAGGAGCCAGATATGTCCCACCCAGCTTAATCAAAGAAATAGGAAAATAGGGGATCCCTGGGTGGCGCAGCGGTTTAGCGCCTGCCTTTGGCCCAGGGCGCGATCCTGGAGACCCGGGATCGAATCCCACGTCGGGCTCCCGGTGCAAGGAGCCTGCTTCTCCCTCTGCCTGTGTCTCTGCCTCTCTCTCTCTCATTCTATGTGACTATCATAAATAAATAAAAATTAAAAAAAATTTAAAAAAAGAAATAGGAAAATAAACTAGATGCAGTTAGTTATAATCATCATTAGAGCTACCACTTTCACATGCATAAGTGTTGTCTAGTGGCTTATTTTATAAGCATCTATTGTTATACAGCTCAGAGGCTTCTTTCATGCAGTCAACTAAGTATAGTTTAAGTTCAATAGTTTCCTTGTTTACTTAATTTTGTTTCATTCCATTTTCTATTGGAGATATTTAACATAATATAGCCTTTATACTTTAGGATATATATTTTTTAAGATTTTATTTATTGATTTGAGAGAGAATGGGAAAGTGCATGAGAGGGAGAGGGGCAAAGGGAGAAGCAGACTCCCAACTGAGCAGGGAGCCTGACATGGGGCTCAGGACCCTGAGATTGTGACCTGAGCCAAAGGTAGAAGCTTAACCAACATGGGGCCACCCAGTTGCCCCCAGGATATATTTTAAATAAGGGCAAGGATTAACGCCTTCACCAACAGGTCTATTTAAATACTCATAAATAAATAAAGGACTCCAGACCTATAAAGTGAATATGAATTCCCAATGAAATGTAATTACTTGCATGCTGATTTAATAAATGTGTGCCTTTGGTGTACATAAAAAAAAATAACATGGACTGATCATCCAACTTAATTTTTTCAGGAGCTGTGAAAGCATTAAATAAAAAGAAAAGCCTTGAAAATAAAATGTTAGGACTGTTGAGACACCTAGGTGGCTCAGTGCTTGAGCATCTTCCTTTGGCTCAGGGCATGATCCTGGGGTCCCAGGATTGAGTCCCGCATCGGGTTCCCTGCAGGGAGTCTGCTTCTTCCTCTGCCTATGTCTCTGCCTCTCTCTCTGTGTCTCTCATGAGTAAATAAAATCTTTAAATATAAATAAATAAAGTTAAATTTAAAAAGTTAGGACTGCTAAATTTAGCTTTTATTGTTGTTTGTACCAAAGTATTTTCCCAAGAAATTAATTTCCAAGATGATCATAGATAGCAATCAAAAGTAGTATTTTATTTCAGGAACAAAACAGGGAACCCTGGGTGGCGCAGCAGTTTAGTGCCTGCCTTTGGCCCAGGGCGCGATCCTGGAGACCCGGGATCGAATCCCACGTTGGGCTCCCGGTGCATGGAGCCTGCTTCTCCCTCTGCCTGTGTCTCTGCCTCTCTCTCTCTCTCTCTGTGACTATCATAAGTAAATAATTTTTTTTAAAAAAAAGGAACAAAACAAACAACAAAAAGAGGCCTTCTTGTGATTTTGTGAAAGTGCCACCTCTACCAACTTATAAAGCCTGTCTTGTTTCCTGGTCTGGTCCACACCAATCAACTATCCTTTCTGTAAGGTCAAAGACTGTGTCTAATGTACTGTTGATCCCCAGGGCTTAACATGGGAATTGGTACACAGTAGATTCCAACCAATTTTTAAATGGATAAATGATAGTAACACAAACACTGCTCTCTATTTCCGCCTCTACTAGGAAGGAGAAGGGGGTTATGAGGTCAGAAATAATTAATAGGCAAGATAATGTCATGTGGAATCATTTAATCCTAATTCTGAAACTGAATAGCTCTTGTCCATTCTGCAGAAGAAAGGAGACAGGACCAGTTGGCCAAGGCCCAAGAACCTTCCCTGGAACCAGAGTCAATAGAGTCCCTGTGTTGAAGCCCAGATCATCTGGTCAAATTCTTTAACATATAGGAGAACCAAAACCCATAGAGAATAAAATGACTTCTCACATATGCATATACCTCGTTCCTCATAAAGTACTGAAGCTTTGTAGTCAGATCGTGCCCTTGGAAGAGTCCAGAGATGGGAAGGGATGGTGGGATGAAGCGCAGCCCAAGGCTCAGCAGCCACATTTCTTACCAGATAGTAGTTGGGACCCATGGGGGTTCCATCTTCACTCCCTAACAAGAGGATAGACTACTTCTCTCTCCCTAAGTTTTTCTCCACCCCATCCTTACCTCAGACAACAAAACTAGAAGCCAAGGGTTAGAGTTGGGGGATATATCTGGGCAGGCTTTTTATTATAGCATCACACCTGTTACCATCAGAAGAATGGGTGATTCACGCTCCTGCAAAAAAGAAAGCAATGATTACAAACAGGATTCGATGGCTTTGTGAGCCTTGGAAACTTTTTAGGCTTAGATATTCCACTTTGGGGAATTCTTTAGTAATCCATTCACGCATTCTTTCGACAAAGCTTTCCTGGAACCCCATGTCCCAACTGTCTGACATTCCCTCCCTTAAATTGGGGGTGAGGCAGATGGAGTATAGGGATGAAATGCACTCTCTAGTTCAATGGGGACCCCACTCAGCCTCTCTCATTTATTACCTGCCTGGCCCAAACCCTGTACTCTAAGTTATTTCTGGATAGTCTCAGGTTCTCATGAGGTGTAAAGCTCTGTGACTACCAACAACCCCACAGTGACAGCTCTGCCATGTACTGCTGAGTAAGCTGATATTTGGAGAGGGTAACTGACTTCTCCCAAGTCACACAGAGTTGAGCAGAGACAGGTTCCAAGACCAGCACCAGCCAGAACCCAGTGTGCACCCCCAGACGCTAGTGCACCTACCCAGAATTTCAGACCAATATCTGTGTACCAACTTGCCAAACACCTGCTGCTAGAGGCTTTGTACTCTGAAACCACATAGAAAGAAAGACTGAGCTTGAGAAACCATCCTGACAGGATTCTCATTGTTT